TTTTTTTTTTTTTTTTTTTTTAAATTCTTAATCCCTTGCAAGGTGGGTCCCTTTTTTAATTTGCAGATAGATGAACAGATTCTCACCAAAATGTATTCCTAGCAGGAGACTTTGCTCAGCACACCATTTTTTGCATCAAGATAAACGGCATCACCTTAAAAGAAAGAAGAGGAATGTAAATAGAGGTCTACAACTTTCTTCAGATGATAAAACCAGAAAAAAAATAAGATAAATTTGAACTGAATGCTAATGGTTAGACTACGCTCATTAGATTACCTGAGAGTACCTACACGCTAGTTGAAACCCTGCATTTGCAGAATCCAATAATTGCTGTAGAGAAATTTCTATCATATTTAATGAGATATCTTTCCCTCCCCTTCATATTTAAAGAGGAGAGCAGGAAAGAATTTTCGGGAATTTTTCGCAAAAACAATCTTTTGTTTTGGAATTTCAGGACTCATGTCACATCCGATTTTTGAACTTTCAGGGTAAAACTTACGTCAAAATTTCCAAATATTTCTTCCTTTATGCATTTGCAAAAAGTTGAGGAAAATTCTCTCCTGGAAGATAGGATCCCTTTACACAAAGATCCAGACGAAAAAGAGCGACTCATATGAAGTTATCAATACATCTCCTTTGAAAGTTCTGAGGTTTCTGAGAGAAACGTTCTGATAAGAAGAAAAAGAGATAAACAAGATGTGGGCCAATTTCCTTCGATAAATTTGCAATGAATTAAAGGATCTAGTTTCTAACCGTATGAATATGCATAAAATAGATCACAGGGTTAAAAATGATGGACAAGGATCCATTAACCGCAAATAGAGCTCACTGAGCTGCGAGTCAAAATTCAGTATACCTGTTGCATGAGCATGAGGTGATGAAATTTCAGGGTTCAAACTGCATGAGCTGCAATCTGGGATGATATTCTCTGTATGTATCAAGAATTTCTATTTTGTTCGATTCCATGCAAGGTCCTATTGCATGATACAAAGGACCAATGAAGGAATGCCACCAATATTTTTCCTTGAATAGGATAAGATTCATTTGAAGCAATCCTAGGTGTATTTGGCTGAATATAAATCAAAAATAAAAATATCCATTGCAATATGAGCCATGCCATTGATTAGAATACATGCATGAAAGGGCTCAGGTCACAATGGATAGAGTTCTTTTTTATTTAAATATGTCCATTTTTAATGCACGGGTGGACGTAGCATGTACAAAGGAAAAACATACCTGTGTTAAAAATATCAGTAGCATTCGTGGCATCAACCAAGGCGGGAAGTCCGTATTCCCTTGCAACTACAACTCCTGCACAGAGAAAACAGAGGTGTATACAAAAATTAGGAGGAATAATGTGTCAAGATACAATTAAATAAAAATGACTCATTAAATAAGAAATTGCTCACATGCATTCGATTGACTGGTGCTTTTGATTACTGGTGTGCTAACGAAAAGCGTTGTATGAACATTCGAATATTGCCAGTTCACCTCAAATCATATGTTTATTCTTGAGGAGAGTTATGCATATTTTTCAGTGATATTTTTAGATTCAATTGTAAACAAAGTTCTTTAATAAATTGGAAGAAAAATATTTAAAAGTTTCTGAGGAAATTAGTGTTTTTATCAAGGGGAATTGGGTAACGTCCGAAGGCTCATGCGACGTTTTTCCTTAGCAAGGCAGTACAACATGAGGTATTACCGATTATTCATAAAAATGAATAAAAATTACTGAATAATAATTCACAGCAAAAATGCTGAGCTTAATAAATACTTATGCCTGCTCAACACATCTTCAGACAAATCAATATCTTTATTGCTTCAAATATTGTTTTTTCTTTATTCCAAATTATGTAGGATTTTGTTTCGCAATTGGTTCAATATCTACATAACGATGAGACAAGAGTTTAAATTTCCTTACCATGGGAGATTATGCCACCCATCTCGACAACGATCCCTTGCAAGAGGGGAAAATAGGCAGACCATCCAATATCAATTGAGTTGGTCACTAAAATATCTCCGTCTCTAATTTGGCTGCAATCATCCAAACTCTTAACCACGCATGCTCTGCCACTGGCCTCTCCTAAATGGACTGGCATCCCCTTCACACTCGTTGTCCCAGGCTCCTACATTAAAGAACATGAACCCAGGAAAATTAAAAGGAAGCTCACAAAGTCTCATTTTTAGAAACTATACCTTAATTTAAAGGGTTCTCGTCTTCAAAATTCTTGAATATCATTAAAAAAGGCAGACAAATTCAAATTGGAGCCTTGGTAAATTCAAATACCAATTCACATTGGTTTCAGAGCACAGACAACCCTACTCAACCTTTGGTGAAGGTTTACTGATTGATCACTAGGCTTTCTTTAATGAACAAAAGATTTATAGAGGGATGAATTTTTTTGTAAATCCAATTATTATTACTCTGGTATTTTGACACAAAGGATGCGATATGAAAGGAGAATCCAGATACACACACAATACACGATGTGGTTTTGAGGAAGTGTGAATTAGTTGCTTACCAAATTAACTTTCCGCACAGTTGGCTGAGGCCATCCGATTGCAACGTCAGGAAAAATGAAACTTTTCATAGTTGGCCACAACCTCTTACGCCGGAGTGCTCTGGAAAAGTATAAATTTTGAATTAGAACAACACATTCAATATTTTATTGATACATCTCTCGTAGCGACGAATGTTAAAGAAAACTTTAAAAACTGGTAAATTTTAAGAGGACAACTTTAAAAAACTTTCTTTAGGTATTGTTTTAAGTAAAATATACAAAAGCTAAAATTTAAGTGAGAAAATGTTACTGGAGAGTTAGATTTTAGTGAAAAAAATAATCTCTGATCGTGATGATTCGGGTAAAACTCAATCAGAAAAACTTTGACTTTGACATCAGCAATTAGAGATACATACGTAGGAATGATAGGGAGAGAGGTTTGCACCTTTGATACGCTAACTAGAGGTGTTCAAACAAATTCTTGCCGGTACGCTATTGGTATCGTCTTAACTGATACTGGTGGCAGTACCGACAGAGGCGATGATATCGTTGACTGCCGGCCTTATCGCAGTTTTGAGAGCTTGCAATCAATGCATTGTTGCCCCGTGTGTCAGTTTGTCAAATTGCCTTGCGCAGCGGCAAGTAAAATAGATGTACACATGGCGACAGCTTATTTCTGTCAGCTCCAAAAACTCAGATCGCTATCGATAAGAGCACTCTTATTGTAACTTTTTCTTAACAAAACTGTTGCGGTAGCTTACCAACAACTGATAGAACAGCCCTAACGCCAAATGATTCATGATGGCCAAAAACGAACCCGCAACAAGATAAGGTAAGCACTGAATATTTTAAACATCTCGGCAAACTCATGGACTAACTTTTAAAAACTATGAGGTTTTATAGGGCTGAAAATATGACCGACGGATTTTTACAAACTATCTCTACCGACGATAAGGTCTTAGATATAAAATAGGGAAACTTACTTTTTGATATACCCTTATAGATTTACAACTAACTTAAAAACTTGCTTACTAAATTATCCAACTCACTTTTGCAATATCAAGCTGTCTGTTGTATGCATGATTGTTGCCAACTGAGGAAAACTCATGAAATATATCAGAGAAGGATCTGGTATGCGACCCTCTCTTGTCAAAGCATTGCCGAGGGCAATATAAATGACTCTCAGCCGATGCGTCGTTGCTACTAACTCATTTTTGGATAATTCTCGCAGTTCAACTGTCTTCCGTACTATTGGAGTCAAAATTTTCAAAAGTTTCCTGCAAAGAAAAATTACAAAACCACGATTATAACACAATTAAAGGAGTATGCTCGTGGATGTGTGAAACAAAATACAAGTCGAGCATAACATAGTGCAGCTTTCTAATCTTATTTTATGGCGAGAACACTTCTAAAACTTTCAAGAAAACCAAAAGCAAAAAGTGAAAAAGTGGCTGATCCTGATGAAATACTTCCAAATTTTAGCTCTTAGGTGAAGTTAAAACTGTAAAATATAGTAGATAAATTAATCAATTTCAAGTATGTAAATTTAGAATAATAAAAGGAACTTGCCTGAACATCAATGATTAAAAACAGCCGACGCGTTTCAGGCTCTAGCCTGTTTTAAGTCATTGACACGACAAATTCATTTCATCATTTTAAATACTTATGCTTAATTTTTCTAGTGTGGTTTTGCGTTTTAATGGGATTCATCAATTTTGGTTCAGGAATGTTCCCATAAGAAGTGTCTAAGTTACCTCTCATCAAGTTAAAAATTGAAGATTTGCAGTTGAAAAAAATGAAAAACCAGTGATGTGTAGGCTCAACGGTATAAAGAATTTTAAGGTGAAAAAAAGATTAAATATCATGAGAGCAATGAATAACTCATTTTACCAATGATAAACTTGGATCTAGAGAGAATCTTTTGCAGTAAATACCTTTATCAATGAATAAACCGTGCAGGTTGATGACTAAAGTTGAAAAATGCTTATCTCGGGTTCCAACATCGAATGTCTCCCCTCATGTTTTATATTACTTAGGGAAAACAAAATAAAAGTTTCTATTGAAATTTTCCAGGAATTTTCTCCACTTATTTTAAAAAATTGCAAGGAAACTCTTTGATTAATTTTTCTTGAAGAAACAAAAACATCATCATTGATCAGAGATTTTTTGACGTTGGATTGAGTAACGCATTTTTCACATTCAACCATCGATACGTAATATTAACAGTAAGTAACTGTACATATTAATACTCACCATACCAATCATTATGCATTTAAAATAAAATATTTACAAGTTAACAGTGAGTACAAGTAGGTATATAAATAGAAAAAAAGAATCTATTACCTCGTGAAATCCTTACGAGGTGTTTTTAAGCTTTGAATAATAAACGATAAGTCTTCGTTGGAGTCCACTATTGTTTTCGGGGGTGAGTCATTTTTAACCAACCGCTGCAATAGTTCAATCAGGCTGTCTGGTTTGGTCAACCAATTATCAGACATCAACTCCATCTATTAAATGAAATCATTGACAAAATCAAAACGTACAAAAACAAACCAATGACGCTATCTCAAAAGTTTAAGATACCTGTCCTTGCCATAGGCTACAATGAACATGTAAGCCCTGGATAGACGATTAAATTCCCAAACCAATTCCGATCAAAGTAGCATCACAGTGTCGGGAGTCATCAGTCTTAAACTCATTAATTTGCTTTATTTTAAAATGAAAACTTGGCAGAAATGTTTCCTGTGGCAGGAAATGATGAATGGTGGCACTCCGTTCTGATCTTATTTTAAACAAAAAAGTGCGGCCCGTCAAAATTTGATGGTAGATGGTGACCACCAGTCATCAGCATGTTTACTTTGATCGGAATTGCTTCGAAATTTGATCGTCTATCCAGGGCTTTAAAAAGAAAAAAAGATATATGGTTTTTGTAAAAAATGAAAACACGGAATTTTTTGGCATTAAAATGTTTTTTTAAATTCTGGGTAACTAACTAATGTTCACCTTATGCAAAATAATCTTCAGATGCAATCAAAAACCCATCGTGCCCCTGGCTCAGAGATCTGAATTTCTTTATTTTTTCATTACTTTGTAAATTCTTAGAATGTTAGATCCCTCCTCCCTCTTCCGCCTTGGAGGAAAAAAATTGACAGAACCCTCAAATGTTTTCCCTTAACAGCAAATTCCTCTTCTTTTTTTAAACCTAAAACTCGATGACTAAAAGCAAAAAATGCGTACCTTAATCGCAACATTAAAAAATCTCTGATTATACTCGGATTTTATTTTTTTCGAGGAAAACTAATCATAAAATTTCTAATTTTGTGTGATTTTCGTGGAATAAGTAAAAAAAATTACAGAAATTTTAAAAAGGTAGAGACTGTTGTTTGGTTTTCCTTCAAAAGTATGAAACTTACGACATCACAATCTAAGATACGCATGTTCTGTTCTAAACAATCAATATTTCACTAGGAACTAATGAATGACTGTAGTGTCTTCACAACTTGCATCTTTTGGAGCTCACCTTCCAAGGTATATGATTAGCTCAAATAGCTAAGAGAATGGTAAAATTTACCTCGCTTATTCCTCGGTGTCCAAAATCTTTGATCAATTCCTCCAGAATTAAATGGGCGTCGGGACAGGTTTTCTTTAGAAAGTGATGCGCCATGTTTGGTGGGATGTTGCAGAACTGGTCCACAGCACAGCTTTTCCTCATTGAAGTGCAGAATTTCTAGCAAGAAAGAAATAAAACATTAGCAAGAGTGTAGTGGAGCCAGCTAAGACTTTCCGGTTTTACCATTCCACTGAGTAGAGATAAACCTTTTTGTCGCCATTCATGAGTTATTGCGAGTTTCTATGACCACAGTGAATTAGACAACTTGGATGGTGTAACTTTTGAGGCGCTTTGTTTTGTCTCCTCTTGGTTGTTTCAGCTGCGTAACTTATATGTAGCTTAAGGCAGCTGAATGGCAAGCTGAGTAATTTCCATTAGCGATGTTTTGATTTGTCAAAAAAAATATTAAAAATTGCCAATTGGGAGACAAATCGAGAACAAGTTGATTTTTTCAGCTTGCTGCTTACCCAAAATCATTGAGATTGACCCAATAGATCTCTCATGTAGAGTTGTTTTACTTAATATTAAAGGAAAATTGCAGTTTTATATGAAAATAAAACATTTAAATCGTGATGCAAAAACTTAGTGAGAGTGGGCGCATCTAAAAATCATGTCAATACCCGCAAAAATCATTGACGGTAATGAGTTTGGTAGACGCTAGAATAAACTTGAAATGAAAGTGGATATTGAGTGGTTAGAGAACTTATGATGAGTAGTAAGAGTAATTGATTTAATTGCATTCTGTAATAATATCACATAATATCTAATTTACAATTGCTAGCGTTCATTTACGGTAAAACAATTGATAAAAATAAGTTGACAGATGGATGAATATAAAATTGACTGCATAAAAAGGTTTAACTAAAGTATTGAAGATATATCATCCTTTCTCAATAAAATGAGTATATCTACGAAGTAAGCGAAAGGTTCTTACCTCCAAAAGTAGAGGCATTCTCATGGAGTACACATCTTTGTTAATGGTGGTCATTAAGAGAGACATATCTGAAAAAGTATCGTTGGTGAAATCTACAAGAGAAAAAAAAGAGAAAATGTTAAAATTTGATAGTAAAGTTGTAAAGATAAAAAAAAGTCACTTCAACTTGAAAGCTGGTATAATATTTCTTGACCTGAGGGTTAAATATTGACCAAGCTTTGACTAAGTCAGAGCTTAAAAGAACTTTTGACCTTAACAATAATACTTAAAAGTACTAAAAAATTTATAATAATTTTGATGTAAGTGGGTCCTTCCGCTTAAGATGCTTTCTTCTGGTTAAATAGAAGACACAGTTATTGGATGGCTTTACGAGATAAATAGAAAAAATTTACCGTTTTCATTCTCAGTTAAAACTGCAACTGTTATAGTTTCCATGAGGCCAGTGAAGGCGCTGACTTGTATGTGTTGCATCAATGCCTAAAAAGGACAAGATCATACAAATTAAGAAAGAAAAGAGGGATGAATCCAACTAAAAATTTAAAATTTTCAAAATCTACCTACTAAAACTACGTTCTTCTAGGATGCTTTCTTTGGAAAAAGAGAATAGTGATGCTTAAATGCTTATGTAAAATCAGAGAGCAAATAGTTAGATTTTTGCATTAACTATAAATAAATATAATAAATTGACGATAATTTTTTTATAATCACAGAGGGATTTTGAACACAGTTAAACATTGTCCGCAATACATTTGCACTCAGCGTACCTGATGATGGTCATTCAATAGTGCCAAGAGAGCACTCAAGACCGATCCAGCGGGGCGATTATTGAAATGATATTGACTGTATGTCGCCGCTTTGTCGTGTCGCGCCATTGACTAAGAGCCACTTAGTCGATGGCGCGACACGACAAAGCGGCGACATACAGTCGATATCATTTCAATAATCGCCCCGCTGACAGGTTTATCGCTATGTATGTTTTATGAGATCAACTTCCTAGCCCACCGTGGCCCTTATAAAACAGAACTGACTTATCCTGAAATGATCCCGTGCAAAAAACATTTCGTTTGAAATTGTCCCCATTAATCCTCTGTGCCCTAGAGTCAATGGCATGGTGTTACATATTTATTACAACGCTTTTTTCAGTTTGATAAAAATTGAATCTTCCAATAAGGAAATAAGTGGCATGATTTTGCAAATTTTCCCAAATATTTCTTTCTTTCGAAAAAATAATTTCCAAAAATTTTAAATTTTGAGAAAAAAATGTAGGACTCCATGTTTTTACGAGAGCTACAACATAGATTTGTGTCCCTCAGACTCCAAGATCCAGAGTTAATTCATGCCATGGATGATTGATGCCCAACAGAGAAGTCCCTATTTTTATCCACGAGAATGACTAACATATCGAGGGCTAACAAAAAATATAGCCTGACAATTTTAGCAAAAATGAATTTTCGACTTTACCACATTCTACACTGTAAAATATGCAAGCTGATAATTTTAGTTTTTTCAAATTCTTTAAGGGAGTGCTTCAATGACGCTGTAGTATATGAAAAATTGCAAATCTAACCTTAAAATTACAAAACTGGCGAAGTTTTCTCTTCGTTCTGCAGAGTTGTCATGTAGCTGATACGCGGTAATGTTCGTTAGCCATCGATATATGATTAGTCTCGTGCACACTTAGGGAATAGGTGCAGTCTACTATGTATAAAACCTTTAAAAGACATAATCTTTTTTTGAGACAGTCAAAAACTTACTGCAATAAAAAGCAATAAAAAATTCAAGGGAAGAAAAAAATAACCTTTTCATAATGCTCATAAGCTTCCGGTAAGAGTGCAAAAGCTTCTCCAGAGCTGACGACTTCAAAATTTTGCATGTGATCCCTTCTTAAAGTTCCAAAAAAACTCAAGAAAACTGAGTTCCACAGTTGTGATAGAACCATTTTGAAATAAGCAAGACCAAAGAGGAGTTTTGGTAAGTATTTCTCGGAGCGGAATCTTCTGAATGCGAGAGTGTAAATTTCTTCATTGGCAAAGATCTTCCCAGCAAATATCAGCTGTGCTATCAAGTGTATCCGATTAACTTCTTTGGGGAATTCTCGCAACAGCAACTGCAACAATATTACAAAGAGAAAGTTTTTTAAGAATTATTTATTTTTTATTTTCTTCAAACAGAGAACTTAAGGTGATTCGATGGACGCCATTTTTTTTTGTCAGAACGGCATGCAATATATCCCATCAATTGGTTCCATTTTTTCAGCTACTCGTAATTTTTCTCCAATTTTGAGATCGCAATTCTGTTGTCAGGAGACTAAAGCACTCACTTACCGATTTTAACAAAGAAATTCAACGTAATAAAGGCGTGGTTTTTTTAGAGAGAAAACATAGCATTCGATACTGATATCGAAACTGCACTCGAATGCAATATTTTCTCTCTAAAAAAACCACGCCTTTATTACGTCGAATTTCTTTGCTAAAATTGGTAAGTGTGTGCTTTAGTCTCCTGACAACAGAATTGCAATCTCAAAATTGGAGAAAAATGACGGGTAGCTGAAAAAATGGAACCAATTGATGCAATATATTGCGTGCCATTCTGACACAAAATATGGCGTCTATCGAATCATCTTAACTCCATAAACCAGTTTAAGATTCGTAGTAGAAAGATAGTAAGTTGGAATTTTTTAGCCAACGTGCGTGAAAAACCCAGAAAACTGGAAATCTCAATACAGAGGAAAAAAACTCATTTGAGCACAACACACGTTTGCTAAAAAATTCCAACTTACTGTCCTACGACTCGTGCGTCTACCACAATCAGTTTGTGATTTGTAGTTGAATTTTGATTTCATCTTGGTTGATGGGATACGGCAAGGTGAGTTTAGAGGAGCTATATAATTATAAGCACTCACTTTTTTTATTATTAACTTTTTTTACCGTTTTTTTAAGTGAAAAGTTCGAGTTAATTTTTCAAAACTTTGGTGGTTTTTCTTCCCTGTGCTAAAAAACTTCTGTGAAAACTTCATAGAATGATATTGATTTGTCTTCTTAAAAAGGAATCAAATGGAAGCGGAGATTTTAAAACACCGCAAACAAGATACCTAAAATGCTCGCACCATCAGTATCTAATATGTATTCTATGATTTGAGCTCAATTTATTTCACTTACCCACTGGATGTCAAAAAGGAGTCTCTGGTGGGAGAACGTTATGCCACATGGAACATAACGGTACAAAACTTCGTTGATCCGTTTCAGCGATGAATGCTCGTGATGCACGATGTTTATCCATAGTCCAAAAGTTGTCATAGTCAAAGGTGTTGTGGCGGATGGAAATATTTCTCTAAAAAAACGCAGACGAATAAAAATTTACGAAGAATAATTTGAGAGGAACTGTTTACATCTCAGAACTACAACACCAACTTCAGTGTGGTTCCAAAAATGGAAGAAATTCAGAGATTTTGATAGAGAGCCGATGATAATTTTCTTTTATTTTGAAACAAAGTTCTTGTTTTTGATGAGATTCTTTAGGGAGACAAAAACAAGTTCCTTTAATTTTTGCTTTAATTATTTTGAGCACTTTTTCATGAAACACTACATTTTAATAATGAAACTGCGGAGATGCACTTTTGCAGTGTCACTGTCAATTTGCCTACCTCAAAACATCGACACTTTTTGCGGAGGCTACTTTCGATCCTCCCTTCAGAGTAGTTTATTCTTCTAAAGAAAACTGATTCAGCGTGTGTACTAGAACCCAACCCCAAAGTTCATATCAAATAGTATTAGAAAAAAAATTAGAGTACTAACCCAACATTATATGTGCTTTGCACGTCATCTTCGGTGAATGAAGTATCAAACTCATGAATGATTTCAAAATCACTCCAGACCAGAGTAGAGGTAATCGGCCTTGCTTGAAGAAGATAGATTTTGTCCTGGAAATAAAGATTACATCTTCCATTCACCTTACATATTCATGATAGTATTTGTACTTTGAGTATTTATCTAGTGGTTTCTACAAAGGACATTTTAATCCACATAACTGAGTCCAATTTTAATATTTTTTATTTTTAAGCGTTTCTATTTTTAATTACTCTGTCTCATCAATTCTCTTTTATCCCTCCATTTTTTTCAAACTGGTGCTGTAGCAACAGTGCAAACATACAACTCAATTTTAATATTTCTTCATTTTTAAGCGTTCCTATTTATAATTGCTCTGTCTGATCAATTCTTTTTTATCTCTACGTTTTTACCAAATTGGTGCTGTAACAACAGTGCAAACACACAAGAAAAACACTGTGGCAGTCAATTATAAATAACAAGTTTAGCGACTAATGTGTACACTGCGGATCAACGTGAAAAGGAGTGAAAGGCAAGAAAATACACTTCCTACAAAAAAAGTGAAGAATATTTAGTATCCGATTTACCACAGTCTTTTTGAGTATCGAAAATGTTAAGAAGTTTTAAACAGCGGTTCTTACTTTAGCTACTGCCCACTCGATATCACAAGAGAAACCAAAGATTCTTTCGACATCCATACACACCTTTGATAGCTCCATAATTTGAGCTGATGTTAAACACAATGGATCTAGATGAGTTTTAAAAAAAAGAGACAAGGATTAGTTCTAAAGATGATAGGAGCATTAATTAAACATTGATTTGATCTTTCATTAAGGATGTTTTCAGAGTCACTCTCAGTTTCACAAATTTATGGTAATTATTGATGTGAAATTACTGAGTTTAGTGTCACAAAATTCCATTTGAACTACCTTCCATTTATTCGAAGCATCGAAAGTTTCTCTCTGAAATAATAAAATATACTCGAGATTTTGTAAGAAAAATGAATGAGTGGTAGAAAATGTATTGAACAAAGTCACATTAGGTATATAATTTTGAATTTACGAATAATAATAAGAGAGTTCCATATTAATTTTCAAAATAGAGGCTGAAAGAAAAATACTTTTAAATAATGTCTTCTAAATTTTTGTTCATTGTCAAAATCTCAATTTTGGACTAATGATAAACATTACGGTAGAAGACTGCAAACTTATCTCTTTGAAAGTTACAGTGACCTCCTACCTAACACTGAGATAGATTTAACTATATACAATGAGAACTTACTGGAATCTCTGTTCCCAGCTTTTTGATCTATTATTGAGAACTTAGAGCCTCCATCTCGATGAACAGTAATATAGTCTGGATTTACCGTGCCAGAGACAACAGCCTACGAAAAAAATAGGAAAATTATATAGCAGTTGGGACTAACTAGACAGAACTTTTTTTTCAGTCTTTTGTCAGAAAATTTTGTCTTAAGAGAACTTACTAGACATCATGAATTATAATGGTACTTACATCACCCAATCCTCTGGTGGCATTGATTACGATAAGAGAGGGGTCACCCGAAACAGGATCGCGAGAAAACATCACTCCTGCTGCATCAGCCGGAGCCATTTCTTGAATAATGACACCCATAGAAGTGACGACAGGCAAACCATGTTGTCTATAATAAAAAAAATACTTCTGTTTAGTACTTGGTTGCGTTCAATTTTCATGAATTTCTTTCCCCCTGTGTCTTAAAATAATTCCTCATAAACTGAAATTTCATTGATTGTAAGCAAAGTGAGGAAAAAACCTGGTTTTCAGTCAAATTGGTGACAATATTGAACTGAAAGCAATTGGCAATAAATTCTGATAGGACCCAGGATCATAGAATAATAACTACCAGAAGGGCGACAGTTGGCAATCATTAGATCCTCTTGGCTCTTACAAGGCCTAAAACTCAAATTATTCCTGCCAAAATGACGCCAAGTCTTGTTTGCTCGTACCTTGCAGCCCTTCTTCTGCCTGCTTTTTTGAATTTCCTGCGGAAACTGTTCTGAGTTTACTTAAAAAAGTGACCATAACCAAACTCAGAAAAGTAATCACCTCACCTCTCTGGTTGGTTATTACCTATGCCAATGTGAGACTAAACTTTTGATCTCTGGGCTGTATTTATCTTCTTAAAGATGCTCATTCCAACAATGAATGGTACCTAACTAATTTTCCCACTAAATTTCACTCTTAGACTAGGGCAGAAATCACAAAAGCCTTTATAAAGCATTGCTTGGGCCAAACATGGTCTGAGGAAGAAAAAATGCCAGAATTCACAGTTTTGATTATCTCCCGATCAAACTGAGCCACTTTAACCAACTCACAGTCTAGGAGGCACACACAAATTGGTCGCCATGATCATCTTTGTAGGAAACGAGTTAAGTGCTGCAAAAGCGAGGCTACACGTTTGGTGTAATGAATTGATCCGAAAGTCTTACCTCCTATACTTCAGTGATCTGAATGAGAATAAAGACGCCCAACAGTTCTTGACAGCCTCAGATATTTCAGATACGCCTGAGACATTCAAAAAGGTTTCGTTCTGTCCTGCCGCAGAGATGTTCTCTCCATCTTCATGAATTCCTGAGGATCTTACAGCATAGCGAGTTTCCGGTTGTAAAAATCTATTCAGAATTTCAGATAACTCAGCTGAAATAGGCGTTGATGCCCAGATGGAAGTGATTCTGCAGGAAAAAAAAAATATATTTTCAATTACTTTGATTGCAATGATGAGCAAATATAATTAATAAGGAATCTGAGGTACTGAAGACGGGAAAAACTGGGGGATCACGATTTTTATGTTAACCATACTTATGTCCTCTTGAATTTTTTGGTAAAAACTATTTGCACATTGTTCAGCTAATTTATTTACGGGTACTCTACACTCTACAGAGATGACATACCTGTTATTAATTTCTCTATTTCAGGTAGGTGGTTTGCAAACGTGACCAAACACTAAGCTCTTGTCTATGAACGCAATCTATGAATAGTTTCCTATAAATTTGAGTTCTAAAATTTTGTCCTTTCTATCCTTTATTAATTGAAATGCCTAGGATCAAAACCTTCAATCTTCATTGTGCTGTCTAAAAATTTGGCAATCCTTTTACATTATCATAATGAGAGCTTCTGCTAACGTACTTTCTCAAGAATTTTCTTCATGTTAGCGAGGAAATTATGACGGTGTTTTACATACGTGCTTTGATTGAATTGCTTGAGTTTTACCTTGATTGAGTGTTTTGATTGCTCACTTTTAAAATTAAAGAGCCTGCCAAGTTTTTCGACAGCGGAAGGAGAATTGCAGCATTTGATAATCGGAGATTCAATTATAGTGTGTCTTGACTTATGTTTACACACAAAAAAAAAATTAGGTAAGTCATAAATCTATTTCAAATTTGACATTCTCAGTACTTGACATCTTCAGTCACATCAACATAATAAAGGAGATAAAGTTTTTTAAGAATGAAAAAATAAAAAACACAGAGCCTGCCTGACTTTCAGAATTTCAGAAATCCATGAAACCAGCGAATTTTTTACTCCGCAAGGCAGCCATATTGACGGTTGCAAAAGAAAGTGCATACTGAAGGAACGCATACCATTAAAACAAACCTTTCACATTTCTCTTGTACGACAGCGTCTGATACATCAGGACCAAGATCTTTCAGAGCATAGACGGCATTTTTCAAATTTTGGTGGATTTCCAAGTGCTGCTCTAAAGTCGAAGTAGTTAAGCATATTCCAGGTGGAATAAGTGCCTGAAAGAAGAAGTGACATGAAATACTACATTTACAAGAATCAAGCATCATGCAATCATTACATTAGATAATACCAAGAAAAAGTTATCTCCTTATGGATTATACTGATCAATTAATAAATTTTTTCAAATGGCCAATTTGAGCATTCATTTTAACATACACTTTTAGCTATTGTACCGAAGATGATCTTCGTTTTTCTCATCGATTCAATTTTACCAAGAAAAGTTGAAATTTTTCCTGAAAATGGAACTCTTCTGCAGGCCGATTATGGAAATTGATAAACAAAGAAGATAAAAGGGAAGTGGAGGGATCCTATTGGTGGAAGTGGGTAGTTGCAGTGGACAAAGGAGGTAGGTATTAGACTAACTAACGGCAACCCAAGAGAAACCCGACAGTCCATCATTTTCTCCCTTAGTCCATAGGAGCCACACAATTCAACCAATTGGATCGCTCCACACTCCCTATGTCTTCTTTGTCTATAGCTTTGTCTATCAATTTCAATAATCAGCATGCTGGGGCCATTTAGCGTCCAAAAATACAGTAGTATGCGTCCTCAGTATTCCTAAGAATATTCCCCACTATTTCTGATAAAAAAAATTTTCAAGTAAAAAATCTCAATCCTTCTGTATACCACCATGATATATCAGATTGTTTTATAGCCAAAGAATGGTACAAATTATTTTTCTAGCTGTCCATTAAAACTATATCCACCTAAGTTCTGAAGTTGAGGCCGAAAATTGCCTTCGATTTTTTCTAGCACCTATAAAAAATCAAATTTCCATTAAAAAATAGGTTTTCTGAGCTGAAAAACGCCTATAATTGCCGAAAAACTGGTTGGTATTCGACAAACTTTGATCGCTTTGGGCCGCTCAAACAAGAATATCTGCGGGAAGTCAGGGGGCTTAGCCTCATCTTATGAAACGAACCTCAGGTAAAAAATCAGAGACTGTAGTTAAAAATTTGAAATATTTCCATTTACATTGCAAATATATCAAAAAAAGGCTTCGCAAAGGCTTAAAAACTTCGTCACTTGAATATTGAAACTTTTTATCAGGTGAAGAGTAAAAAAACTATTTTAAAAGTATAACTCATAACCTCATAACTTACATTTTTTATGAAATTAAGTTTCTTTCCAATTTGCATGTAGGCCAGAGAGGCAGCTTTGCCACCAACTATGGCAACTTGACAACACTCTGCTGAGCTCAGCGGAAGTACGGCTAGATCCGTCGAATTTGAAATGCATTCTGTGGCATATACTCTTAAAAGTGATGATAAATCTGGAATTAAGTCTGGTTCACACCTGAAATGAGGACGAATGGTTGAATAAATAGATAGTTCCATGAACGGTTTGGGGCAAAAAACAGAAGTAAAGCAAAGATGCTGACATTGTGTCACAGTCATCAGAGTTTGTTTCTGTAAAACAGAAATATTAATCAAGCAGAGGACAAATTCATTCAGAGTTAACTGTCCACGTTGAAGATACGATGTTTGGAGCGACCTTAAATAAGACCATCAGTTAAGCACCTACTGATGCATTTCACAGGATTTTCATAATTTTTTAATTTTTTTATTTTCTGAATTTTTTTTGCATTTCTCTGACTCCAAAATTTTCGAATTCCGTGACTTTGACTGATCTTTGTTCAAAAGCTCCTTTCAGATTTTTTATCTGTTGATTACGCCGACTACTGCTAAGCTACGGACAAAATTCCCACTTCCATAGACTCAAAATGAGGAAAAAGACACTGGGAATTTGTTTGAGCTCCCTGGAGTGGCACTGGCTGAAGTTGTTGAGCCCACGCGCTCTTTGTGAATTTTCCTCAACTTTTCCTACAAATTTCTTGGGTTTCAGACTCCTGGAAACCATGATTTTGGGTCTTCTTGGAGCCACTATCAGCACAACAGCCAAAATTTTTGATCAGCCCTACGATATTTTTGTTGACAGGTTTAAAAGAATAAACAGGACAAACACTTACAGTGAGGGTGTTATTTGGAAACCAACTCCTTTCTCTGAAGCAGAATGCCAACTTGCAAATTGAATAGAATCTCTTGTATAATTAGCCACTTTAATGATAAAACTGTAATTATTACGACTATCTAAAAATTAAAAAAAAGGCAGGTATAAGATATAGATAAGTCTTAAATTTTTGCTGATAAACTGCCCGGTTCAATCAACATTGTAACAGTCCATGTTAAGGTTTTCATTTATTTTTTGTTCCCTAGATTTTTTCTTCATTTTACTCCTTCAATTATACTTCAAAGATTTAGAGTACCATCATGAGCTCACTGCATAAATGAAGTATTTGAAGCAAAATTCTGAATCGTTATAACACGGGTGCAGAGGGGTCGCTTGTTTGATTGCTCTCATGCCCGGTGCTCTATTATTGCTGTTCTGCCGTGCCATTCTGTTTCTTTGTGCCTCAACTCTTTTAGAAACAAGTTTTTTAAACAAATGCTCTTAGAAACATTCGTATGCTACCTTCTAAACTCAAGACATTATATTTAAAGGTCAAAATCCTCGTAATTTTAGTGCATTATTTTGAGTTTTACCAACAGTGCTTTACAAATATGGAGACTAACAATGCGATAGTAGCGTTCGAGAATTATCACATCTCCAATTAAGACTCTTATCATGATAAAGAAATGCGTGACTTTAGTTGAGGCTGCGGAAGTCTGTTGCTGCTGGACGGTAAGAGGGCGGGACGAGCTTTGCTTCTTGCAGCTTGGGTTCAGCTCTGAGTAGTTAGGAGGCTAAATCATACTCCCCCGGTCCCACAGTAGAGATGTGCCAAGGTAGGCCTGCGCTGCGGTCTCCCTCAGGTGCTCAAAGGTGCTGATGGAGGACTTTGGCTGACATGTGGGGAATGCAATAAATTTAGGAGCGGAGGGGCATGGACGGACGGTCCTAACATCAACGCAAGGCCAAAAAATCGGGGGAAAAAAATAACTCTGAAGAAAAGGAATGAAGATGATAGATATTCAAAGCTAATGAAAACGATGAATTACATTTGAAACTTATAAAAACAGGGTAATAAAAGTGATTACAGAAGACATACCAGAAAAAGTTAGTTTTTTGAAGGCACCACTCTCTTGGTAATTTAAGACTGACAGCTTAATGTACTCCTGGACTCGGATTGTTCTTTGAATGTGACCACATACATCGGATTTGTTTTTTCTGTGCAGGAAACATGCTTGTTTCATTTCATTGAAAAAGGGAGATAGGAGATCAAGGAAACAATGACTAGAGTGTACATTTAGTATACTGCGTTTGCAATTGTTTTGGTGGTTTACTTGATATGACGTATCGTGTCAGCCTCGCTAAAAATTTCTGGGAGTAATATTAAATATTCAGCAATTCAGACAGTATATGCTCTTCGATCGAAAATAAAGATACCCATCAAAAATATTGACACTGTCTAGTTCTTCAGGAAAGAGAAAAAGTTCCTTCTCGGAGAGTCCTTTCACAGTGCTAGTGAATTCCTTGGAACAAACTATATGAGCTATAATTAATAGTGATTTGAACCGTAGTTGATAACTAAAATACCATCGCATCAACTGTAAGTTTAATGTTTTTCTCAATTAGTAACTTAATTCCTTAACTATGAGAGCTTACGTAAAATTTTGTAAAAATAAAGATAAAATAAAATAATAGGTGTAGATTCAAACTGCTTGAGTTGTACATACATCATGACACAGTATTGGAGTCAACTGCTTGTTTTCTTTTAAAAGTACAAAAATTCATCAATTCAACAGCTTCAATTGGGTCAAATCTTTTTTAGCTCTGGATTTGAATTATAAGGGGTTGCAAGTTCTCCTGCTCCCTTATGGCTTCAAAAAATTTTGGATTAAATTGTTTCATACTCTGAATTGATGGTAAGTTAATGGCTAAATAATTAACCCATTATCAATAAGACTCACCTTAACAAACCGGTCGTCAGGAAAAATGAAAATTTGTTGCCTATCTCATCAATTAGAATAAGTTGCTTGCTGTGATCCACTGTGCGCCAACTTCTTCGCCTGAAACTTTGGAGTCGAATCTCTTCTTCCAAGTATTTTCCATCTGACATTTTTGACTGAATAATTCCAACCATTGTGCCCCATTGTTCATATCCTGAAAATTCTTCTCTCCTTGAAGAAAAAAAAAAATCCATCGATACAGTCAAAGCTGTGATATACCACATTCATTGAAACTTTAAAGCAAGGAAAAGTAGGATGATTCATGCATACATTACTTTACTGATTATTATTATTATTTATTTATTTATTTATTATTGTAGATGGGAACTAGAGGTTCAAAATAAGTCGAAGCACATTTTGAGAAGGAAAAGCTTATAGGGTTAGAGGAGACTCTCTGGAAAGTTTTACTGCTCAGATACTTCTTTAATACTATATTTCAAAGTAAAACCTTTTTAATTTTTTTCATTAGGATGTTAGACTTTACAAGTAAAAGATTTTGCAGAAAAATTTAGATATATTGTATTTTTAATGATAAGAAAAGTTTTTCTTGGCATTCCACCACAGGAGATAAAAATTCTTCTGTAAAAATACACAAGTAAACTTGCAGTTACATACTTACAGTGTTGTTTCACTTTTGGAAGAAACATTATACTCTGGGTCGAATGTATTACCTCGAAAGAATACAGGAACGCTCATTGCATGCCACCTAGGAGGAAAAAATCGAGCAAAAACTAAGTTGCATAGAATCTGTGTTTGAATTTCCTATAATTGTGACTAAAAATTGTAATTTATGAGATTCTTTTACATGACAACATTTCAAAAAGTTGATTGTCCCACTCTGCCACCGGGAGCAGAATATGTTGTTGCAAGTTAGCCAACTCCATAATCAACTTGTTTTTGAAACTTTCCAATTCTCTACTGCAAATATGCGAATTTTGCACTGTGTCACTTTAAGCATGAATCATATTTGTCATTTAATTGCTATTTCACCTATTGAAATACTACTAATAAAAGAAAATTTCCAGATATTCCAGTACAGATAAAAAGGGCACTTCTGAATGTCTGCATAGTGAATAACATTGGAGAGATCCTGGTAGCCAGCTCAAAATGTTTCTCAACCACAATCAAGGAAGTGACTGTTGCTGTAATGACGCCTTTCCAAGTTATTTAAAAAAAATTCTTTGTATGCCTTTTGAGAGTGGAACTTGAAGAAAAAGGGAAAAGTTAAATTGAACATGACTTACAGTAAATTTATCTTGACATGATGAGAACTTGCGGGGCTGATCTGATTATTTCTGAAAGAGAGAAATGAACATTTTCAACCCATGACAAGAAGAAAAATCACGAGGGAAGCAGAGTTCAAATGGTCTCATTCATATTTATGACTCAAAATAAAATTATATAGGGGCCATAGGAACATTTCCTTTGGTAAGGTTTTTTTTTTTGCTTTGAAATCACAGTATGTAGTTAAAAAGGCTCACACTAAAGAGATTGCTTCTTTCAAATAGCCACTATTTTCAAAATCATGTTGGCAATTTTTCGTCTCTGTGACTTATTCTGTGTCATTCTATTATCAATAATGTGTTCTCCTTAGAGTTTTAATTTTGTTCCATTGGCTAGAATATTTGACCGAAAATTTCTTTAATTTTAAGATATTTTATATAGATTAGAAAGTAATTAAAGAACTTGTAATGATCCTCTTTTTTGACTTGGTGAAGACGTCCATCTGAAGAAAACCAGAGAAGCATTTCGACTTGAAAGAATCCATCTTACAAAAGTAAAAATGTCTAACTAGCCTTCAGAGGTGAACTGGGACCAAATGTAACCGGAAATATCGGCCTTTCAGTGCTTGAACTGGTCCATTTTAGTTGTAATTTTTTTTTTTTTTTTTTTTTTTTTTATTTTTTTTTTGGCAAGTGAAGGAAATTGGTCTGTATGTACCTTTCATATCGACCTGTAAGCCACTGTCAACTTTCTCTCAATATGCTTTTAATCACTCACTTCAGTTTGGTTTAGATGAGTTGAAAAAATAACAGCTTGAGGGTTAAATTTTATGAAATTTATTTTGCGAGAGGTCTTACAGGCATTATGCCCATCATCAGTGGCTGAATAACAAAATCATTCTACAACTCATGCGTCTGAAAGGACTCTAGCAAAATAGGTTTCATAATATGCAACACCTGCAACACCTTGGCTGTTGTCTTTTCGAACTCAGCCAAACCAAACTTTAAGTACTGGTGTTATTATAGTAAATCTACAATGTTCAACTACTTACTTCAAATTCCCATTGTATACTATGCGCCAAGTTTTCATGGACTCTACTACTTCGAATGTTAGAAAATTAGTTGACCAGTTTTGACAATAGAGAAGGCATGAAGCAGAATCTGCAAAAATAAGAAAGCAAAAGATCAAACATTTCATCAAGGATCTCATTCGTTGTCATTCTGTAGACCCTCTCTAAGTGAGACGACGTCCTAAGAAAAAAAGAATGACTAAGGGGCCGGGCCCAAATGGACTTTCTTTGGATTAAGCTATTATTTTACTGTATTCTTTGGCTGAATAAATTGTTTTTAATTTTTAAATTAAATCATTAGGTACGTACCACAGCTTTCTAGAGTCGTGCCATCACTCAGTGTTAACACAAAATCAATTGCAGCAGAATTAAATTGTCTCCTTTTGATTTCTGCAAATATTTTCACTCCAGTCTTACTGGCTCCGAAGAAAAGCAGAGAGTCTGGGTCCTAGAAAAGAGAATAAAATAAATACAAATAGAAAGATGATCTAAAAGAGAAATCTTGAAATCGATTTTTTTTTTTTTTTAAATAGATACATTGAGGAAATAAAATGCGAGAAATAATTTTAAAACCTCAAAAATGTACTTGACGAGGAGTGAATAAAATGGTTAAAGGGAGAAATATTACGGCCCTGATGAAATGAAAAATGTATGGCAAGAACAAACCCCACTCAATAATCCGAAGAAAAAAAATTCTCGTGACTGACATCAACAGGCTAAATAATTAACCATCTTGGGGAAAGAGCAATGGCCAAAGCATGAAACAACATATATCCATCGCAATGTTTCAAAATTGCCGCACCTTTTTTATTTTTTGAGAGGAAACAAGTTAACTTTACAGTTAAAACTTTAAACTAGATAATCTGCAGAATATTTGGTTCATAGTCAAGAAATTCGGATGACTTGTTTTCCAAACAAAAAATGAAGTATAACAGGTAGTCTGCAAAGTCAGAAACAGAAATACATGGTTTCGCACTTTGGCCATAGAGACGTAAAAAAAGGTTTACTCTACGGGAGATTGAAGTTTCGTTGATCTATGTTAAGAACAACTGAAATGGTCGATGTTTCTTAATATTCGCTAATTTTGTAGTGTATTCATTGATTTTTTTTTTACGGACACAAGATTCCCTTGATAATCAGCATCACTTACCTGCGTACGATTCAAAACAGGCTTTGGCTTCTCCAAGAGAATCTCTGTCTCCGTGGGTAATAGACTTAACGGTGGCACGGTCCTGGAGAAAAAGTTTCTAATGCTGAAAGTTAATTTAATACTACAGAACTTAAAAAACAAAGCGACAACAGCAAGCGTTCCCAACAAGAATAAAATCATTTTGATTTTATTCTTGTATTTATTATAATGCCAAGAATGCCTTTGGACTTTTAATGAAATTGGGCAAATATTAATATTTTTTCCGATAAAAATAGAGTAAACAGTAAGCTGTTGCTGCTACGCAATGAGAACTGCAACTAATTCTCCAATAACATGAACGTTCAGTGTAAACTGGGCCACTTGACTGGAAATAAGTGGCACTTCAAACTTTAATTGGTGGGATTGCCATCTACCAATAGCATGAGTGTTTACTCTTCAACAACCGACAAAGTTTTATATCCATCTTTTTTTGGCTCAATGGCCTCACTTTTCATACAGAAGCTGAAGTACTCTCAGAGAGGGACGCAATAAAGGGTGCGTACTTTAGAAGATAATAGATCTAATCATTGAAGTATCACTTTCAAGGTCTACCATGTTGAAAGATACATCTAAATCCGCATGATCTGATCATTTTTTCATCTGAACATACTTGATTGCTGATTATTTTTTGTCATATTCTGTAAGATAGATAAAGAAGGAAAAATTTCTAAAAGTTAGCGTTTTTTAGCTCCATTTTTAGATAAGCATGGAGCAAATTTCAGCGCAATTTTTCTTTGTCTATCCTACAGAATATGACGAAAATTGATCAGCAATCATGTATGTTCAGATTAAAGAATGATCAGATCAAGCGAAGGCAAAACATTAAGTTTACTTTGTGACTTCACAAAGTTAAAACTCACTTGTAATGGATTTTACGACTTTTCAGAGACCCATTTTGGACAGGCAGCCCGTCATCGGTGCAACAAGTGATGGACTGCCTGCCCAGTATAAGTTATCCATGAAAAGTTGTAAATGTCGTCAAAAGGAAATAAATAATGAAAAAATTGTGGATCGGACTGTTAAGGACTGTGCACAGTGGACACTTCATTAACTATCTAAAAACCCTTGATTGGAGGAAAAAAAAAGAACAATTCCATGACATAAGTTAAAATTAGCAAGAAAATTGATAACAAAAACTAAAAAAATCAACACGGTGGGATGCCAAAAAATGCACAGATAACCGTGCAAGACTTGAAAGAAAATGACATGTTACAGTTGGACTGCATTTTGCAATTTGGCCCTGAAAATTCCAGCCCGGTTTAAAAACAACGTATGTACCATTAGTTTCCCTATGCACATAAGTGTTTTTTCAGATGAGCCAGAATTTATAGGTCCAAGTTGCAAAATGCAGTCCAGTTCATGGGAATGGGAACGAGTAAAAATCAGTCAAAATAAATTTAAATTTTACGTCTATTCCCCCCTCCCCCCCCCCCCCCCCCCGATGGGATCCATCAGAAAACTCATACTTGGCAAGCAATTTATAAACTCCGTCTTTCTAAAACCACCATGATAATTGTACTACATTTTGCAATAAGGAACTACGTACTGTATTCTGACTGATTTTAGAAACAACACACCACTATGCAAATAGGCACTTCTATGGACGAATCAGAAATAGTAGTTCCTTAAAGCAAATTGTAGACATTTTACAATCTGCATGCCATTAAAATTTCAATTTGCAGCTCAAAAAAAGGCTCAACATAGATTTTTTTTTTTTTTATTTTAACCTTTCAGAGGTATTTAATAACATTCAGCCTCTTTTTCCAAATTTCGCTACTAGATTCTTACAGAAAAACAAGCTTAGTAACATAAAAATTAAGGATACTTTGATTTGACATTTTCGTGTTGATGTTGAAGAATTGGGATATTCTTCGAGATATGCAGGTTTTCAAAAAGATACATTCATTTTCAATTTGAGGGGGGAAATATTTAAAAAAAATCTTGTGATTCTTAGGTATTGGAAGTTCACCCCAAATGCAATTATGCTAAATGTGGAAAAAAACGTCCAAGGAGTACGTCCTTTCCGGAGACAAATTGCAGCTGGAAATTTTACTTTTGAACTTCAAATTATAATACATACTTGAAATGTTAAACTTCAAGACTTTTCAAGAATGCTTAGAAGAGAAAGATAGAGAGAGAGGGAAAAGAATCTAAAGAAGGGCTTTTTTTATGCATTTACTTTGAGGAGAATCACAGTCTGTTTTAAAGCAGTGAAGCTCATGCAATGTAACAATTCCTTTTTTCATCTTGGCAATGTTGTTGAGTTAAAACTTTGACAGTTCAATCTATGTTCCTTGAAGTAACCAGTGCTATGAAGTTAATGACGACAAGACTTACATTTCAAAGTGTAGATTTTTTGAAAGAGGGGGGGGGGATGAGTGTACGGAATTTTTTTTTATAAACACGTTATAATGTAAGTCTTGACTTCATTAATTTCATAGCACTAGCTACCTCAATGAACATATTTACAAAGTGCTACTACTTGCTAATAAGAATTTTATACATTAACAACTTCACAAAGTTTAGTCTAGAATTGAAAGTATAGAACATGACAGTCATCCACAAAAAAATATTTGAAGATTCTCTTTCATCAGGAGTCATGGCTGCCATATTTTCGAAGCACTAATAATGTTACAAGGAGCTGTTGACACCTTTGAAATGGCATTTGATTGGAAAAGTAAATTTGATCCTGCATGATTTGGCAACACGTGATGATCAGGTGAGGAGGAATAGACTTTTGAGCGAGGAGATGGTGAGTCAGTTCAATCTGGTGATCAGAGAATGACACTCAACAGTAGCTTAGCAGGGGCTAATGAACCCAGACTGTTGAACCCAGAAGCTGTTCAGACAGAATTTTAGGTCAGGTGAATGTACTTTTGGAAAATAAGATGATAATTTTGCGATATTTCAGCCAAGTGATGAAAGAATGACTCAAAGCGTGCTCGACGCATGCATGCATGGGGCTAATGAACTTTGAGACTATTAAGAGAGATTTTCGCAGTCGTGAGATACAATTTTCTGACATCAGAGAGCTCATCAAATCAAAGAAGTATTTTTAACTCGACTTCCCCTAATAGCACATAATGTAAAGTTTACAAAACACAACATTGTAAAAAAATCTTGAAAAAAAGTAGTAAAATAGACAAAAGAAGAAATGCCTCAGTAATCTTTTTGACAAGAAAAATATATAAAAAGTACCAGTAGTAGTACAAAATTACCTCAGTTCACCTCTTTGATCACAAAATTTTTACGTAAAACTCTTGAACTCTGACTAATCATTACTTCTTTACAAACTTTTTTTACGTACAACTTTCAAACTCATAAAATAAGCCAGCTTTACATTTCCTTGCCGAGTTGTTTTACAGGGTGTGCTATTAGGGTAAAGAGTAGATTTACGGATATATGTTTCAAAAAAGTTCAGCTATTTTTTCAAATTCTTTTCAAATTCCAAGCATATAAAAAAAATTCAAAATTTCAAAATTAAAAATATAATTTTGATTTTGGAGTTAGCAGTGAATAAATAGAAAAGTTGAATTAAAGAAAGTTTTATTGCATTGTCAAAACTTAAGTAAAAAAAGAACAATTTGATTCGTTAGGCTTCCTACTTAAAAAAAGAAATACTATATCAAAATAATCAGTGATTCCAAGGCATTTATGTTTTTCAATGCTTGTTTGCTTTCTCAATGATAAATATTTGGCATTTTAAGAATGAGAAATCATTTTCTAGACTTGTTTTCTGCGTTGAGATAAGAAGCTTTCATTTTGTTTTCATACCTCAATACCCATAGAAAAAAACACACACTAGCAACCTGTTGTTGATCATACATGTGACTTGAAAATATCAAAAGATGGGATGAAACTAGGAGAAAACATAGAGAGAGAAAAGAAAGGAAGCATTAAGGCTTTGAGTTTGAAACAGGTTACAGACTTCTAACAAAGATGAATTTTTAAGGATCCTTGAATTCTCTACATAGAATAACTACAAGTGTATTTTCTACTCGGTACATTCTTTACTTATACTACACAATTTTGAAACACAGAGTGGGACTTCTTTTTGACGTTAATTTTGTGATAAGTATAATTTCTGTGTGACAGAGCAACTGAAATTCATCTCGCTGATACAATTGAACTGCATTACAGGAGAAGAAACAACAATTTCTGGCTTATTTCAAAAATGACATATGTGCCATTAGAACCCCTATGCAGATGAGTACTTTTATGGATAAGCTAGAAACAGTAGCTCCTAGCTGCGTAGTATAGTCCGATTGACGTAGGGTGCAGTTTGTAAATTTTCCATCGACACGCAGAATAACAGGAAATTTCCACTTGCAGAGCGTGAATGTATCCTCAGTGTTTTTCATGATTTCTATTTGCTGTTTTAGAATTGTCAATGATAAGAAAGATTAGGTAAGTCATACTCAAAACTTGCACCAATGTAAACACTAAGGATTTACAGACAAATGCCACTGTTGCCAGCCGAAGAGGTACCTAATGCTTCTTTTTAACTAATTAATTGTTCATATCAATACGACGATGAACGTAGCACATTAAAAGCATCTAACCCTGAATTACTCTTGGCCATTTTAGTGCTATTCTTCCTTATCATTTGTTGGTAAAGGAGAAAAAAAGAATTGTAATTTACAATTGAATTGCTTGTTTTCTAGCTTTTTTACTCAAACAGAAAGAGATCTGCAGCTCAAAAGGGTTGAAATAAGCTGCTATTGGGTAGTGCTGACGAATAAAGTGCTTACGTGTTTTTTATTTGATCAACTCGTATCTCCACAGCCAGTATAATGACTCCTATCATTGAGAAGCAAACGAACAAACTCTAAAATAAATCTATGAAAATAAATATAATAAAGAATTAAAATAACAAAATAAAAACAAATAATATAAAATAAAATAGGTAAGTAGCTACTACAACTAACATCACAAAATATGAGAGCTCAGAAAATTGAGCATTCTTGGATGAAAACTAAGGTTATCAATAAGTTGAACAGACTGATAAAATTACCAAGCAAAATTAAACAATGGGTAATTTTTTCTCAAATCTTTGTTGTCAATTTGAGAGTTTAATATCAAAAACTTCCTGAGCCCTCAAAAAGTATTTGAATCATGATTGCAGAAACACTCCGCAGAAATAATATATCTAAAATAAACAAAGCATAAAAATAAGCAGACAATTTTCCTCTGCCTAAACTAAAAAATAGTTAGTTTGGAAATAGTTTAGGAAAAAATATTTTCAAAAAGTGTTAATATACCCGACAGGTTTTTTATTTACTCTCAAGCTTCAAAAAAAAATTATGGATAGTAACTTAATTTCAGACTTCAAAGACTAGCCCTCCACCGTCATCATTTATCAAGCGCCATTTAGGAATTGGGCCTTGAATCGAGATTATGCCTCAAATAAAAGCTTGAAACACATCATTACTTGTACAGAGGGCTTGAGTTTCTTTTCTGTAGTTGCAAATTTTGTTCTGGTCAGTCTTCCTAATCATTTGTGTTTACTTTGGAAAAAGAGTTGCTTCCTGAGAAGACAGAAACTCTAATTATGACGCATGTGCTGTGTCCTGCTCATCGTCAGGGCGGCAACTCGTTTCCTACCATGATAAGAAAATTGCCTTTTTAGCAGACAAAGTAAGTTCAGGTAGGATCATTTCACTTTTATCATGCTTTATGGAAACAAGGATTCCATTTTGACAAGAATTGCATCTCTTCTTCTATTCAAAAATTTTCTGTCTCTTGCACATTTCGCTTGCTCCAAACAAAAAAATAAAAAAACTCACAGTTATTTTTGGCACTTTGTACTTCATATCCAGCCATTTCATCGTTATTTTGTACAATATGATGTGCCCTCTACTGCATATTCATTGCACTATCAGAAAGAAAGCTCAGTGCTTCATTTTTTTATCTGTCAATGTTTCTCAAAGTAGAACCAAAAGGCATCAGACATCCTGATGAACAGCGATTGAGAAGAAAAGGGAAAATTTTTAGGGCAAAACTCACTAAAACTTCAGCAGAACCTTCATATTTTTAGAGAAATCATTCTGATAACAATTCTCACGATTCACATGAATTCATTATCATTTTGGCATGAATGCCTCATCGAAAGACACCCAACTTTTCATAGGATACACTTTTTAACCACAATTTTCTAAAACCTCATGATTTCAGAATTCAGGTTTATTAACTAACAGTCCCAACTTCAATGCAGACGTTAAAGTTAGAGGTTCACCATAAGGGTTACATTTTTTCCTTTAACATCCCGACCACCTAAAATTGAAATAAGTTGCTCTTCAAATTTTCCTAGGAGCTCTGACACTTTTAATACATTTCATAAGAATAAAGTAGGTAAAAAAAATTGGCCTCAGTTCCCTGATGTGCAACATCAATATCTAATATTCCAATTCAACAAGATTGAGAAAATTGAAACATTGTGAGAACTTAAAATTAAGATTATCCAGAGGGTCTTAGATGTAATAATTACAATTGGGTGAGTAACTTAAAAATACTTCCAAGTAGTTACATCAGAGCTAACGCTCAAAAATGAATACCTACAATTTCGCAAAAGATTTTGATTCAAAGTTAACAGAACCGTTTTAAAGTCAAACAAATAGTTGCGCTCAATGTGAAGTAATCTCAAAATAGAGTTCATGTATAATAAGTTTACGCACTATGGAGTGGAACAGGAGACCAGCTGTTTTCAGCTTGACATCAAAAGTAAATACAAGAATCAAAACGGATCTTATATCTCATTCTAAAAGAGCGAAAACTTGATGTGGGCTCTAGAACAGTACTTTTGTGAAGGCACTCTAACAATCAATGTCTCAAATCAATTATTTTAGATTTATAACAATTAGTATTTAAGTATAAAAGTATTTTCAATACTAACATTTAATCATAGTCAAGATATAACATTTTCATTTAAGAGATAGAATAGACCTTGAACTACAAGCTTGCAATAAAATGCAAAAAACTATTGGGTGAAAGTAGGGGTCCGCGAAGCTGCGTTTTTCGTAGCGAAGCGACAGCCCATTTTCCGTTTTTTTTAATTATCCATCAATCATCGGCATTCGGCATTGTTTCCGAAAGAGCATGAAAATTTGAATTACTGCAAAATTTTTGCTTCGCTCCACTTTTTCCTACCTCGCGCTTCACTTCGCAAAATGCGAAGCTTCGGGGGCCCCTAGGTGAAAGGATTTCCTTCCCTTCAGTTTTTCCTTCATCTTAACACTACAAATAACCCAATACAAGCATTTGGAAACTTTTATTGAAGAGGTGAATGTAATTCTCCCCTTGAGAAACAAAAGAAATCACCTGGGATTCCTGGTTGGAATGATTTCAATTTCAATCAAAATGCCCCGGTAAATTCCCAAAATTGTTCTGCATACTACTCCGCTACAACTATTATCCATCTGGTGAATTAACACCAAAATAGTAAATCTCTTTTCCTTACATTGTTTCAACTTTCGTAAGAGTAAAAGATTGAAAAAGTTCGGCTTGTTTTTGAAATTTTTGGGGTTCTGTTCTCTCACCCATGCATAAGTCCTTAGCAGAGTGAAGGCTCTGCAAAATATGGACCATTTCATAAAACATTGCTCAAGATAAGAGAGGTAATTTCAGCGGCAGACGATAAAACAAAAACTAAAAGAAAAATTTACCAAAGCTGAACCAGGCGTTCGAATTCAAAAGTGACGCTGTCAATGAGCGTTAAAAAAAGTTCTAGGATCACAGCAAAATTTGAGCTGTGATGAGAGAAGTTATCAATATTAATAACTTCAGGGAAAAACTTTTCAGTGCTCTGCTATTTAAATGCAGAGTTCCAATAGCAGTCATGTTGCTAGAGTCCTTGAATTTAATATTGTTGAGGGTTCACAAAACTTCTCAAGGACTTTTATTGTTACGGCGTAAAGTATTGGAAGTTACAGCGTTAAACTTATCGATTCAATAACCTTGAAACAGCAAAATTAGCAGGTACCTGAGTAAAATTGGGCTTAGAGCAAGTTCGGTGTTAGGGTTGAGACAAGAAATACTGATACACGGTTCCATTGATTCCAGTTGTTCTGGTTTCGTTTTGATTTGACAGATTAGCTCAACTTCATGAAGGAGTCGCAGTCAGAGTAAGTTTCTTCAAGAGGAAGCAACTTCACCTTCCGGCAGAAGAGAAGGATGGGGCCTGAAAGATAGCACCTCTTCATAGACCAGTTCTGCAGAAAGGAAAATACAAATTCGGTTCCAATTAATTAACAAAGCGAAAAGACTTACAGGGTCATTTTGACTGCAAATTTTTCAGTCCCCGTATTGCGTTATTCTTCACAAAATGCCCTTGAGATTTTATGGGGTTTCCCGAAATTTTTGAGAGAGGTTTTTGTGGGCTTTCTTTTCTACTCTAGGAAATTTTATATCTTTGTGCTGCCCAATAGTGACTTTACTCTTATTTTAATCACAGCAGTTTGAAATTCGAAATGAGTTCAGATATACTTATTATATAAAGAGCACGGCAAGGTCTAAGGCAATGAGGAGGAAAATTAAACAGAAGAGAATTATGCTTTGGTACATAACTCAAAAAAAAAAAAACGACTAAGTATCAAAGAAACAAAAACCAAACGAGAAAATAACCCTGCATTGGTTTTACTATCTTGCTGGTCCTTTAGTGCATTAGTGATTTGGACTGCATTAAGCAGAAAGGAACCAAGCTATATCAGCCATTGCCAAATTAAATCAGGCAATTCAATTTTTCACATGAAAACGGTTGTGCGGATTTTTGTGCAAAGTTCAGTGAATTTACTGCGTAGTACAAGGCAAATTCCTTAAAATTGTCAAAGGAATCCGCAACATGTTCTCTTGTAAACAATTAAATTGCCCAGTTAAATTTGGCAATAGCTGATATGGCTTATTAGAAAGGTATTTTTTAGCGAACTGAGAGTAAATTCATTTTATGGCAGCATATGGTTTGGCAAATATTTTTTCACTTCTTTTAGACATTATCAGATTTTTAGATAAGGTGCGATTTTACTTTAATAATTTCCACATCATACTCTCCTCAACCAAGATCCTTAAGCACAAGCAGCGCTCCACCAAAAAATCTGAAAATGGTTAAAATTAAGCGAGAGAATATTTGTCAAAAAGAAGTTTCTTAATTTCATACCTTTCCACTTTTCTACAGGGAGATCTGATTCTTCAAAACTTTGATCATACGGAGGGGAGGTGGGCTCGTCTTCTGGATCAGCATATTTTGATAAGTAAGGGTGCGCCAATGCCTTTTCCGCGGTTATCCTCTTATCTGCGTCCAGTTCCAGCATCAATTCCAACAAATCTATCGCTGCAATAAGAAACCAAACCAAACATTACTTTTAACCAACAAGTGAGAGAACAAATTAATTCATAAAAAATAAGAAATTAAGATTTTGAAGATGTTGAGTAACTGTTTGCCAATCTTGGAGAAAAACAATGACACTAAAAGCGGAAACAACAACCACTGTTGAAAATGGATGAATAACCGCCGATTGTAGTATGTACAGGCATAAATAGTGTTTTCCTTTTCATTAAAATCTACTAAATTTTTTTGGACATCCAAGCAAATAATTTCAAATGAGATTGTTTTATCTTAATCCAGTTGATGAATGATGTCACATTGCACTGAAAATACGGTCAAGTAAGCAAAAAAAATACTTATGTCGCTAATGAAATTAGTAAACAAAAATCTTTGATTGCAGGGTTTTAAAATTTTCGCTTATCCAGTAAAACTTGCTTACATCATCATACGCTTCCATCAGAAACCGCTTATTTTGTTATTTCTGTAGATCATATTTTTTGGGCATGAGCACAGTGCAAAAAAAATTCCCTCTTACATCAGGATTACTAAATGGTAACCCACTTAAATCGTGACAACTTTGATCCAAAACAGGATTTACTCCGAACATTTCAGGTTTAAAGCAAAAGCTATTACAACATCAGAATTATCAAGATGACAGAGATACCATCAATTTATCAGCTGCGTGGGTAGGTTTCTTATGAGTGAGTGTTGTGATTAGCTACTGTGTACACGTCATACAAGAAAATGCACACTCTGTTTCATGCAATGACAATGCTGCGATGATCTCTAGAGCTCTATTGAAGTTAATTTGTTCGTTTACGGTTGGCTGTTTTTAAAAATTCACACAAGTGAAACCACGATCACAGTTTGCAGCATGGTTTAGTGTTTAGTCACAGGTAGACTTAATTGAAACAAATTTGCTTTTCCTGCTTCCTGAAACTTTTATTCACAAGGAAGGGAGAGTCATGGTCACTTGCAAGCACAAAAGAACGGGTCGGAACAAAAAACTTTATATTGTTTACTAGAGTAGCTAAGGGAGTCCTGAGATCCTCCTTCAAATAATGTTACTCTAAGTTCAATACCATCAGGCCCCCAAGGAGAGCAAAAAAGGCCCTTGCCGCCCACCCCCCCTTCCTCAGAAAATTTTTCCAGTTACGTTCATATAAATATTTCTAAAAATTCAAACGAAAACAGTGATAACCACTTTCATCACAAATTACGTATATTGGGGAATTCGGTAGTACAGATGAATCCCAATCCAAAAAAATTTTATTTTTATTTTATGTTCTTAAATGGCTATCATACAAGTCAGTGACTTGGAAATCTAAGGATTTCAACATTTGATAAACTTTAATCTTCAAAATTACAAGACTTGTAGGGATTACAAAAATGTCAAAATTGTTAAATGGTAAGGCAGAATTTGCTTAATTCATTAAAGGGATTTAACAGAAGGGAGTTTTAATTTCCTGTCTTTTAATTTTTTTGAAGAATGTATCTGACAGTTCTTTGTGGCATTTATAAAAAATATTCTTGATGGGACAAAGAGGAAGTAGGACAAATTTTGTACGACAAGGATGATTGATCAAAAGAATAAAATACTATATAGGAACTGCAATATCACAAACTTCGATACATACTTTTCTTATTTCACCATCCATAATTTAAATAAGCATCTTTGGTGTTTAGTGTGATCAAAACCTATGTTTATGGTCTATTCCATGCAAAAAATCACTTAAAAATTCAATATAATTGATGACACAAACCTAGTGGATTGGCTCCTTTGAACACTTGCTTGAAATCTTTTTTCTTCAAATTGGGTAGGGACTGGATGTAGCTGCGAGCCTGGAAAAAAATACAAAGATAAAACATGATAAAAGGAATAAAGAACGTAGGCCAATCATGATCAAAATACTATACAGCCATGACATTAGATGAGACAAAAATGAGTGGCAAATTTGTACTCAGAATAGCAAAAAAGCAAAGAGGTAGCCAAATGATTCCTCAAGAACCACTCTCATCATTCAGGAACTCTTTGAGATCATTCTCCGATTTAAAATGATATCAACGGACTATTAGAAAGTATACAGATTTTTATAGACATTAAGAATAGATTTTTTTATCCTTTCTTTTCCTTAATTAAAATAAATTACTTAATATGTAAGATAAAGAGACACTGATAGCTAAATTGGAACTTTCAATAGAAATAGGATTTGCGCTATACTATAACTTTATGATTTAATTTTAAATAAAGTATCTTGCAGATAACTCCACAATGATTTGAAATCACATTAATGAGCCATATGGTGGTTTGATGTATTGATTGGCTCAAAATAGTGAGATAACCTCAATACCCACCCTTACAACAAGCAATAAAATTTCAGAATATTTCAAATTTTTATCGCGTTTTCAGTCTCAATATCTTAATGAATAGTTGCAGTTGGTCAAATAAAACCTTTCCTCAATACAGACATACATTTCACTGCTCTTTGTATGGGTGATAGTTAAGGTTATTTCGATGTTTGGAACCAACCCATGTCAAAATATCGCGTCGATGGGCCGCTTCTTCGATGTATCGAATACGATCCATACCAAAACAATTCGATATGAAGACATTCCCCTATCCTACTACTTTCCATTATCAAGCAGTTTCAATGACTTGTTCTATTGGAATGTAAAAAGTAATCATGATTGCTATACAATATGAGTCTCTAAAGTTTTGAAATACCTCCTGACTAGAGATCTTCTGAAAAGTATCCTCGGACGGCGTTCCACAAAGCACCAAAACCCTTGTTAATTGGTCAATGTCTAATCAAAATGCGTTAAGGTTTCAAAAACAAAAGCTTCAAAACCAAACCCAAAAAGATGAGCTAAGAGGATAAAGAGACGATACCCACCACAAGAACAGACTGTAAATAGGATGCAAACAGCTCCAAATCTTTCACTCAGGGACCAATGAATACAAAATCAAGGGGCAAAAAGTTAGTAACATTTATTTCTTGACACAGAAGATTTTTTACTTTTCTGAAATGGTATTTTCTTCCACTAGATAGTTGAGTCAGCTTTAGCTTCATCAGTTTGAGAGAAATTAAGTTACAGCCTCAAAAATATTATTTTTACCGCGATTTTACTCAGCATTCAGTACAGGACGAAACAGCATATCAACAGTGAAACTGTAAAAATGCAAAGCTATTTTGCTGAGTTCATAAATTTAAGCATTCGTATTTTCCTGAAAAACCAACCAACACACGGTAGTAAATTCACTGAAATTTCAAAATACCCTGACTTTTTCCTGACCTTTCTAAAAAATTCTCTGACAAGGCTAAATTCCCTGACTTTTGTGAAAAAAAGTCGATCTGATCAGCACCTCAGCTGGAGCAGCAGATCAGTACGGTCGGCAAAATTCCCTGGCTTCCAGAAAAATTCTCTGACTTTTCAGGTACTTGAAATTCCTGACTTTTCCGGATTTTCTAGGACATTTAGCACCCTGCAGCACTACTTTCTGAAATTTTCACGCCATATTATTCAAATGAAGAATAAAAATCAGGAACCTTTTCGAGAGATGAACCGCCTTTCAAGCAGGTTAAATAATTTTCCTTTTAGGACTTTAGTTTTCATTTGAACTAAAAAATTACAACAGGAAGACGGCAGTGTTGTAAACTGCAATTAGTCTTTCTGCAGTTTTATCGACCAGACGTCAAACTTTTAATAGATGAATGTATGACACAGCTATGAGCAAATGAACCTTCGAAAAATGGGCCTTCAGCGCTATAATGCGTATAAGAAATTGAGGATTTTTCAAATAAAATGGGAAAAACAGGAAGTTTCGAATCTTGGGAAAAAGGACCTGCAGCTATCTGACCATAGACCGAGTATGAAAAGACCAGTTCAAAAGTGTATCCTCAGGATGAGATAGAAATTGTTGTCTTTAAGATATTGTTTGTCACCGATTCCATGATTAACACCATTAAATTATTTCTGATCCACCATCAAGGTCAGAATGTAAGTCATAATAAAACGTTATGCTTGAAGATACCTCGAACTTTGGGTGCCTATGCTTCGAGAACTACTGCAATATTGTACCGATAAAATAGGTAGGAAAGACTGATTCATTTGTAATCAAACGAAATCAAAAAAGGTTACGTACGAAAGTGGAAAATACAGTTTTCTGCAGACTAATGAGGGGGGGGGGGGAATTCTCAAGACAAATACTGTATGTGCATTGAGGCGAAATAATCTGGGTGAGAAAGTTTTTAAAAATAAAAAAGTCCTGATTCGGAGCTCACATCGTTTAATTTGAGGAAAAGGAGATATTTAGATTGACGAACGTCCATCGAAGAAAAAATAAAAAAGTCCTGATTCGGAACTCTCATTGTTTAATTTGAGGACAAGGAGAAATTTAGATTGACGAAAATAAGAACCTTGGATGGAAAAACGAAAAACGTTGGACCCTTTCATCTGCAATTCAAAAATTGGTTTTTGAGTATAATTCGAAAACGCTCCTTTATTTTCTCTCGAAGCTTGAATTCCGAATTTCGACTATCCAGCGATTCAATTCAAGCATGAGTAGAAATTTCGAAAATTGGATCATTTCAGCTGAATGTTACTAAAATTCTTAAAGTTACTAACGCCGAACCATTCCCAGGATTAAACTGCATTCCACTTTTCCTTTCTCATATAATCAGTTGGCTAATGACCTCTTTAAAGCCAATGTTAAAACGAAATGAAACCTTATTTGCAGAGAAGAAATCTGTTCACATCTAGCTTCAGTCAAAATTATTATTCAACTGCTATTAACCTCATTTCTTACTTTTTGAAAAACGCTTCATCTGCTGAAGAAATTGATGTAAAGCTATGGCGGCAAGACAGCTACTTTCATACCATTTTTCAAAATTTTTCAAACCAACTTTAGCTTATAATACAGGAAAGAGACAGAGAGAGAGTGAGAGAGAGAAAAAGAAAGGAAAAGTTCAAAATACGTAGAAAACTTGTGAAGAATCAAACACACCACAAAGAACAGATAATCCATATAGTGACAGTTAGACGAAAGTATAAGACCCATAACCAGCATTCAATAAGCACATTAAGAGGACAGTACGAAGAGGTGCGAACAGAAAGACAAGGAAAGGGGCAACCAAACAACTTACCGACTCGCTCGAGATTTTCGAGAGGAATTCAGGTTTCGGGGTTCCAAGAATTTCCATGATAAGGTTCAGTTGGTGAATGTCTAATGGTTATGTGCTAAGGGTGTTACACAAATATGCACAACGGCAGAGTAAATGGTGGCACATGAATGGTGAGACATGAATGATAAGACATGAAACAGTGAGAGGCCAATGAGAAAAAGATCGAATGTGAACTTTTTTATGATTTTCAATAATTTTTTTTTTTATTTTTTTTAAGTTTTATGAAGTTGAAAAATCTTTGCACAAACAGAAGACGATTTTCAATAGGAAAAAATGTATAATATACATTAGTAAATTGGGAAATAAAAAAATTAATTTAGTAATGATTCAATTTTAGAATGCCTTGTGAAATAGAATTATTATGATAAAATACATGTGACTTAGTTAAACTTAGTATTACTTCTAAGATATGTAAGTTATGTTTAAGCTATTGGACTCATATTTGTGATGGGCACTATGACTATAAAGCATTGAATTAGATAGTTTTACGATTGAATCAGCAACTGTTAGTCAGTACAAGTCGAATTTTGTTAGTGTTCTAAAAGCAGAAGTTACGATGTTAAAATTAATATTGAAAGTGCAGGGAGGAAAAAGTTCATTTCATCATTGAAGCTGATGTTTCAGTTCATTTTAAGTCAAGTAAAAATTTAAACAACATTTTTTCCGGCAACATTTTGTAAAATCGTCTTACCTGTAAAAACAGGACATGAGAAAAGAACGATTAGTAGACAACATTTTACCTGCCTGATAAAGCTGAGGTTTCAAGTGTTAGCTTTATTTCAACCATTTTATTTTTCCTGGTGATATAGAAACTACAGATGTATTGTATTTTTTTTATGATTGCGTGAGAACTACTCAACAACACAGGAAAAATTTAACTGTTATTTGTAAAAGGGACTTTGTTCCGAAAATTCCTGAAGGTTAGAAGTTGAGATTAACGATGAAAACCAAGGCTATTAAGTTTAATAATGGCTGGGCTTTTTTTAGAAACAATTCAATCAGCACTAATTGTAAAAATTTAAAATTCCACATTTAAATTTTCTTGAGAAGTTTTTTACTCCGATCTGGTCGATTGGCTCTGTATTAAAAATAGAGACAACGGTAAAACTGGCAACAGAATGGAACTTCTGATGTTTTACCTTGTGGTTAAAAGTTATAACCCCCAAACATTCTCCCCGCAGTCACCGTAAAACATTGATACTTGTGTGGGTAGTGTGTTGATAAATAAAATTTAAAGAAAAAATGAACTTAACCCGACAGAAATATTAGTGACCCTCCGTTGAGATTGAACAAATTACAGCACACATACACACACATATAATGATACAGTGATTTGATATTCCAAACATTTTCAAAGAAACACAACACATACGTTTAAAAGTCAATTAAAAACAGACAATGACTGACTGGCTCGGCTAGGCTCCAGATTGTGATAATTCAACAGGGAGAACACAGAAAACATGAAAATTAATACCGAGGAATGTAATAAATCGTTCTTTTATGTTCATAGCCAAGTGGAAAAAGGTATGCTGTCCATTGTTAGAAGAAAAAAAACTTCCTTGAAAAATGAAAATGGTATAATGGTATGAAAAGGATACGATCAGTGCCAGGGAAGAGAGTTCGCCCTGTTATAAGTTCGGCCATGATACAGCCAACAGACCAAATATCAACTGAAAAAAATATTACAAAGTTGCAAAATTTAAAAAAATTGGGGGTGCACCTGAAGATTTTAGTTAAAAATAATTCATAAAATGATGCGAGAGGCATCAGAGAAAAGTCAAACAGTTTCCAACGAAAAATTTGTGAGTTTAAAAAGCGCTCATGAGTCTAAAGGTAGATAATGGACCACTGAATGAGGTATGAATTAAAGAATTCTGATATATGTTTGCTCGTTAAAATTTTATGCAGAAAAAGATTACAACATAGTAATCTAATGTAGGAAGTATATGATGTTTTTTGTTCTGTTCCTGAATTAAACCTAGTCTTTGAAATAAAACTTGATGAAAACATGAATAAGCTGTAATTCCTAGTATTAAAAAAAAAAAAATTGTGAATCCATGAGACCTCAAGAAAGTTTTGACTCAGCTCATGAATTAAACTAAAAAAACTGTTAACTATTGATCCTTACTCTTTCCATACAAGTAATCAAAGATTTTAAGATTGTCGGAAAAAAAGAAAAATGCTTACCAGTTTGGTTATAGTGCATCCAGTTAAGCATAATTTCTGGTGCCCGGTACCAACGGGTGGCAACGTAACCAGTCATTTCATTTTCTGTTGGTCGTGCGAGACCAAAATCCAAAATTTTCAACTCACAATCTTCATTTACTGCAATGTTGGATGGTTTCAAGTCCTGTCGGGTAAGTGCATTGATACATTAATAAAGTTAAAATAGAGGAAATATATTTCAAACAGCTTCTAACGGAAGACAGGTTGCTACATAGGGTCGTAGATTGGATTCTGCCTAAGGAAAAGCGCAGAGAGAACTAGGGCTGTGCGAGTACTCGAATTTCGAGTCGAGTCGAGCCGAGTATCGAGTACTCGACTCGGCTCGAAAGTTAGGTTAGGTTCGAGCGAGTACTCGAACTCGGCTCGAGTGTCAACAACACGAATTTTTTCGAGTATATTTCGAGTTTTTTTGAGCCGGAAACGCCGAAAGAGTCCAACTTCCAAATATTTCAATCATACTTCAACTAACGTTAGTTTTGCCATCATTTTACGATTGAATAACATCAGAGTCTCGTCGGCAAATTTCTACCATCCGCAGCGCCAACACGCTACCGCCCGGCGATTTCCTGCCGCCCGCGGTTTGTAAATACACGGAGTCATATGAGCGCATTTATGCGCGCGACCAATTTCAACCTGCGGCGGCGACCGCCGCTTGGAAGACTGAGAGTGAGCACGTGTTTTGGACCTTTTGCGCTCCAGATAAACGGTGTCGCGGCGGCAGAAAAAAGGTGCTGCGGCTACAAAAATATGGATCGCGCGATTCCAAAAAACGTCGCGGCGACAACTGCCGCCGGCGACACGGCGACACCAATCGCGTGCATAAATGGGCTCTAAAGCCTTCACTTGTGCCGCCCGAAGTTCCTTTGATGTACGCCGCAGATTAAATCACGTTTTAAAACTCTAAATTACTCGAACTCGACTCGAGCTCGACTCGGCTTGAGGGTCATTTTCAAAGCTCGAAAAAGCTCGAACTCGGCTCGACTTAGTGAAAAAATACTCGAACTCGGCTCAAATCCAAAAAACCAGGCTCGCACAGCCCTAGAGAGAACCCAATTCCATTGAGATTCAATTCCCTAGTGGTTGTGGTTTGATAGCAAACAGTAGTGGTTAGATGTTGAGGAGCCCAGGGGAGCACTGTAAAGCAATTTATATATGTGTGTGAAATAGAAGACAGCAATTGACACACTTGAAATCAGATTTCAGCAAAAATATGCCCCTGGCATACTTGAAATTGTGCTCCAAAATTGAAAAGGGATAATAATCCAATTTTTACACAAGATTTTACTACTATTCATGATACGATTTTAGTTCTGCTTCGGCGATAGAACAAAGTAGAGTAAGAATCTGGTTGCAGGTATAAGGGCCTTTGTCTTGCTCTTGACTAACACTGAGGCTTAACAAACTGTAGCATACTTCACCCCAGCACAACGGTCGGATTTGAACCTTGCGCTGTACAATTCGTGAGCAAGTATACTACAGCTGCACCACAGCACTGATCAGGGAAAGGACCTGCATATCTGCAATCATAGTCTTCTTCTGGTTTGTACGGTTACATAAATATTGGTTGTTTTGGAACCTATTTTCGGTGTTTAAGTACATTAAATTTACAAAAGGTAAAAATTAGATGAAAAAGAGTTAAAAACTCTTAAAAGCTCTGCGAAGACTTTGACACTTAGAAGGACTAAAAAATTGGACTGTTGAAAAACTCTAGTAGAATTAGTAGATATTTGCTATGACTTTTTTGCGTGAGTTTCACTTTTAAACTGTCAACACGGTTCCCTAAAACATAATTTTTAGCAACAATTTTAGAGTTTTCAAAAAGAGCTTTTCAAAGGTTGTGATCTCAAGGAGAGAAAATCTGAGAATTTATCCGAGATCAATCCCTCAATGAAGTTCATCCTGAAATTCTAAATACATTAATTTAAAATTACCCTATGTATGATTCCAGCTGAATGGATGTACTTTAAACCTCGAAGAATTTGATAAACTAAAAATTGGACATGATCATCGGAGAGTTTCTGGGTCCTGATAATGTTGTTAAGATCCGCTCCCATCAAATGAGTAACCAGATACCTGTAACAAAAATTTTACAATGAAATAAGCATTATTTTAGCTTCAGGGTTACTGAATTTCCATACTTAGTACAATATTAGCGTATTATTTCTAAGCATAAAAAGAGGAGGCATGGCATGCACAAAATTCTACAGCTTGTGCTTGTGTGGTACTCCAAGCAGTAAAAAAAATAGGAAAAAAAGAAGAAAAAGAAAAAAATCAGGGAAATTTCCAGTTCAGGAAATGAAGGTTCATTTTGACTACTATCTAAAAATTTAAAGATTTTGTTTCTATGCTGCCGCCTTTTGTGAGGGTCACATGGCTCAATAGTCAATCATAGAGGATGAAAAAGTCTAGAAATATGCTGAATTAGTAAATATAACAGGGGCAGGTGAAGCCCTGAAATAAGCAGTATTCTGCCATGCTAAGGAAGAGCGCTGTAAGAGCCCTAAAAAGTTGCCAAATTTCCTTTGACAAATCACGAATTTTCGGGAAAATGTATTAATGTATAATTATTATTATTTGTATTATTAGTATTATTTATTATTAGTATTATTATTAGTATTTGTATTATTTGTATATTATTTGTATTATTATTATTATTTTTTATTATTATTTTGTATTATTTGTTTCGGGGAAATGTATGTATGTATGTTATTTTTCTTCTGATTTTCCAAAGAATTCAATTTGGATTTTAATCTGAAGTGTCTGAAAATTTCGAGGAAAAATATTCATGACTTTCTTCGAAAATAAATCTTTTCTGAGAGGAAATTTGGCAATATTCGAATGCTCAAATGATGTTTATCCTTGGCGCAGCAATATTGTCAAAATTATCAGTCCTGATAAACTAAAGTGACTTCTCTCACTTGTCATTACATGCTAGTTCAAAAATTGATCTTACACTTGATTGAAATCGTTGGGCGAAGTTGATGGGTGAAATATGTCCAACAGTCCTATGACCTACAAACAAAAAGTGAAAAATGTTATATTAAATCCATTATGCAATTGCAAATTTCAGTATTAATTAGCAATGCAGGTAATTTGTAAAATAAAAATAAGCTATCACTCCATTCTTGGGTAAGGTATCAGGGTTATCATGTTTAAATTTTGAATGACTCAAATAGATAAATATTTATTTAGTTGTCATTCCAAAATAAGTTCGGTATTCTATTTTTAAAGTACACTGCCATCTATGTCATAAAACCGTATGATACTTGAGATGAATAGAGAAGTTGCACTCGAAGATAAACTGACATGAAGTGATAAACAGCATGAAGAATATTATCTTCATTTCTTATCAAATTTCTCTATAGATCAGAGTGGATGTTGACATAGATCAATGACTGATCATATACTGCTTTTTTTGTTCCACTTCAAATATCCCTGAGGGGATAATCTCACTCTTGCAGTCCCTACAGTCCATCCCCCTTCAGTTCTAATCAAGCCAGCCCCAGGTGACCATTGTTTGAGACCATCAAACTCAGATCACTTGGCCCGGAATCAAACCCAGGACCTCCCACTCATTGAGCAAGGCTGCAACCACTACGCCACAGGAGGCCAACAAAAACTGCATAAAAAAAATGAAAAAAGAAATTGCTTTAGGAAAATTCAGAAGTCCTATTCATAATAATTATTTTTTTCTTTTCCTCTCGTTTTAGTTTTTTTCTCAAGGGATATTACTATGATAGAGTGCTCTTTGCTTTGGCCTCCATCCTGCGGACTGATTATTGAAATTGACAGACAAAGCGATAGACAAAGAAGACATAGGAAGTATGGAGCTATCCTATTGGTTGAAATGAGGGGTTCTAATAATGAAGGAAGAAAATGAAGGACTAACTGTGTTGTCCTTTATCCATTACAACCACTCGCTTTCACCAATAGAATCCTTCCATATGTATATTTCTTGTCTTCTAAATCTATAGTTTTGTCTATCAATTTCAACAATTGGCCCACTGCTGTCATTGCCTTGTTCAGTTAGTCTGCCCTGAACTTACTTGCCGCTGAGCACAGTTAACTCTTGATTATTTTTTTATATTTTGTATGACATCATTATCATTCCATTGTAACAATGGCTACTGTAGTTGAGTGTATTATATACTTCATGAAATGTGTAAAATCAAGCTGATTAACTTGATAAATTAATCAATAGCACACCATATCAACACTTATGCTAGAATGTGCAGCTAGTGACAAGAAAGAAAAAATCATATTTTGCTCTTCGTCTTTAAAATAAAAAAATTGAAAGAAAAACTCCACAGGCAGGGTTGCTACCAAATTAAGAGACAGAAATTTCCTGACAATTAAATATATACTGGATGATTAAAAAGACATAAATTTAGTTTTGAAGTAAAACCAAGGTGATGTAATGATCGTTTTTTATTAATTTACTTAGGACCTTTCAGCATTTCGCCATCTTCAGAGTACAGTCATTAATACATAAATATATCACAGTTATTACACTTTCGTCCTAAACTTAATAACACACATCAAGGCACATCATACAATAGTCTTAATTACGAGACAGTCAATATTACCTAGCGTTGCTTCTAATCAAATTGTCATAAAGAGTTGATCATTACATCACCTTGGTTATACTTCAAAACTAAATTTAAAAATGGTGTTGTTCAATTCAAACTTTATTAAAAAGACATGGTTTGAAATAATTCTCACACAAGATCTGTTGTTCAAAACGTCAAGAAAGCAAATGAAGGAGACTATTTTTCCATGAAACTTTCATCATTTTCATTGATAATTCGAGGTTTTTCCTGACTTTAGAATTACTTGGCATTTTCTAGTTTTCCTGGACTGTGACAACCCTGTTAAGAGACTACTTGACTCTTTAGGCAACTTTCCGAAGTTGAATTAGGTTGACTTTTTCAACCAGATCAGCAGGGTTGCAAACGGAAGGCAAAAAAAAGCTGTGTTTAAGTCAAGAGCAAAATATAGCTGCTTGATAGATTTTGGCCAACGATTGCAACCATCCAGTTTTTGACCCACCTCAGGAGGTAGGTTGAGAATTTAGGATGTGGTAGTCATTGCTGCCAGCATAAAAACCAAATGTTGTAGGCACACCGCTACCCGGAGGGGTTTTCGTACAGTTGTAACGGAGGTTGGCAGAAAGTCAAAATCTTAACCAAATCCACTTGTGGCAATTCGCCTGATGCTTTGAAAACAAAGTTATTTACGTAACTTCAACACTAAAACTTTTTCTTACATTTTCATGATCCATATGCTTTAACAGCCTCAGCTCCCTGTAGGTTCTTTTAGCATGAACTGCTGACTGAAAAGGACGGGCTAGTTTCTTAATTGCGACTTTCCTTCCTGTTTGACTGTCAACAGCTGAGCTGGAAGAACAGAAAATAAGATACAATTAACACTAACTGTAATACGACAATGCTGCACTGAGTCAAAGATCTGGTTAAAGCGGATGTTATTTTTGGATGAAAAGGTTTTCACAGTGGTGAGTCCTTCAGAAAAAATCAATCTGAATCAATGGAAAGCAAATATTTGCATTGGAGAAGATGCAATAAGCCCAGATTTTAACCTGCTATAAAGGGGTGGACCTTGAGAAGCCAATATATTAAATTGAATGTGATTTTATTGAAATTCCGAGGATGTTAATTCAACTGCTTTAAGATTAAGAGCAGTGTTCTGCCTTCCCTGGCACCATGCGTCAAATACTTACCGCTAAAAGTCAGGCCACGGCGCTAAAAATTTAGGAGGACATACCATCATGGCACCCAAAAGAGTTACTGCACCTTGCTGAGTTTTACAAACTTACAATAACGAAGCATGCTATGATGCTTCTGCTCCTAAGAGACTGCAGATGACTTGGGCGTTCCAGCTGGGGCAACTCATAAAATTACGGGTGAGGATGGAATACTGAGTGATACTTTTTACAAGATGATGAGGGAACCCTGACAGTTGTCTGCTTGGAGCCATCCATGCAAAAGGGAGCCACCCCTCCCCCGTGCTCAGCAAGAAGAGGTTGCGAAATGTTGTCACGACATTGCTGCCGATATTAACGTTGCTGCAATATCTTTGCATGCTGGGTAGGCAAGTAGCTACATAAAAACGTGCCTTGCAGACATAGAGTAGATAGAGATTAATGTGAGTGGGTGATCTGGCGCCACTTTTAAGAATTTTCCCAGGTCCCGAATTCCGAGACTCCTGTGTGACGCCGGGTCACTTTTTCCATACATAATCGATTGTTGCAATACAAAGGTACCCGGCCATCCGATGTAAACAAAGAAGATAGGAATCACCACGTATTCCACACCGCCATTTTGGATCGAACATGTATCGAAAAAGTGACCCGAACTCGGAACTCGTCGAACAGAACATGGTGCCAGCTCTCCTATTTACATTAAGACTCTATCTACTCTATGCTTGGAGAAAGACTACGCTTCAAAGCAAAAATTGACATTATTCTGTGATAGGAGTTCAGCAGCGCTAGAACTTGGGAAAGAAAAGAATGGACAAACGTCACATCAATCTGGGTGCATCAATCATCATTTGGCCCATTGGTTACTATGTAAATTCATGATGAATGATGCCATTCTCTGATGTGACGTTTGTCTATTCTTTCCTTTCCCCAGTTCTATCCCCCCAGATAGTGGTCTATCCTGTATCTTAGCGATAACAGACAAAGAATTATGATGACATTACTGTTTTCCACTCTGTTCATATACAGAGATAGAGATTATCTTTCCTCGTTTTCAAGGCAGTACCAAAAAAACACTTCAAGGCAATCGACAAGCAGGATTACACAAATGCTAGGCTTGTGGCGAAGGGCCTGGTAAAACATTGGATATCGGTTAAATTAGACGAGGCAATGCGAACACGTAGATTACGCAAAGCTTCGGGAAACTAACATGAAGTAAAATAAGCTTACCACACTTGGCCGTAAGCACCTGAGCCAACAGGGGTGAGCATTTGGTACCTTTCTGGGACTTCCCATTCTGTTCGGTTGATTTCAACCCTGTAAAAATTAGACATTGCGAAAAAGTGTTGAACTTTGAAATAAAGAGACAATGATAGAATGTGTAACACTACATACTACATCAAAAAAATAATAAGTAATGTGTACAGTGTAAATGCGCGGTGCAATAACAAGTCTGTAACCTTTCACTAACTTGAAAATAAGGAGCATACATAACCTTGAATTTCCATGTTGACATGCTCCTCTTTATCAACATGGATCGGGAAATTACATTCCGCTTACAACGTGTTTAATGCCATTTTTCGGTTCATCCATAGTAATTCTCGATGAGGAATTCCTCCCACTCCAACATTCCGATTGTTCAAATTTTGAGTTGATAAGGGCCAAATTTGGGCATGACGTGAGGAAAATTAACAACGTTATCAGTGGCCGTGCGGTTTAGCTACATATTTTCACGATCGAAAATGAAGTGAATTTTACCTGATTATGTTATTTGCAGTTTTACTTCATGGCTAGATTTTGATAGTCCTCCACTTTGGTTTGATTTGAGAAGTATTTTTATATTGGGTCTATCAAAAAGACTATTTCTCAAAATATTTAAGTTCAAGTTCTTGATAACAGATAATTTTCGTCGACCAATCCTCTCATGATCATACGATCATGACGGAGCCAAGTTGCCTCAAAGATCTTGAGGAGAACTCTTTTGATACCTACTGTAAAGTAAGTAGTATAATACTGAAACTGCTGGATAACATTATCAAAGAGCCAACTAATCCGAAATATAGGCGCCTGCGCATTGGAAATGCAACTGTCTCTGGAACACTTCTCCCCGCCATAGGAGCGATGGAATGCTTATTTTATATTGGTTTCAAGGAGGTAAAATTCTACTTGGCTCACCTGTTCTTTTTTACACGTTTGTCTTCTGAGCTGGTATTTGAGGTATTGAAAATGTTTCGTTTCACAAAAGATATCAAAGCCTCCATCATTTACATATGTGTACTTATAATCAGACAACTACTATTGCAAAAATGTGCTTCTGCGATCACTGGCAAGGGTTGTTGAAGTAATGCCAGATGTCAGGTGTCAAATTCATCAGTCATGCAGTCATCTGTGCGATTAGTTAGGTATTGCCCGGTCACTTTCTAGAACAAGGCCGCTATTCAAGTACACAGAGTCACCTGTGGATTACCATTTTAAGTAGATGTTGAAGACATCCCTCGCAATCCTAACAAAATGCTTGCAAGCATTAGTGTGCAAGCACTCTAAATTTAAGGAGAAACAGTTGTTCATGGTTTCTTTTTTTTAATTATTCATACTACTTAATATTGCTGTAGAAATACACTTCAATTTTACCTACAACAATTATTTATTTCCTCAAACATATCTCCTAAGAATGTCTTAGAACTCATTTCAATCCAGCTGTAAAAAGATTATGAACGAGTTGTTCTAACACTGTTAGGAGGAGGAGGCAATATTAAAATCAGTTAGAAATATGGTTAATAGGTCCTAAATTTTTACAAAACTTAACTTAGGATTTGGCTTGATCAAAGATTATTTGTAGAATGGGTATACTCTTTTTCCATATTTTGTTATAATTGGGAAGAAAAGGTATTCTAACTAAATAGAAAAACAATTCTAACAGTGCACTGTCAATTTCCATGTAAGATTTTAAGCCAGACTAGAATTTTGAAACTTGTCTGCAATACCACTTTTTAATGTAGAGAAAAAGTGCGATTAAGTATATTGACGGTGAAACTTCCAAATGATATATCTCGTTTGCCGTGTTTTAAAATCTCCACTCCCACTTACATTTTTTTAGAGGAGAACAAACCAACATCGTTACCTCAAGTATCACAGAATTTTCTCTGCAAAGAGAAGAAAAATTACTGAAGTTCAAAAAAATTGGCATTGACCAGTTTTTCATTTAATAAATGAGATTTGACAGGAAGGCTGCAACGGAGCAAACTGAGGTACCTACATGGCTTAGGAGTTTCACCATCATTATAGCCCTTTTCTAGGAGCTTCAAATGAAAACTTGTATGAAAAATATCGTATATCTAATCTTAAATCTGCAATAATCTCCTAGTAATTTAATGATGCCCTTTTTTTCCAGGATGGTGACGCAATAATGCTTCCAAACAACATTCCTATTCGCGATCTGCAGATGTTTCGCAACCAACTTCTCTCACGGAAAGCAGTCCATGAGAAAAGAGTTTCAGAAACCCCAAAAAACGCTAGTAAACCATCCACAACTGGTCAAGCTGGACCTTCCGAACAGCAACAACAGTCAAAACCAATCAAACAAAACATTGCCACCAACCAGCCCTCCTCCTGTAGTACGAAATCCGAACAGCTCAGCATAGCTGCTGATAGAAATTCTGAGGCAAACCAAAATCCTTTACCAACAGCATCCATATCAAACCAGGCAATCAGCCAGAGAGAGATGACCGTCCCATCTTCAGGAGAATCCAAGGATAAAATAAAGCATAAAGTAATTCAACTATTCAAATTTTTAAATTAGTCGAAACTTTGGGTTTCTCTTCCAATTTTTTTTCGAATTCATCATTTCTTCATTGAGGTGTCTTGGGTAAATGCTATTTACCCATTTGTGGGTGGAAAGACTTGAATGCCAAAAAAAACCTCAGAATTGAAAATAGGTATCACTGTGAAATGGGTTGACTGCAGGGATTCTGATAGTCTGAAAATCCTAGACGCCAGTCTGGAAAAGTCAGAAAACATGAAAACTACATCTGCTCAACAATTTGGCTAGTGCTTTTCAAGAAAGTGTGAACGCCTTCTGGGTCCCTTTCCCTGTAATTTGGATCTTAAGAAGCGGAAAGTTTGTCTAAAGTTTTGTAAAAGTCAGTGAAAGTAATTAAAAGGAAAGAAAAATGAAGTGGAGGGCAGTTTTCTTTAAATTCAGGGAATTTGGAAATTATGGAGTCAGGAAACAACAAAAAAGTCACAGACTTGAAAAAAAAAAAAATGGGAACCTTGATTTAAAACATTTTGGTTTGAAAAACAGCCAAAAACGTAAAAAAAACTGGAGTTAGGGGGAATTTAAGATAATAGTAAAAAATAATCCAATATTGAGAGTAAGCTATCAGTCCTAGGAAAAGTAATCAATTCAGGCATTTTCTCAAATGCCTAGGCAAAATGTCAAACATTCTCACTTGGTTTGAAATTGTGACTCATCTGCTAATTTTGAACAAAATAGTTATTTTTCTTCTTTAGATAGGAATTATTTTTAAAAATCGGCATTATTGTATGCTGACTCTAATAATTCTAGCCCAGAAATGAACATTCATTTCAAAGGATACAACATTTTTTAAAATAGGTACAGACTTTTTAAAATTTTGATGTTAAAAAGCACATGAGGAACATATTGAAAATGAAAATACAATAATAGTTCATAGTTTGATGAATTTTTCCTTAAAAAATATTGAAAATTCTATAAGTAGTTCTTTGAAAAGATATACTTTCAAAATTTGACTATCTGCCGAGGCATTTGATTTGATAAAATGCCTGATATGATTAATTGCCTTTGACTTATCCAAATTTTTAATTTCTTCAGCAATATTCGGTTGCCCTCATAAAGCATCTTAAAGTAAGGCTTGATTCCTGCCCCTTTTTGCACAGGGGATTTTTGTTCACCCTTACATCTTTTATTTTTAGTTAAATACTTTTTGTAGGCTCTTTACCTCTCACCCCATTTCTGCAAGTGTTCTCCAGTCTAATTAATCCATAATTCCTTTTCTTTTTCTTTTTCTCTCAGCTTGAAGGAACAAATTTGCTGGAGAAAATTGACACGATCTTCCACAAAATGTCCAGGTATGAAGACAAGAAGCTTCTAGCCAAAGCGCTAGCAATCATTCCAAGGCAAGAGCTCTCCGTCAAGGTGGCGAAACAGCTGGAGGACCCTAACAGCCAAAGCAACCCTCAACTCCATACTCAAGAATTGCTTCTCATAGAGTTACTCAAATGGTTCAAAACATCTTTTTTCTCTTGGGTTGACAAGCCACAGTGTCCATCTTGTGAGGGGCCAACAGAGTATGTTAGTGAATCGCCTTCTTTTGACGAGTCCATCAGTAGAATCGAGGTTTGTAGTCTCACAAATTCTTTGATTTTTTTTTTTATCCGCAATGCAAAAATAATTTTTAACATTCTCAGCCCATGAAATTTTAAAATTCACTCTCACAATAACTTTCAAGGATGGAAAATACCAAAATTCCAGTAACTCTCAAGCAGGGTGTGTATAGAAAGCCAAAACAAAAATATGGCACTTTAGTGATCATTTTTTACCAAATAAGTATAACTGCAAGGATAATTCAATCGGTAAGCTTGCAGTCTACATCAAAAATAGTTTGCAGGGAAGATAATCTACCATTATAGCAATGCTGATTGGAATTAATGGTTTCACAAAATAAAAATGATGAACTAATGTAAATAACAATGTATTGTTATTAGCAACGTTAGGTATTACGATTTAAAAGCAATAAAATTTTTGTCTTGTCCTAAAAATTGAGTGATAAAATATAATTATATGACTTTCGTATAATTATACAATCAAAATGAAAATATAGCATCATTGTATGACTTTCTATGATTACTTGACCTGTAGAGGTAGACGCCCTGAGTGAAGAAATAGTCGAATCTAAAATTTTTCTGACCTAAACATGACAGCAATGCAGCTTTTCCGGAGGGGCCAATAATCAAGGTCTGAGTTCAAACTAAATTGTATAACACTGCACTTTAACTCAAGTTTTTCACAAATGTAGATTACGGTTGCGACCTATCTGGAAATTAATAAAAATTTGACCGAATATTTGAAAATAATATGTTGAGGTTGAATATGAGTAGGCTTAACGGCTTCATTTGATTTAGACACTTTTGCTGTGTTCACCTGTATTTTGTGACATCACTATTTTAACTTCTACTTACTTTAGGAATACAAATGTTCGAAATGCGGAATAGAAGTTCCCTTCCCCAGGTATGAAGATCTTGACATTCTCCTACAATCTCGGAGAGGTCGCTGTGGGGAGTGGGCAAATGTGTTCACACTGCTTTGTCGTGCATTGGAGTGGGATGCTCGTTATGTTTACGATGTTACGGACCATGTTTGGACAGAGGTACGTTGTCTTGGTTTTTTTTGTCTCAGATAATTTCCAAGTAACTATACAAGTACTTTCAACACAGATCAAATGGAAGTTAGATCATACCAGTGACATAATTTGTATTTTTTTCCATTTAACAAATATTGATTGTAAACATCTATATCTTGTTAACCGGGTCGTAAGGGACCGGGAAAAGTCAGAGAATGCAACTCAACTGGGAAAAATCAGGGAATTTCTTGTGGAGCTAGGTTCCTCGTAATAATCGGGTCTTTGAAGGGCCAGCTGATTGCGTTGTTGTGCCAACTGGGTGGTGCTCTCAAGTGCTCCAAAAAGTCAGCGAATTTCATTAGAAGTCAGGGAATGATGAAATTAAATTTTGCTAGCCATCCTGTCTTTAGGAGTTGGTTTCCAGACTTCTCGCGATTCGTTTTCCTCGTGCAATTTTGAAGAAGGAGTATGTTACGTAGTGCTTTAAATTCATATCTTGATGAGGCCCTTTTTTTAATTGCAAAACTTGTGTTTCTAGGTTTATTCTATACGGCAAAAACGATGGCTGCATTGTGATCCGTGTGAAGCTGCTCTAGATACACCACTAATGTACGAAAAAGGTTGGGGGAAAAAGCTCAGCTATGTCATTGCATTTTCACTTGAAGAGGTGCAGGATGTTACTTGGAGGTATTCTAGTCAGCATCAAGAAATTTGTTCTCGTCGAAAAACAATTTCTGAGAAAGAGTTGATAGACAAAATTCTATCTTTATCGAGAAAAAGGTAGGTCTTATGGAACTTCGTCAAACCTAACCAAACTTTGTCCATTTCTTTCAGTCGTGAGATTTTGTAATCAGAAATTTATCTCGTGAACGTTCCCTGATATTTTGTTCAATTTAGTTCAACTACTAGTTTGTTGCCGAAAGACTAAAATAACCTAGCGTCAAATCAGCATTACAACTGACATTATAAATACAGACTCTGTATGCGCTTTTGGATGCATCACCAACTCCAAAATATTATTAATTTTTTTGTTCTTCTAGGGACTTGCTTATGTCCTGAAATTGTAGACTCTGCTAGAATCGCTAGATAGCTAGATAGTTTCATTCATTCTCTTCTAGGAATATCCTGCACAGTTTTGTTCCAAGTTAATTTTAATTTCCTTAAATCTTGGAACAACATCTTTGCTCTTACCAATATTAGGCTGACTTCTTCCATTGAATCAAATAATTTTGTGACTTCAGATAATATTAGTCGTTCAGTGACTACACTGTTTGCTTTGTATCTAACTGAGAAACAAAGGATTTTCTGCCACTGAATGCTGCCAAACTATTTAAAGCACTTTGATGCTGCTGTTATCGTTGAAATATAAAGGCTCAGTTTGCTGTGTTTCTGTTTTCAGAATTGTTGAGTTGTTATACAGTTCAATATTTTTTCTGGTTTTATCATAACATCATTCATTAACTTTCTCCAGGCTGTCCTCTCTCCCACCTGAAAGGACCCAATTCCTATTGAGGAGGCGCGTAGAAGAATTAGTCGAATTTCTAAGCCCGCCAGAAGCAACTGAAGAATACGGTGGACGGACGTCGGGATCCAACGAATGGCGTGAAGCACGTGGAGAGTCAAAAACTGTGATCCAAAAACCTATGTACGTTTGGAAGCCCAGCCCAGCTTCAATAAAAAATCTAAAGTACGTTCTCATCGCTTATCGTAACTTCATTAGAATAAGAATTCTTTTCACCAGGCCATAGAGTCATGTAGAACTTCCAACCTCACTAGATGTTTATACATGACACCTGAAAAGCAGGCCTGGACACTGAAAAAAAAACAGGCACCAAACGCCCTACCCATATAAATTAACTCTGTTTGTATTTTTGTTGCATCCATGTCTCCTTAAAAAATGTCACAATCTCTGGTATTTATGTCCAAAATCTCCATGGCTCTCAAAAATCGGGTTTGCCTGCTGCTAAGATGACTAGTTTTTGAGGGGAAAATTGATACACTAACCGATGCAATTGTATTTTTATCAAAATTTCAAGTACAACAGAACAGCAATGTTAAAAAATTAAAAAATCACTCTCGAAGTGGGGAAATAACAATTTTCATCAATGATAATGCCTGCTCGCCAAAATGTCAAAGTGGATTTGAGTTTAAACAGTTGAGAACGATGTGTAATCGTTTTACTTTTCTCCAAAACATTGATATTTTGTTTTGTATTGGTCTGCCCTTAGACGATTATAGAATATGTATCATTATATTTCCTCTATAGCTGTTTGCCTTCCGGCAAACAATAGGAATCAGCTGCTGCCTGTGGAGGGGTTTTCGGCTAATTACTCATAATACACATGTCACACATTGTGGTAGTCAATATGATAGTGCTTTTTCAAAGTATTCTCCATCTTCTCTGAAATAAGCTCAATTTTCTCTCATTTTTCATCAGTTGAAACTTACAATCGAAGGTTTCAGGTGGAGTACTCAACCGCACTCGACAAGTATGTAGAAACACCGACTAATCACGAAGTATCGGGCTGGAACCGAGGAGTTTATTCTGCAGAGGCAATCTTCCGGAAAGAGGAGTTAGACTGGAAGACAGTGTACCTTGCTAGAACCGGTGAGTTTTGATCTATTGTACAGAAATTTTCCTTCAGTTATACTAAAGAGTTCATTGTTGCTAAAGGACTTCAGTAGAAACCGTTGGGTTTTGATCCATCGTACACAAGTTTTCCCTAAATAATATCAAAGGGTTAAATGTTGCTCAGGGACTCATTCACTAGAAATTTAGCGAGAATCACCAGTTATCTGCAGGAATAGTATGGAAGTGCAATATCCATCGGAAAATACACTCGAAATTTAACAAAATTCTTGTGTTTTTTAGACAAATCGATTTAATCTCAAACGAAGTTTGGGTTGTTGAGCAACTAATATGATTGTTCCAACTTAAATTATAGTGGATAATGAATCGCACCTCTGATATGATTTTCAACCACAAAAAATGAGAACGAAGCTTAATATTTTGAGCTTTTATCGAGAAAGCGAAGATGACATGCATAAATGGCTCTGCTACCACAACCTCATTTTTAACTGCTCGATGCCTATGCTGATCTATGGTCCGTTCAGCCATGCACTGATTGTGGCTGAGACTTACAAATTGTTTCAATTGCTAACTGCTCATACATTTATGTTAAAAAAATTGTGAAGTTTGTCATAATGTCTTCAAATGATTGTGGTAAGCTTTTTTTGATTGACGGAAAAAAATTATTCTGTTTAGAGGGCAGTGCAGTTGGAAAAATTGAGTGGAAATTCAATTTTGAATCCTGCGGAGCAGCGGTCAGTCAAATTCAAGTCAGATGTCCTTTCACTGTATATGAGAATGGAACTGTCCAATGGTTTCTCTGTGATGAAAATAACTGTCAAAAAATTCCAGATGGTAAGTAATCTTTCATTATTTGCTCTGAGCCATGTCATCTATCAATATTTAGTCTAGAGCAACAATCTATTTGCACCTTGAAGACTTAAATGCCATAGATATTTTCAATGAGTAACAAATCGCAAAATTTATCAATTATGAAATAGGAGTTAAGAAATGAAAATAGAGAAATATTTAAAGTAAAGAATAAAACTTTTTCTTACCGAGTGTGTATAGACTTCTTTTCCCTTTAGAAAACTGAAAAACTCTGGCCGTTACAAGTGTCTGAAAAGAGATAGAAAGACAGGAATTAATGTTTTATTAATTTTTTCTCTAACAGCATATTAAATGTTTTAGGCAAGGAATTCATCACTCAAGCCAGCCCAGGTGTCACTGAATTCACCCTTCGCTCGGAACTAGGAAACGGGAAAGGCAACTTGGCATGGCAACATGCACAGCTCTTTAGACAATCAACCGACAGCAGAGACTTCATTTTTAGCATCATTTTTAAGCTGAAGCCTTTGGAAGGAAACCATTCTTGACAAGAGTACCTTCGCTCAGATCCTTAGTGCTGGCTCTGAGAGAAGGAGTGCGTATTTTATTTCAAATTGAGATCGCCTTTATGTGTGGTTGTATAGGAGTTTGTCCTTTGTCTCAAGATGGATACAAATAATTATAAAAGAAACGAATTTATGGTCATTTAATCGGGTTATAATCATTGAATTTTAGTATGTTTATTAAATTCAAATTGAGATTGCCTTTGTGTGTGGTTGTATCGGAGTTTGTCCTCTGTCTCAAGATGGATACAAATTATTATAAAAGTAATGATTTTATAGTCATTTAATTGAGTTATAATCATTGAATTTTAGTATATTTATAGAAAAAATTCCTGGGAGGCAAATCCTGCTGTTAAGCGCCAAGTATTAATATGTAACAGTTAAGCAGGAATTACTTCAAAAGAACTTTGAAAGAATGGCCCAAATGGATATTGCCAGTAATTTTCTTTTTCACTGCCATTTCCACTCTAGCCATAGTCCCAAAGTTGTTTCAAATTATTTATGATCGAGTTCTATATAGGTACAAACACATTTTGTCCCCAAGGTTTTTCATGTAATTGTTCCCTCAGCACCACAAAAAAACGCGGAAAAGGGGATAAACTTTAGTGAATAAGTATCTCCACGTGTCAAGAAACTCTGATATCAGGGTCAAAAAAGTTTTTAGCCAAACATTTGGATGCAATCTCTATGAGTTAGCAATTAACTTGCTGGTGTCAACCTCATAAGCCTGATGAGATACCTCAGGAACACCTTTTTATCGGGTGTCCTGAGCCCGACTTAGCACGGAACTTATTTTAATCTGTAATTAAATGATTTGAACGCAAAGGACTTTTCAGAAAATTACTTTAAGTTCGAAAAAACTTTGTGTATCAAAGCTGTAGGGGAAACCCTGAAAAGAAGTTTGTAGAACCTCCTCAAATCTTGCCACACAATGAAAATCAGCTTATTCTGACCAGAGCCTTGGTCACATAAGTTTATACACTTTTAGAATGCAACAGGAGATCTGCCATCTTGATCCTTAAATTCAAATTCAATGCTAAATTAAAGACACCTGATCTTCTGTCACACTTTAAAAATGCGCATCATATTTAGGGTGGACTCATGAGGCACTTAAAGTACTGCGTGTTCGGTATAATTTCGTAATCGGATCATCAGTTGCTTTTTCCAAAAAAAAATCCTTTTTTTAAACGAATCAGACGATAATGTAATTAATTTTTAGTTTTTATATACTTTTAATAAAAATAAAGTTTTCCTAAGTCAGAACTTTCCTATTTTTCAATCATCTCATCAATTGAAATTGATTTAATGAATGAGTCCATTACAGGTGGTAGTAAGTATAATGAGGGGGGTGACAAATTGTTGTGTATTCTAATTTACTGACTTTTAGGTCATCAAGGTAAAAGAATAGAGAACAAATTTTTTTTTTTTTTATGTTTCAAAAATTTTAGGTACATAAACTTTGTACGATTCATGGATTTAAATTTTCTGACCAACAGTTGAGGGTACTGTTAGAGTTATCCAATTGGAATGATTTGGCTGGAAGAAAACATTTCAAGATTCCTGATTTTTCCCCAACTTTTCAATGTCAAGCAAAAACCCTAACCTTTTTTAAGTTTTCCTTGACTTTTCAAGAACTATTTATCCTGAAACAAGAACCAAGTATTGCATAGTTGCAAAGACTGCCCAATTTTGTGTTTTTATACCATGAAAAACTGATACAGGAAAATTTGCCAAGTCAAAAGAAATGAGAAAATCAGGTAGATTTTGGAAAAGATTAGAGCTCCAAATGTGCATTAAAATTTATTCAAGAAAATAACTCTCTCTGAAAGGTAGAAATAAACAATTTTATTTAAAAAACATCTAACAATTAGAAAACATAAAAATTGAGCATTACTCAGCACCTTTGCTAGAGTCTAATGACATAAAATCACAACATTTTAGAAGATACAACATTAAACTAAGCAATCCTAATTGAGAGTAGATTGGCGATAGTTTTATGAGGCCGATTTGGTCACACACTAAGTCAGAACTTGTGCTGTAATTTCTAGAGCTGTGCAAGTAAGGATTTTTGAATTCGATTACGATTAACGAAATTAATCAGGATTATGATTGAAATTGAGAAAAGGCAAATAATGATTAAATTTTGGCATCTTCATTTTCATTGGGCTTTTATGACCAAAAACGAAGTTAAAATATATGAATTCTTGAAGAATTTTTCATGAGACTGCGAAAGCTGATACTTCGATATTTTTGTTTCTCCTTCTTAAGGTTGACGCATTGTCTTTTTTTCTAAAAGACCCTTTCCGCCCAAAATAAACTAGACCTTGAGAGAAGAGAGAACAAACACAGCATGAGGCAGAGTTATTAATGTTGGCCTCGTAAAATTTGCAAGAAGGTATGTCCGTCCACCGGCAAACAATTTTTGTTTTGTTTTTAATTTCATGTAGTGCCAGTCTCTTCCATCATAAGTATCATGAAACTTGCCCGGTGCGGATATATTCACGGGGTTGTCATACATTTATTGCAATTTTTTACCGCTAGAAGCTAGCAGCGGGGTAGTGATGCAAATTCGAACAAACGCGGAGGGAAATTCAAAATTTTATGAATGTAAATTAATCAGCTCAACCACGGTTAATTTTTCAATTCGATCTTGATTACAATTAAAAATATTGATCGCAATTACGATTAACGTTTAATTAATCGCACAGCCCTAGTAATTTCCTTTCTTACTCACACATTACCTGAGTAACCCTTAAAACTGCATGCGAAAGAAACAAACATGACAAGCTACTGCTTGCATGATTAGTTTCTATTTTGCTTTTGAGTACAAACATCAACCAGGTAATGTGCTGGTGAAAAGAATATTTCAGCGCTCGTAACAGCAATATGTCTTTTGTTATCGAGTTAGTCAGTTAGTTAGTCTCGATGAGTTAGGTATAAAAATACCTGTCTTACAAATGTGTATAAAATGAGCTATAGATACCAATGGTTGAGCCAAGAAAGCGAAAAGACAAACAGATTAGAACTTCAAATAAAAAATTTTACTGAGCAAAAGGAACTGTATACCAGTATAGGGACTTGTAACGATGATAATTTCTTGATTGATGCAGACGATCCAGGACAAACCAGTGCTTATTTGTAATAATTTTTAAACATTTTAGAGGATCAAGACATCGACAAAGTGTTACAAATCATCAGATTTTTTTGAGAGTGTGAAAATGTGTAAGAATGCACCTCCAAAGCGAGATTTGATTATGTTTTTGTGAGAAAAACAAAAAGATAGGTATCGCACAACCTAACTCAGAGACTCTATACCACTTTCTCTTAAAGACCCTCAGAGGAAGACCTCTTCTGGGGAGGACCTTGAGACCCTTAAACTTTCCATCTCCTCATCAGGAACTTAAAATCTATGGACAAAATCGACCCTTGCAGACTTCAGATCATTTGGCTACACGATGATTAGCCTCAATTTGGAATATTTACAAGAGTGCGATTTCGCAAGAGTGCAGACATGTTTTGACCAATTTACCACAAAGTCTTGTGAAGTAGGGAAAACCCTGTGAGAACGAAAAAATGGGGGAAGCCATGTCAGTAACACAAAAAATGGGGGTGAGTTGTTGAATGGGTCAGTTGCGCTGATCACAGAATCGTGTTTTGATGCTCGATTCTTGTATAGTAGCTAAAAATGATAAGATCTGTCCAAACAACAACTTTCTCTGTTCAATATCAGCCGAGATATCACCCTCTGAAAAGTCGGGTTTTTGACGTCATCCACCGCGGTGGTGACACCCTTGGTTTCTTCCACCTTGCTTTCATCCAAGTTTTGCGTTAAGTAACTAATGCAAATGTGCATCAAATTGACAGATAAAAGCAAGGTGGAAGAAACCAAGGGAGTCACTACCGCGGTGGATGATGTCAAAAATCCGACTTTTCAAAGGGCGATATCTCCATTAACATCGAACGTAGAAAGTTGCCGTTTAGAAGTTTTTGCCATCTTATTATTCTTGGCTAATCTACAAGTATCAGGCATCAAAACACGATTTTTTGACCGGCGCAACTGACCCATAGTCAAAAACTTCTTCGTTTTATGACGCTTTCAGGGTGGGAGAAATTCAATTTCTTGAAGGTGAGAAGCTGTCTTCCTTTTTAAGTCTTAAGGGGGGCACTGATTATGAATTCAGGTGAAATATGGGAAGGATCCGACTGAATTCGGAGGAATGCCTGAAATTTTCTGCACCTCTTGAATTTTGGATGGACAACTGACTCAATGAGTTTCAGAGATGAGGCAAAAACCGCTTGCAAAGATGAAACCGTCATAATGCAAAGGATTACTTTCATTTTTCAACACGTATAGGAGAACACATTATTTTCTTATGTAACTTAAAAACACAGATCATGGATTGGAAACTTTGACTGTCTCAGAATCCTTGGTCATCAAGATGAAATTGAAAAAAGTTATTTCGTTTGAGAGAATTTTCAGAATTTGTGAGAAGATACAATTGAACTTGATATTTTGAGTTTTGCATCACTCCCGAAATCGTATTGCACATTTTGAGAAGATTTCTATCGTCAAGATTCTGAACAAGTACAAAGATAATCCAACCTAACTTTGAAATTATGTTTACACAAAGTATCACTCAACCCAGCGACTGAATTTGACAAAGCACATTTCTAGTGCGAAGGCTCTTTGAGAGCATCTTGAGATTGAGATACTTTGATGGAACATAGAAAGACTTTCACCGCCTTCTGCTCATTCTCTCTTTTCTTGGTACAAAATATGAGATTCAGACGAATAGTTAACTTACTAATAGCTAAAAAAAAAGTAAAGTACACAAAAATATCAATTGACATCAAGCTTAAACTAATGAAGATTCGTACAGACATAAATATGGTCAGATATTACAAAAATAGAGGAAGTACTAAGCGACCACATTAAACATACAACACTGAGATCAAACAAAAAATGATTTTTGAAAATGAATTGTTGGAGAGAAATACTAGTCTAATTTACATTCGGCTGCTAAATAAAGAACGACAAGAACTGAGTACAGAATGCGCACCTATACCCTGTGTTTTGAGGGGGATTGAAAAAATCCCAATTAGAGGATATATATGTAACATACTTTATGGACAGGCCGCAAAAACTTATTCTCAAAATTGAGCAATTCATGTTACTGCAAAGCGGAGGGATTCATGAACATTTCGAAAGAAAAAAAATCAAAAAATGTTGAACCAAACCGTAATCATGGTGGATTGAAGTTTCTAGTTCAAACAAGGTAGTTGAAATTTATTCCTAATTCTAATATGCCAGTTTCAGGACACAGAACCTCCTAATTATACAGCAACTCAGCAATCTTAGTTGGCACAAGAATGAAATACCTGACCCTCTCAAAACATAATTTTAAAAAACTACGGACAGTTTCCTGGCGAAATCTCAAAATCCGATTTTCGAACCAACATGACGAAAATCAACCTGCCGGGTTTTTTCTCTGCAGACTAAGATTCCTCTGCCGATTCCTGGGGATAGCATTAATAAGTTGCGACAATTCTTAATTTTTTTTTTTTTTTCATGTAATTTTGTTGAGCGTAGCTGTTAAATACACTTAAAAATTAATTTTTTGTAAAAGGATGACTGAAAAGTGCATATTTTAGAAGGCACAAGGCACTAGTTTCCATTGTTACCCAGATAGGATAACTATAAAACAGTGCAATCTAGATGGGATCCAGTAGGTGGAAACAGACAAAATATTCCCTGTATGAGCAGATTCAAATATATACTTTTGATCCTGAAACTTGTTTCAAGATTTTCATTAAAGATGTTTTCAAGAGAAAAATCTTAAAAAAGGTGAAAATGGGGCAGTTCAATAACCCTTGAAAACTGATATGACTTGACTTAACTGGGCGCAAGTTTGTTTCACAGAAATGTAGAGCATTTGTTATAATTGAGAGCTTATGTTCACTTCTAGTAAGTATTCAACATAATTGCATGATGCGGTCCCAAGATAAGGAATTTTTTATGCAAAAGCTGCAGAATTTTCAGCATAGGAGCTTTCATTTTTTCTGTTCATTGAGCAAACAGTAAATGCATTGTATCCCCAAGGTAAAAAAATTGGTTTCAGAAACGTTACAGAAAAGCGATTCAATTTATCTGCTTTAGAAGCAGTTCATCAGTTTTTGGTGTCTCCCCAATAATGTGTACTCCATTGATAAAATTTTTATTTTTAAAACTTAAAAGAATTTATCAGGATTTTCAGTTAGATACCAGTTGAAGAATTTAGCTGCAAAAATTTTTCTGAAAGCACACCTGCAGCTCATAAAGGCAATGCAGGTGCAAGCAAATTGGGAAATTGGAAAAATTTTCATAAAAATTATGAAGATATCAATTTGTCACATCATTTTGTTGACATACTCTAACACTACAAAAAGGACATTCTGGGAATGTTAGGTATGAATGCCCCTCAATTCGCAGTGACATGGGTTAATGCAATAGTATGTAGTAACAAAAATTGATGAGACAGAATTGATTCAACTTTTATGCCAAGCAACATGAGATTCCTCTATAATATCAATCATTCAAATGAAATTGAACAAGGAATCTTCTCCTTGAAAAACTTGGCACTTGACCATCCGAGGGAAAAGGCGAAAGTTTGTACTCCGCCGAAAATCTTGAAAGTTTTCTGAGCAAACAGAAAACATCTGATGATCAGGTGCATCTAACGCTTGTTTAGAAATGTTTTCGTAATGCTTTTTGACTTGAAAAATAATCAAACAGAATCAGTCTGCAAGGAATGCGAGAGAAACGTTTGCAATCAAAGCTGAGTCAATATAAAAGGATGAGGAGTGATTTCAATGCATATTCTTTTTATTTAATGTCAATGCTAGTAATTATGGTATTACCCTTAATCAAAAAAATTTCTGCCAAAATAAATCCCTTTTTTCTGAATTTGTTTTGTCTTGACATTTGTAACAAGTTCTTAAAATAATTACTTGTGTTAAATCCTCAAAAACTTATAGATTTAACTGAGGTTATATCCTTGAAAATGAAAAAAATAAGACAGAAAAATCATGCAAAAATAGGTCACATAAAACAATAATGCAAACTGACGAGCTAAAACTCATAAGTATTGCTGGAAAAGCATGATTATACTTTGTGGTCTAACAATAAGTGCCAAGGTGCGCGCCCAGTTTTTTGACTTACCAAGGCACACCCAGGAAAATGTTAAAAAAACGACTTTTCCATTTCTTTGAGTGAAAAAGACTTTCCTCTTTGCCAAGCTCATTTCAGACATAAGAGAATTACATAAAAAAGAACATGACAATGAAATGAATTACTTCCCAGCAGCACAGGTTAAATAGTTTTTTTCTTACTTATTCTTAGGTTTGAAGGCGTTTCCCCACTTGAACGAAAACCTTCAATTGTTGATAAATATTCAATGCTGATTGTTGAACATACTAAGAGCTAAGTATCTAAAATATTTTAACTTTGCAACCATGAAAATAAAAAAATTTCTGGCTTGTACTGTGTATTAGTGGTCAAGATAACCAAGATTAGGAATTTTCGTTTGTAGGATGAATAAAACCTAAAATTGAAAGAGGCTGCCAAGTGCCACCGTAGAAATGACTAAAAAAGTAGAAAAAGTAAGACAAGTATTGCAAGTTCTACTTGCATAAGAATTAATGTGCCCCAAAATAATATAGACTGATAAATTAAGTTCATGACTACGAAAAATTGAGCTTTAAATCAATCTTGCCTGAGAAGATTTCAAAAGTCAGAGTTGCCACAGAATTTGCAAAATGAAATTCGCTGACATTTCCCTGATTTTCCTAACACATTTTGGTGAAATTCCCTGACAATTGAGGATATGACAGATGGTTAATAAGACATGATTGAAAACAGTTTTCAGGCAAAATTTGTCGTTTGAAACCTCAAACCCATTCTAGAAAGAGAGTAAAGGTGATTTAAAAAATTTTCCCTGAAATTTTGGTCATTTTCCCTGACATTATCGTCATTTTCCCCGACATTTTCATAATTTTCCCTGACTTTTTCCCGATTTTCCCGGTATTCTCTGACTGTGGCAACCCTGTAAAGTTTTGAGTATCACTATCTACCAAACATCACATTTTTCAGTTTCGACACTGTGACTTAGAACCCTCCGACTGGTTTTTTTTAGAAAACATGTTGAATAAATTATTCCCCGTAGGAATACCTTGAGAGCAGATCTTTTCAATGGAGCAGACTAGATCAGAAAACGTTGGCCGATCCTTGGACTCATACCTCCAACACGGCGAGATGATGTCGACATAAACTTCTTGTGGGCAACATTCAGGGCACGGCAGCCTTGTTCCATTCTTCAACAAGACTTGCTGTTGCTCGAGCAACTCTTCTTGCGGCAGCTCAGCCTCAGTGATTCGTGGATCATCCCCAAAGGAGAAGATTTCGAACAAAGTCACACCGAAGGACCAAACATCAGATCTCTGAGAAAAACGGCCTGCACTTAGCGATTCTGGTGCATACCATTTGATGGGTAGATCGCGGTTTGTTTTCAGGATGTAGTAATCACTCGAGCCGGTGAACTGAGCCAGACCAAAATCAGATATTTTCACCGTTCGTTGATTAACGACTAGAATGTTCCGTGCAGCTAAGTCTCGATGAACGATTTTTCTGCTACTCAAATATTCCATACCCTGAGGAACAAAATAAAAATTTAGTGGTAATTAAGACAATTAAAGAAAGAAATAAGAGGCAAACTCACCTTTTAATAAACAAAGACATTTTCAAAATCAAACACATGGAAAATAGAGCAAACTTCCAAAAGGAATCTTGACAAACCTACTTTCAAAGTAAGTAATAACATCATTTAATGTTCATTGTTGTTGGTGCGTAATTCACAATAAAGCAACTGTTATGAATGAAAAATTGGCCGATCAAAATTCCTATCCAGCGAGAGTGGCATCGCAAAACGTTTGATGCGCTAAAAAAGAGCAAATTCCTGAAAAATTTTGTAATTAGAGGAGAAATCTTGTCTTCTGACTGAAAAAAGGTCTGGTACATCTCCCGTACAATTGAAACTGAACAATTAGCACACTATGAATAGAACAAGCAAGCTTACACTGGAAATATCAAGAGCGTATTTGAGGAAGAGGGATTCACACTCATTGCGTAGAACATCTCCGTGAATTTTAAGATAACACTGCAGCGATCCGTAGGGAACGTATTCCATGATAAGACAGTATTCTGGTTCCTGGATGACTCCCTCTATTGATACAATATTTGGGTGTTTCAAGGTCTGCACAAAAATGAAATAGTGTTATTATAAACAAGAGCAGTAATGAGGAAAAAAAAAGTTCCAGCAAGCAGCTCATTGAACCTTTTCCCCGACGTTAGTATTTTGAAAATACGGTAGATCTTTTTAGAAATTTCTCTTGACTCCATTAATTAGTGCATGTAGATCAGCATTAATACTTGGTAAATCTTAGAATTTGTATTAAAGACACACAGCATATGACTGCAATCACAATTAAGACAAATTTTCGTTCAACTTTGATAATGTTGTGGAGTGTCTGAAGTTGATGATTTTGAAACCCTCAATATTTGATACCCTCATCCAAACTACAACTGGAAATTCAGAACAATGCAACAATTTCAAGAAGTTTGATAAATATAACAAACGAACCTTCATTATTGCAATTTCTCGATCAAAGTCTTGCAATATTGACGGCACTGCACTTGGCTTCAGTTTTTTTACAGCAACAATTTTGGGTTCAACTTCTTTGACAACATGTTCTAATAGACCTTTGTATACTTCTCCATAGAAACCCTGGAAAATTTAACAATAACATAAAATTAAAAACAAAATATTTTTGGGATCAACAGGAGTTTCATCGGCATAACTCCTTAGAATTGAAGGTTGCCAGAGATAAATATATATATATAAAAAAAAAAAACATAAAAGGCAAAAAAAAACAGTCATTTATAAACTGTGAACAAATGTGACAGAGTAGACACAAAGACTACCTCTCATTAAACTTTCATGTCAACGAGCGTCAGAAAAAAAGTTCTCTCAAACAAATTGATTATCTGGTCTGATACAATTTTTGTCAATATCCTGTTTAAGATATCAGCGTTAACAGTTTTTTTTAAAGTATGAGCTGAATTGGCTCATGTAGCAATATTTTTGAAAATCTCGCGCTATAATGCGCTAGGATTGACTAGAAAAAGTAGAAAATCTTGCTTGTTGGTCAATTCTAACATCAGTTCAATACAGCCTGACGTACATTCTTGTGAAGCTGGGAGCTATGTATTCGTAAAATATGCGATGAACTTAGGCCACTATATAAGCATTTCTGCCAGATCCTAGTTATTGATCCTTACACGATGTCAAATCATAATGATTAAATATAAGAAAAGTACCTGTCCAATTCGGCCTTGTAAGACGACATTGTACTCTCCGTCTAATTCAAAGATACTTTGCATTCCAAAACCAAGCTCATTTGAAGAGGGATTTAGGAAAAAAGAATCTGATAAAAAATCCAACTGATTTGCTTTCTGACCCTGAAACATGGAGAGTTCATTTTAGAAGAATAAATAAATGAAATATAAAATTAGAGAATGTATTTTGAAAGTGAATAATTGGTATTTCGAACGATTTGTAACCTAACGGTTTAAAAAATGATCTGCAGGTCTATACACTGTTCCTTAAGGCGATGATAACTTCTGCCCAAAAATAATCAGCGGTAGTTTACAAACTTCAAAGAATGGATTGTGATGGGTAAAACCAACTTCACTTCATTAAAAAGGAATCTTCAACTTTTGTACTCCTTCACCACAATATTTAGTAAATTTTGGGGTGATAATTCAATACCATAATTCAAACGCCCATAAATTGTCACATTTTAGAGAAAATGGAGAAGATAAATTGTACATACGAAAATCTTCAGGATAGAAACTTAAGCTCGTCTAGAAAGAAGATATTTTAAGGTGAGTAAAAAAAAGGAGAGAAGGTTTCTAACCTGTTGATAATTTAATAACCAGGTGCTTTCACCCCAACCAGCCGAGGATACATCTCTACTTGAGTCCGTATCGTCTAATTCTGAGTACGAAAGGAAAGTATTGGCTGAAAAATAATTAAAAGAAAAACATCAGGTAATTCAAGATTTTTACAAGACCGTGAATTTGAATGTAACTAATTATACTCCTGATGCCATGAATTTGTTTAAGCCCGTGCCAGAATATTTGACATTAAGGAATTTTCAATTTTTTGTAGCCGAATCAGACTTTTCTGGGATTTGATTCTATCTCTATTTGTAACGGATTTATTCCTCGTTGCAGAAATTAAAGCAAACTTTTACAACACAGCAAGTTTGTGCTTTACAATTTTTTTTTCCTTTAACCTTCGACTTGATAAATACTGGTCATGGGGAGACTGGAAGAAAATCTAAGTTAAAGGTTAGCCATTTTATATTAGCAACTTTAAATGGATGCAAAAAAATTGGTACTGAAATGCATGAGTGTATACCTGTTTGTTCTGACATGATGCTACAATTGGTCTCGTCGTTGTACGTCCCGCCAGAGGAATTGCTGACAGGAATATTTTTTGGAAAAACAGTGGCATATGAGTGCGTTTTTCTCGAATTAAAAACTGTAAAAAAAAATTAAAAACATAAGTCAAAAATTTGAGATGGAAATATGATAATTTGAGATTAAATTCTTGGGATTTAGTTCTTCTTTAAATTAAAAGAGCATGACTCCAAGTAATGGACTAGTTCAAATATGGATTAAATGGCAACATTTTTAGTCAGCTTTGGATCATTTTATTTTTTGGTACTTCCCGGCAAAAATTAGCACTGATGCATCAAAATGTAGTATTCATCGTGAGCTGAAACTGCACTGTTGATCAATCTAGGTTCTGAATGAACTTGAGAGCGGACTCGACTCATTTTAAGTATTGTACAGTACGCCTGTGATCCTCGACAAAGCTTAGCCCCTGATTCGAACATTTGGTGATGGTCACACTGCGAAGAGCGCAGGATTTTCTTGTTTAAATTTGTATTTAGACCATGGAAAATTTTAAAAATTAGAATTTTGGACTAACCTTTGTATTGATCAAAATGAATACCCACTTTATCAGACATGAATTGATACAATTTAACACCTAGACTTACAATAAGACCAGCTTATCTAATTAAAATAGACATCACACAGAAATCAATTCAAAGAAGAAGGAGTAAAATGATCTTATGGCTGTTCCAGCAACTTTGTGTTTAGCATTTTGGAATTATTAAATTTATCTTGTAATAATTGAAAAATGTAAGAGAATTCAGACTGAGATCTGGATGAAGAACTGAAGGTTTGATGAACCCAGTTGAACCTAAGGTCGTATTCATCTTTTGTTTATAATCAGTTGGAGTAATATCTTAAAATCCTGAGGTATATTTGTTAGAAAAGATGTTACTTGGTCAATACAATACCTTGGTAGAGAAGTTGATGAATATCTCGCAAGGCTTCTTGGGGCTCACGCCTGTAATGCGGATCAAAATTCCAACACTCTAACATAAGTTGGTAAATACATTGAGGGCAGTTTTTAGGTATTGAAAGTCGTTTGCCGGACATATAAAACTGAAAAGAGAAGACAATTAAATAGGACAGGTTAACTGGAGGAAATAGACAAATGCAAAGTTCTGCTGCTACAGGTTATCAACAGGGAAAGACCAAATGTGTCATTCCTCAGAAAAATATTCTAAAAAAAAAGTATCTGGGTGAATAAATTTCCATACATAATTCTCTGGAAACTTCGTAAGTTCTTGTGCTAAATAAAATAAAAACCTCCCATTTCACACTAAAATCATTTAGTTTTAAGATTTTTCATAAAAGAAGATTGCTGACCAACTAAAAGTTAGGAAATTTCGGCATATGGCCCCCAAAAAATGCTAAAAATTCAGTGTAAAAAAACTACCTAATTGATTGCAAGGATGCTGGTGATGCCATTTGGTAACACTTATGAGTAGTATTTTCCGATTAAATTTACAAGAATCTTAAGACATGAAGCACTCGCCGCTGAGCTATGGCAAGCTGGTAACTTAAGTTTGTTTACAAATGCACAAAATATTGCTGCTGGTTACACCATTGGTGACACACTAGAGAAGTTTAACTTCAAGGTGATTCAATGGACGCCATATTTTGTGTCAGAACGACATGCAATATATCGCATGTTTTAGTTCCATACTCTCAGCTACTTGTCCCTTTTTTTCAAATTTTGAAATCGCAATTCTGTTGTCAGGAGGCTGAAAAATTCACTTACTGATTTTGACAAACAAATTTAACTTAATGAAGGCGTGGTTTTTATAGAGAAAAAATATTGCATTCGATACTGATATCGAAACTGCACTCGAATGCGATATTTTCTCTCTAAAAAAACCACGCCTATATTACGTTGATTTAGTTGGTCAAAATGGGTGAGTGAATTCTTTAGTCTCCTGACAACAGAATTGCGATCTCAAAATTCGAGGAAAATGACGAGTAACTGAAAAAATGAAACCAATCGATGCGGTATATTGCATGTCGTTTTGACACAAAATATGATGTCCATCGAATCACCTTAAACATAAAATAAATCACTTTAAAGGATTTTGGAGGAGATGTAGGTACTCTTGCAGAAAGTTTACGGGCAGAATTTACTTTAAGAGTTAGCCTAAGCAGGCTCTCGACTTGATACATACTTTTTTAAGAGAGGAACTGTCAGTTGATGGCGGCGGAGACTCTCCAAAGGAAAATATCTCCCATAATGTAGTAGCAAAAGCCCACATGTCAGCGAACTTGGAGATGCGAGCAGATTCAACTAATTGGTAACATTCTGGTGGTAACCAGTGAAGACTGGAAAAAATAAGAAAAGAGTTTTGTTCAAATTAAATATAAGCTACAGTAATGGGTCAGTTGCGTTGGTCACAAAATTGTGTTTTGATGCTTGAGTCTTGTAGATCAGCAAAAAATGGTAAGATCTGTCCGAACTGCAACTTTCGAAGTTCAATATTAACCAGGATGTCGCCCTTTGAAAAGTCAGGTTTTTGACGTTATCCACTGCGGCAGTGACACCCTTGGTTTCTTCCTCTTTTGCTCGATCAGTGAATACAAAAGGTGCAACGCGAAACTTCAACAACATTAAACGTAAACAGACTCAAGAAACAGACAAATTCGCACTTAAAAGATCTTCTTATCAAGATAACGCACTTGCCGCAAAGAGATTAGGCGTTCAGTCAGTTCACCTCAGTTTGTTTACGTTTCACGTCCCTGAAGTTTTGCATTGCACCCTCTGCATCACTGATCGAACAAAGAAGGAAGAAACCAAGGCTGTCACTGCAGCAGTGGATGACGTCAAAAACCTGACTTTTCAAAGGGCGATATCTTAGTTAATATTGAACGTAGAAAGTTGCAGTTTGGACAGGTCTTACTACTTTTCGCTGATCTACATGAAATAAGCATCAAAACACAATTCTGTGACCAGTGCAACTGACCCATTGAAATTTTTGCTCAGTGCCTCGAAATAATGCTCTGATTTAGTGTTTAAAAAGTTTGACACAAGAGAGGTTTGCTCAGAGAGGATCCCATTGCTTATCTCTGAAAAAATGATGATTAGTGAGGATCAGAAGGCGAGTATAACGACTTAAAGATCTCCACAATGTGTGAAAGCTAAATAGTTTTGATATTCAACAAAATTAACACGAAGGTAAGCAAACTACAGTCGTATCTCGTTATAAAGTTTTTGGATGGGATACAGAGCTAGTATATTGTTTCCTGTTGGATGTTGTTTTGAGAAATGCTACAGCAAAAAATGTCCTTCCAGAGAAACGTTATTTCGAGAACGGCTATAACGAGATACAACTGTGTTTCTAATAATAACGAGGTAACTTGTTAAATACTTAAGATATCCTTGGATTTTTTATTTAATAAGATTATTTGCAATACATACTCATGAGTGTTGTAAGGGACAGGGAATCCAGGATCAGAGAGACGTATCACAAAAGATTGACTGGTATGAGATGCGACTAGTAGTTTATGACAACGAATTTTCCCATGGACAATTCCTTTCTCCTCCTGAAAAATAGGCAAAGATGTTGATCATTTTTCCTCCTACTCTATGATTTCATCAAAGACAGATTTTCCACTGAGACTTAGGACCATGAATATTTTACTCGTTAAGGCTCTAAAAATTAATTACATCCGTTGCTTACAAAATGAGATAAAGCAGAAACGTAGAATATTCTTGGCGACATCTCATGATTCAAGTCTCAAGGCAGTCAGTGTGTTGGAAACTGCTTTGGTCATGTTGTTCATCCTGGTTCCATCTTTTTAGTCATTCTTTTTCTGGTTGTCATATGCGGGTTTGTACACACAAGGTTTTTAGACACCTTCTGTTTTTTGGCCGAAAGGCACTAGAATTTAGAAAACTCATGACTCCCATGAAGAGATATGATGTTTGGTGTAACATTAATAAGTTTTGACAATCTGGTTCCCATCTTTAAGGGAAATTCTGCTCTCATGACTTTGTTCCCTCTATAATTAGAATTTCAGTTTTAAACTGAATTCTGAGGCACCTTAGCCAAAAAATAAACAGTATGTTTTTGATGTGTCAACTCCGTCTCTTTGTTCAGCCATAACCTGACATCTTTTCACATACCCGCATTTTACAATTTAATGTCTGCATGTGGTAGTTGAAGAACTATAACGGTACAAACTTGAGCTATTTTGCCACATTACCGATGGATTAGTTACTACATGAGATGATCCAAAGCATTCCTCAAGACTTATCAACTTCACTTTCGACACAAATCGACTTTTAGGGCATCTGACATAGAGGGCTCAGTCCTGCTCTGATTTAAAATTCAGTGAGTACTTACCAAATGCCACAAAGCAGTCGCCAGATAAGTAGCTGCCTCGACAAGATCTACTTCTTTAATTGTTGATCTATTTGCACAATCTTGGAGATATTCGTCCAAAGGACCCAAGGGTAAATGCTCAAGTACAAGAGCAGCTGGATTTGATAGAGTTACACCATAGCATTTGACAATACAACTGGAGTCCAAAAAAACCCACTTGTTTGCTAAGCCTAAAAATTCCTAGAAAATAAAAGCACAGGAAGTCCTTAATTAAGAAGAAATTATGCGCTACGTGCATGAGGATGGTCCATGCCATCGATTAAAAATCTCTCTGAATTACTATAGACAAGGACAGAGATGAAACATTTTTTAAATTTATTTGTCGTCACGAGTATTAAAAAATCCATTATCACTTACTGAGCATATTGACAGCAGCTGCCTTGCATCCAGCTGACTAGGTGGATGTTTGGAGTTCCATGTCTATCAAACTATTCGATCTGTTCCAGCACACTTTCCGACTAACAAACCGCATAGTTAGATTGACGTAGAACACTGAACATTCGGCTCCTGTGATTTTTTTCTTCTTCAGGGACTATTCAGCTGTGCTTGGCACAAAATAAAGTATCTCGTAAGTTATTGTCTGTCACCTGTTGCGAGGTCAAAATAGTCAGTAGCTGACTTTCAGAAAATTAAAATATAAATGTACTAGCAATATACTGGCAATTGATGCTTTACTTTCAGATACTCACCGCGAGTTTTTCACTGTGCTCAGCTTTAAGACGCTTCAACACAATTTCTTTCTTGTTTTTTCCGACACACCAATTCCCTCGAAGGACAGCTGTGATTTTGTCCCTGCTTTCTTTCCACCGACCTGATCGTAAATACAATTTAACTTGTGTTAGATTTACACAATGTTAAAGGTTTCCCTTAATTTAATCATTTAGGTTCATAATTTACTTTAACTTTCGTCTAACAGACTTCCATCTTTTAGACCTGAAGGGTAGTTAAATCAGAGATTAAACAATAGGGTCATACAGCAACCGGATTTTGAAAAATAAACATATCGACGGTGTAAGTCTGCAATCACATAACTCGGTTTGCGACGTTGCAGACTTCCAGTCATACTTTATTTTTTAACAGAAAACTAATCAACGGCAATTTTTTAAAACTGCCCTGATTTTACTTCTCTGTGCTAAGACGATAACAATGTGTGGTGGGCTACACTAATTGTTGGGTTTACAACCTTTGTGGAGACACATTGCACAGCTCGGATATTTTCCTAACTAAGTATTACTATGTTTTTATTGAAGCTGCAGTTTGGCGGATCTTACAAATACTGGCCGGAATGAGAATTGTAAATATTGATGACGCAGAATTGAAGAATTTCCCTTTTCTCTGAAAATTACAGTATTTCCATTTATTTACAGCAACTAGAGGCCAAGGAGAAGTTTCATCTTTGCAAAACATTGCACTTTTCTTTGACTGAATAAGATAATGACTTGAATAAGGACAGATGTCTCTCAATCGTCAGTTTTAGAAGCTACAATATGCCTCAGTTGGTAACAAGTTAGACTTATAAAATAGCTCACCTTGAAAAACCTGAAGATTACGTATATCAATGCACAAAGGAGACCTCACTGCTACTCCGCTCCAAATATCTCCTCCGCCATCTGCAGGCTTATCATCCATTCGGCAAAGCAATAGATTTGACTGATCTAAATAAGCACAGGGAAATTGAGAGAGATAAGTATCGTTTTATGATTCAGGTACGCTCAACACAAAATTTGGATGACTTGGGAATAATATAAGACAAAAAAATAGTGTATATGCTTCGAAAGATCCACTAGAAATTAGTAAGAATTCACTTCACTTCAAGTTGTCAGAGATGAATAAAATAAACTGCCATCTAAAAATGCATCATTGATGGATGGAAGAAAATATGGAGTCCACCGACCAGTTTCCATGATTTTTTCATTTTCCAATTACCTGATCTGATCCAAAAATGTCTGAACACCCTGACTTTTTCCTGATCTTTGATCAAATCTTCCACTTTGATTTCTTTTCTTTTGATCTTGCTGACTTTCGCTAAACTATGAACAATATCTCCACTTGCAGAGAATAAACAAGGGAAAAAGGCACTTCGAAGTTATTCACGCTTTCTCAGATGGCCCCAGTTAGTTATAAAGCTGATGCAAGACTTAGGAAATTCTCTAGCTTTTTCTATGAACTTTCTGGCGTTTCAAGAGCCCTGTCCCAAGTAGCAAAGATCGAGAAAAATAGCGATTTTATCGGTGGCAATTTATTGCGATATTATTGAATAAAAAATTGCGGTTTAAGGCGATTAAATCGATATGCATCGCAATTTTTTGTTCGATAAAATTGCGATCAATTTTCGTCGATAAAATCTAGATTAAATCGCCATATATGGCGATTTTTGTTTCGATAATATCCCGGTAAATTGCCGGGCGATAAAACCCCAATTTTATTGTAACAAGATCGAGGATAATTGCTAAGATATTGATGATCCTAGCGATTTTATCGCTGATAAAATCGTAATAAATCGCGATTTTTCTGTTGCAAAATGCTCCTTAGAGTATATGCAATGAGTTTCCAGGTATTCCACACCACCAGAAACCCTGCTATATTGATAATTGGCACCTGCAAAGATCTTATCATGGTTCCTTAATCAATAGAATCTGACCATCAACACTCAAGATTGAATTTTTTTTTTAAACTGATAGTAAACTGTAAATGTGCGTTTTCTTCCGTAAATACAACCTGATTTTCCCCTGCTAAAAATTTACTGGAAATACCAACCATATTCAGAAGGTGGAACACACTCAATCAAAGGAACAGGAGAACTAGAAGCGCGATTTGATGCGACCAACTCCTGCAATGAAGCGTACACATTATTGTCAACAGCCCAAGTATACTCATGGCTGCTCAGAGTTTCAATTTTGTACGTGCTCGGTTTCCGGCTGAAAAGACACAACGTAACGGTTAGGGTCAGGAGTAGGCAAAGTAAAAATCTAATATATAGGCTTCTTTAAAAGCCAAGATCCTAAGAAATCCTTACAGCCCTCAATAATACTAATATACTCACAAACGGGTGGGGTACTTATACAAGCCCTCATTACAATACTGAATCGGTGTATTGTTTTAGTTACTTGTTGTAGCATTTGACGCCAGGCTGAGATTAGTTCAGTTCAATTAGAGGCTAAAAGGTTAGATTTTCAGCTATATGCTGATTTTAAACAATAAAAAATTCCGAACGCATAAAAAAAAACGTTTTTGGGAAACAATGGGTCAGGGGTACCCATCTTTTTTAGTTCCTTTTCTCCATTTAAGAAAAGGGTGAAGCTTCTAGGAATTTTTCTCGATTTTTTTAATCTTAAATGGCAAAGAATATAATTTTCTTTAAAAAAAAATAAATAAATAAATAAATAAAATAGAAAAATAAAAAGGAAATGATTTTACCTATTTGGGAGGCATACATCCACATAATAAGTGTCGTAGCTGGTATCACTCTGTCGAAGAATATAGCAGCCAGCTTTATTGTTGCGTTTTTCTTCTAGTTTGGCATACGAAAACTCTCCGCTGAAATTAGAAAAAGTGCAATCGTTACATTGGATTTTAACCTAATATTTTCAATCTATATCAGTTTATTAAATCTTGGTTAAATTACAAACTACTTCAATACGTTCGTACTGATGGAAAAATTTTCAAAGGTCGAAAAAGATAAATAGTTCTTCATTAAATGAATATTGGAAGCATCCCTTCAAAAAGTAAGTCCTTCAGGAGGTCCTTCTACTGAGGCCAAACATTTTCTTTCTTGGCCACTCTTCAAAGATGTCAAAAAAAGGGAAGGCTGCTTTTAGAAAAATTTCAGAATGGGGGTAACAGCTTTTGAATTTCAGGTTTTACAGAGAGATACTCAGAAAACAAAGTCTGCCAATTTGAGAAGGGTCGAAAAACCTGTAAAAAAATTCAAAAGGAGGACCAAAATTCTACACTGATCTTAAGATGCTCAGACTAGCTATAGACATATGAAATAGATAGGATCTTGGATAGGGAGTAAAAAAAAAGAACAAAACTTGCCATGTTTAAATACTTGCCTGATTGGACCATGACACTTCAAAGCATGTAGTTCTTGCAACGAGGGTGTTATTGTATCTTTACACAGATTGAAAGTCCACTTGACCATTAGCCGATAGTAGCCATCCAGGAGAGATACAAAAGAAGTGACATCCAGTAGCGACCGGAATTTAAAATATGTTGGCACACCATTCTTGCGGGAAATTTCGACAGTCCGGTCAGTACGCATGGAGATGTAACACAGCTCATCTATTAAACATAGATGTTGCCACTGAGGAAACAGAAAGAAGAAAATTAAGTACTGTTGCACGGATAAGATTAGGGGGAAATTTCAGGAGTACTTGGCTGACTTTTCAAGGCATCACACACTTTATATCCTCACAAATATAGAAAGAATTTATTTTTGCCTTTTGATGATACATACTCTTCAGCAAAGGTTGCGCTGCGCTGATGAGGAGTCAAATGAGACCCAGATGGTGGTAAGTAACTAGTGTTACTTCCAACAGCGTAACTTGAGGAGAGAACTTTGCTTTGAATGATTTTCTCCTTTTATGAGTGTTTTTGTTTCACAGAGCCAAACTTGGTTGGCTGTGACGTGATGTCAACATCTTGATCTCTCTTTGGGAAAGGATATTGATACCCATGAAAATACTATCTGTCTTCCTAGAGAGTTGTAACACATTGAAATATTTATTTTTTGCAAGTACTTAGAGGTGTTGTCAGCTACGTTGGCATTTGTTTACATTCCACCTGCAAGCGACCACCATGCTGTGGTCCGTTAGGGATCGAGAATTGACTACGCTCACAATCGGGCTGTAGTCAATCCTCCATTTCTGTTGGACAATGGCGTCGCCATTGTCAGGGTCAGATCTGGCATTGCTGCTTGTGAGCCCCGCCGCCGGGGCAGATGTCGAAGCGGCAAGACATTCAATATAGAGACATCATGGCGTCCCTGACGTAACTCCACTTCTTCTTCATTTCTCACACTTAACAGCGATCACATGCAAGTGCAATGTAAACAAGTGCAGACTAAGCTGGTGACACCTCCACTTGAGGACTCTCGGAGGAATTCAAAAATAAGTGCAGACTTCTTCATCAATTTCCAGACAGTCCATTTTCCAACTATTCCTAGGATCCATCCTACTGACTTGGCCTCAGCAGGATAACACTTATCCTCCAGACAAGAGTCAATATCAGTAAAAAGTCAGATGATAATTACCTCTTTCTTTCCTTCAAAGCACATCCTGATTCCCGGGTGTTCTCGGCTGAATGGGTAGACGATGATTGTAACATTCTTCGTGGTGCCCCCATCATCAGTTTGAGCTACATATTCTTCTGCTAGATAATTTGGTGCAAGCTCATCAAACTGCTCCAAGTACGCAAATTTAATGAATTCGACATCATGTTTAGTTTCTGTCTCGAGCAACTTCGTTAGACTTCTATGAATTGGTTTCTTCACAAATATAAAATGATTCCTTAGGACTTCTTTGGAAATATATTTCTTGTAATTTGACTCCACATCTTTCCTAGATATTCCGTTCTCGATTATGTCTCTGTACATGTCAGTGACACCGAGTCCTGAGAGTTCCCGCTTGTGTCTCTCATAGGTTATATCAGGAACTTTGCTGTTTATCACGTCAAACTTAACTTGACAGTAATAGTAATTGAATGCGTTGAAGTCTGCAGATGGAAGCCTTCGCCAGCTGGGCACCTTGAACCTAATCCTAAGTTCGAAATCGCAGTTTGGCTTTCCATCGATAAACTTGTGACATGAGCTGATCCAAGTGCTTGTTTTCGAGAAGCGAAGACCAAATAGGTGCCGGTAGACTGGCCCAATTTTTAGCTTCCGGCACAAGTTGATAATGATATCCTCTGCAGTAGAATCATTTTCGTAGAAAACTTTCGTGAAGTTATTTTCAGTGTAAAGGAAAACATTCACGCAAGAGGTAAGGTTTTCCATGCCTCCAGAGAAGCTTAAAATTCAACACAACAAGAGAGCATAATTACCTACTTGATGATTCTGCCCGGCGGCGTGATAATATAAATGAATTTTCAATGATTATAGGAGGAACTGTTGTAACTTCCTATCATTACCTCAGCGGAGAGGAACGGCAAGGGAAAGCGGGTAATTTACAAAATTAAATGAGTGAAAGACTCGGTGAAAGAATTCGCAAAATCGCGAAGGAATTCGCGGAATTATCAGAGTTATCGGCAATTTGATTAGGGGACATTATTCGACACAGTTGCCAACTATTACCAACAATGTTGATTTATTTGACAAAGCCTAAGGATAGCGCGGGAAAAAATTGCCAGCTGTTCATGATCTTGAAAAAAAAGAAGTGGGCACTGAAAGAATTTAAAATGTCCTGCGTAACGTCACAGAAACGCCATATCTTCCCTATTTAGCATTAGGCAAAAGAGAGCTACTACGTCAGGAGAGAGGTTCGACGAGGATGAAATGCTTCCATCCTCACTGTTTTCAAAGTTTGTATCTTTGGTTTGTATTTATGTAATTTGTAACTGAAAAAGATAAGTATCCTGCAAGTAACAACGTGATCTCACTAAATAATGTGTCTGTTTCAGTTTTACATTTATTCAAATCTTTATTTCTGTTCAGAATGATAATCAACTTTGTTCCAAGGTGTTCCAAAAGATAATTCAGCCGAAATCATGTCTCACTCTCCAGTATTATTCGAGTCTGATGATGAGACCACAGGTAAGTCGCACCATTTACTGCCTCGATTTTCTTAATTTTACCCAGTATTTTCATATCGTTTCTTTCAAAATCGCCATCTGAATTTCCACCATTGTTACAAAGCTGTTTACAACGGTGGAGTAAAATTTTATGTGTGAAAAGCGTTCCCACTCCTCTGAGCTGCTGCCTCGCCGCGGTAACAAATCACTTGGTGCAAATAAAATTCTAAGTCTGCCAGAATTTAAGATAGGCCTTTGATGGAGGATAATGGCACGGAACTTTCATTGCCATTCTCAAATGAGAAAATCCTGAATGAGGCCACCTCAACCGTTCCTCACCCCGCAATTCATGTACTCCTGGTGAGATGCCTCTGACTCGCTCAAAAGTTGAGGAATCAATTTTTCACCACTATGTTTATAAAACCCTAATAGCATGAGCCATCAGTCAACCCAAAGATAATTTATCTGTGAGTCCAGTAAAGTTTAATTGATCCAAGAACTTGGCTTCTGTTCAGTTTTAACCTTTTTGATTGGGTTGCATTATGACACTTATTTATTTATACTTTTCAGCCCGATGTAAATATCTTGGTTGTCAAACTTTAGACTATCATCATGGTCATTTTGGTTAATCACTAGCCATCATTAGGTGAATAAAAACGTAGCATGAATAAAATGGAACCGAAGCTTAATATTTTTTGTGTATCTCCGGTGGCGCGTCGTGAAACTGGCAAGCGATACATTTCACTTGCCTGTTTTGTGACGCGCCGATCTAATTGTGCTCCTGCATTTTAAGAGCAATCTACCATTCCCATCTTGTATGCAGCTTAACTTTTAGTGTGTTGATTTTCAGACTGTGGGAACATTGAATCAGAGGAGACACCTGTGATTGAGCAAGTTGCTGAGCCTCACCCTGGTCATTTAAGAGATGAATCACGCGTCAACAATCTAAGATCAATTTTAAAAGGTGTTCCTCCGCCTCCAAATTACACGATTGCAGAGCTGAACATTGTGGATCTTCTCAATAAATATCATGACAATAAAGGGATCTTCGGCTTGGACCAAGTGACTCCTATGGAAATCATTGAAGATTCATCTACACCGCAAGAACAGCGCAAAGATTTTAATTCTGATTCTGAAAAGTTAGATTGTCCCACTGATTCTACATCAGATCAGGAGGATAAATGTATCGAAACTTCTTCAGGTGAGCTTTATTAATGTTTTCTCATTTACTCACGCTTGTAAAAAACTCATTTTTGATCTATTGAGCAGGGGACTCCCAATTTAGAGTCACGAACACACGATGAATTTCATGTTTGCTTAGTGGCTGGAAAAGCCCTTTCCATAGCTTTTGTTGAGATAATAGCAATTAGAAATTTACTGATATAGGGCCATCATTTAGGCCTTGTCCACAGGAGCATCATTCAAGGAAATTCGGTCAAACTTGTTTGATTTTGTTGCAACTAATTTGTCCAAACTGTGCTCCTATAAAGAAGGTCTTGTTTGTTTCATCAGAATGCAGCGACTGGAAAGTGTTTCAGAAATGTGGAAATTAATTTTACGAATGGTCATCGTTTCCCAAGTATCACAAATTTATTTGAAGGTTGCTATTAATTTCACAATGGTGGCAACTTAATTTCTGACAAATCTCTATCACAGTCAATGTAACGAAGTTTTGTGTTAAAATATTGGAAAGTAAATTGAGAATCTTTTACATACTGCAAAATATTTTGTCCAACTCTTAAGGTATTTTTTTTTTTATTTATTATTTTAGATATACTTAGTTTATGCACCTGTAGGATTCGACAAAAAATCAGTTGTCTTTGATTTAACATTGATAGTAGAGCGGAGACATAATATGTTAAGACAAAAGTCAAATATTGCTTAGGTCACCACTCATCAGTCGTGCCATCTGACTGCATGTATTAACCTGTTGAGTGGTGCTGATTCGGAGGTAATTAGAGATTGACATTTGTCTGAACATACAATGTCTCCGCTCTAAACAGCATAATCAAGATGGTGGATGTTCTGGCCCACTCTAAAAAGGCGTAATCTCTAACTCTGATATTTTAAAAATTTCTCAGCTTTGTTTCCTTCATATGAAAGCGATGATCAAATTAAAGGACTTTGAATTAGGGAGTGTGGCTCATGAATGTTGAATATGATTGTATTTAGGGCTCATAACTTTCAGTTAATTTAATGTCCTCCTCAATAAAGCCACAAAGGGAATTATCATGCTGATTGTAAAATTTTTTGCTTTATGTCGGACATAGAAAGAAAAAAAAAAAAAGACTGCAAAAAGCTTTCTGCATCACTATCATCTTGAAGCCTAAACTCTAAATCTCTGTTTTTAGATGTACCGAAACATATAACTCCTGAAACGGAATCTTACAAGTCCTTGCTGTGGCCTGAAGTGACACGTGTAACTTATTTTGATGTCTAGTAAGTATCAGTAATGGTTTTCCAACTAGCATTTAATCTGCATTTAAACCTTATACAAAAATATTCGTCAATATCTCATTCAGGGGTTGATCTCCAAACTTTCCTTTGTTTGAATTCATTCCTTCGTAAGATTTTGAAGAGAAATCATGCAGTATTTTTTCTAGTCCAGACCTCTTGCAGTCAATTCTTACTTTTTAGTGAACAAAGTCTCACAATTGCCTGGCCAGAGAACTTACAATTCATTAGTTTGACAAAAGAAGTACAAAATTCCAAATAGAACAAATTAAACTGTTGTAAGTATGCAAAGATCAGAAGAGATATGTTAAAAAACTTTCTTTTGTTACAAAATTAGCCTCCTGTGGTGTAGTCGTTGTAGCGCTTGCTCTATGATCGGGAGGTTCTGGGTTCGATCCTCGACCGGGTGACTCGAGTTTGATGGTCTCAAACAATGGTTAACTACGGCTGGCTTGATTAGGGTCGGAGGGGGAGTGGGGCTCTAAGAATGGTAAAGTATAGGATCATCCCTTGTGGGATACTTGAAAAAAAAAGGGGTGGGGGGAAACTATTGAACTTCGTGAGTAGATTTATAGATCTCTGAAAGTTCTGGCTTTGACTAGACCTCCCAAACAATTCTGACTTTCTAGTCCACCTTCGGATGCTCCTCTCTCTTTAGGGTACAGTTAAAAATCTTACTACAAAAAAAAAAAAACTTACAAAAATCTTGACAAAATCAACATATCGTATCAAATCATCTTATCGTACAAAATCTTAATCTTTTTAGAAAATCAGTGCCGACACTCAACTCTGAAATGTATGCATTGCTGATGGTTTAAGTTTACATGGTCAATTCTTAGCCTTGTCAATCCCATTACTTCTGTATTTAATTTTTCCCACGAAAATGAATGTATAGTTAAGTGCTTTTTAAAGGAGATTTGAAAATTCACTGTCCTACTTTTATTTTTTGTCTTAATTGAATCTTTGGACCAATTGTCCCGAGTTCTCAACACATCTAACTATTATTTTCTGTTTTAGTTACAACCTAGGAAATTTTTCTGAGGAGCTGGCAACCCTTGTTGACAAATTTAGAGAGCGTTACGTCAGTTCTGAAACTAACTCATCGTTCATCACTCAAGGCCCAATGCTAACAGGCAGTGCTAAAAAAAGGGCCAGGAGACGCGCGTGGGGTGGTTACAGTCCAGGAAGAAGGTTGTCTCATTTGGCTCAACGTCGGCGCACATTCTCGTCTGCTAATTTGAGTCAGTTCTCTACAAATGCCAATGGACGAGTGATCTTGCCAGGTGGCTCAAACAACAATAAATCAGCTGTCTCAAAGAAAGTCATTATGGTTGACATGTAAGTATATTTCCTTTTGGTTTATCATCACATCTGGTTACAGGGTTTTTTTGTATTCAGTCGAAACTGGATAGTGCTTTATTTTGTGAGAAAACTCTTCTATTCTAGCTCATCCAAAATGTCAAACCTCCTCTCTGAATATATGATTTATGTTTCGCCAAGTACACTGTGTCGCTAATGGATATTTTAAGATTGAAGAACCTGCAAAAAATTTCAGCTAAAATTGCTGTTAAGAAAAATTGTCCTCATGTACTAAATTCAAGTTTCTGAGAACAGTTTTACTTGTCTTTTCAGAAAGCTGACAGGAAAATCATAAGAAGCTCAACTATCGCATTTGTGGTTTCATAGGATGCCTTATCAATTGAAGCTGTTTAGCTATTCCTTTATTTGCTGTTTATCAACTCAGGTTTTTTTTATTATTATTATCATTTGTTAGGCTTCCATTCCTTTAACTCAGACTTGAAATGTATTGTCAAAAACTGCTGAAGTCAAACTTTTTGATTTACGGTATGTTCAAGTGTTCTGGACCTTGAAAGCTGTCCGATTGCTTTCATAAGATTTTATCTCGATTTTTATTTTTTGGGAATCTGCTTTCTACATGCCCTTCACTTAATTTGTTTCTTTCTTTTCTGATTTCAGGAAACAGAAGAATGCTCAGAAAGCTAAAAGCACATCTCGAATTAAGGATGTAAGTCGTGTAGTGTCCAAGCCAAACATTAATCAATCAAAGCGTGCTCTTTTTCAAAGCCCTGACCAGCTGACAAAGAATAGTGGAAAAAAGGAACGAATGTCAAAGACAACTCCAAACAAGTCACGTACTTCGAAGCGAGCACTTTGGCCAAGCAGTGACAAAAAAAATCGACGGAGCGCAAAGAAACCGACTCCCAAGAAAACCGTAATTGAAGATTCAGATGAAGAAGAGGAGCGTGTGATTAATGCCAACGGGAAGCGGCTTTCAAATGAAAATGAAGCTGGTCCTTGTCGAAAAAATTGCAAGAAAAGTCTGACCTTTACTTCGGAGCATGTGTCATCTGTTGATGTAGAGACCAAAATCAAGCAGCCTTCAGAGCCTCTGAAAAGTCAAATACCTCCACAGCAGCATAAGCAGTTGAGCCAACATCATAAACAGGTTCGTCGTTTGCCTGTTTTCCTCCTTATAACCAGTGTTCCAACCCCACGAGCGCCATGTCGCCAAAGGCTCCTAAAAAATCGGCCATGGCCCCTAAAAAATGAAGACCCTGCGCCAAACGTGGCCCCTAAAAAATTGTCGCAATCCTAAATTACGGTTTGATGATTTCAAGATTTTTGTCAGTCAGCCTGGACTGAACGCGCATAGCAAGCAGTTGCGCGCGGAACTTCGTCGCGGCAGCGGCTCAGCAGATCGAGAATCGTACTACTTATCGTACATACTATAGAATTGTTCTACTACTTTTCATAATAGGAAGTCAGAAAAAGTATTATTTAATTGAACAAACTTTAAGTAAACTAAAAGCTCCTTGTTTTAAATCGGAATATCATTCCTTTGGCCTTTCCCTTTCTCAAGTAATGGCTGCGAGTTGCAACTTGCAAGTCCTGTAACTGTATATCTTGCTTATAACTTTTCACTAAATGCGCTGTGATATATAGGCAAAAATTCAATTTGGCCCCTAAAAAGTCTTCAATGGCCCCTAAAAATTGAACTTGATGTGCCAAACGGCTCCAAAAACTTAGAGGTGAAGTTGGAACACTGCTTATAACAATCCTCGCCAGAAGTTTTTGATGTTTTTTCCTGTTAAAATAGTAGGCCTATCGTTAGCCAGAGTGCAAAACCGTGTATTTCCATTGCAGTGCTGTAAAATTTTCGCTCCTTTTTTATTTTTTCGTCAAGAAACAAGCCATTTTTATAGCTTGAGATTTATACAGAATGTTTTGTAAACTGGAAACTAAAATCGAGAAAGTTTTCAGCAAATTACATCGCCTGCATTTTCGAAGAAAAAATGAAGTATGACCGGTAGTCTGCATTGTTGACAGCAGAGGTACGTTGTTTTACACTTTGGCCCTCAAAAATCTTCATCCAACAGTGTTGCAAAATAATGTAAGTTAGTCGAAAAAAATTTCAATTTTTAATTTGCCCATCAAGTTAAAAACTAGATTAAATAGTATCCTCTCTCATTTTTCCCACATCTTCTAATAGCAATTTTTGTCTTTGTTCTTTTCATTACAGAAAATGGTTTGGGCAGTTGCCAGTTCATTGAAACAGTGCGGTATCAATGGTAGTCATGAACTGTTTCGTCCAGCCGGCACAGTACTCTTCAAGAAATGCCGCCAAGTGTGGCTTCAACAGCTGAACAATCAAAAAAGCCAAGTCAAGAGAAGTACCAGTGAGCAGATGTTTGAAATTGCAATCAAGTACGCGCCAGAAACAGTGAGAAAATTAAAGGTTAATGCAAATTTAACCAACGCTCGCAGCTCTTTACCGTCTGATAATTTTGTAAATATCAATAGTGTTCCATGCGAAGAGAAAAGCAAGTCAGGTTTTTCCAAAGTGTCGGATATCTTTTTCAGCGTTAAAAATTCCCAAAGCTCTCAAGAAGATCCGTCTGCAAAAGCAGCAGAAGAAAGTGTGAGCCTCTATGCGCAACCATTAGTAGATGCAACAGATACCAATTCTAATAGTAATAGTCTAATAAGTGAGGTTAGTTTTAGTGGATTAAGGGATGAAAAGTCGACCGAAATCAGCCACTCAGAATTTTCAAACAGTACCACAGATAATTCAATCGAGAAAAATTTGCAGCAAATCTTTGACGGTTGCTCTGTGCCTGTCAAATATCAAGCTGCGTCAGACAGTCCAATGGATCTCCCAAAAATTTTCGATGAAGAAAGTCAGATGTCCCAATTCCCCTCATTTTCAAGTAATACACCCAGTAGTAAGCCAAACCTCTCTATCGATAAATTGTCCTCTGATAGTGTTTTCAATAAACCAGTAGTCCCTGACGAGTCTAAAGCCGTAGACGAATCACTTAAAAAAATTGTTGACGATATTAAGACTGATGTTGAGATGAGCGAAAATGACTCTGGTTTCATCGACAATGATTACACAAGCAAATCTTCGAAATCATCGTTAGATGTCAAATCTGGTAAAATTGATGCACAATCTCCAACAACTTTCACAGCAATGGTCTCTAAATTGTCCTCGCCTAGTGTTGGAAAGGAGAACGAGCCTTTGAAACCTAGCGCAAATTTAGTTCTTTCCACAACCGTTGAAAGTGTTAGTTTCAGTTTCAAAAAATTCGGGACAGCAGTAGAAAGTGTTGAGCCGCTGACTGAAAAAGATTCAAATTGTAAAATATCAAATTTGGTAATTCCTGCACAATTTGATGAGACTGCTATGAGTTCTTGTGATATAAGTGTGGGTGAAAGGCCAAAGAGTGTGTTGGGTGATAATTTTTCAGGTTGTCAGTAAAATTGCCACTAATTTTGGTGCAAAGATATTTGGAGATTCTTATAGATTAAATTTTTGTCCTCCTCAAATTTCATTTTTAGGTCCACTCGGAGTTCGAACCTCTGTAGAAAATAAGCAGACCAATTTTCAGAGTTGTGCAAAGGCTCCATTTCTTTCTTAAGAAAGAAGGGGGAAAAATATGTTCAATTTCTAAAAATAAGATTTGTGTTAGCCAAAGTCTTTTCAATCAGAATACGTCAAAATCTCTAGACTTTTTGATTTCATCCACTTTTCCCTCATTTAGACTGAAACTGTACTAAATCTGACTTAAAATAAGCGTGGCGAGAAAGAAGTAATTTTCTTATAAATTAATACCATATCATATGGTAAAATATTTGCAAAAACTAAGAAAATAACCAAAGGAGTTTAGGAATTTTACCCTCTTACTAGTGCACCGCACACTCCTCAATAGTTTTCTGAGAATCTTTTAAATCTACGTTCAGTTCTATTCAAGTGAACTTCCCCAATTTAAATAGCGAAACTTCATCAGGTTTTCCAGAGGTTTAATGAATGCTCCATATTAAATCGTCATTCAAAATTTTGTCACAAAGATGCACAAATAGTCTGGAATTTCTGAATCAAATCCTTCTTATCTGTACTCTTTGCAATCAAAATTCATGAATAAGTTCCAATCAGTTAAAAGAGCAGATGCCAAAATCAATTTTTCATCAGTGTGTTAGTTTGTCTACCTAAGAAACTTCTTGGTAGGCAAATAGATCTTTTCAACACCTTCAAACTGTAAAATTATCACTTGACATTTTCAATTGGCTCATGAATTGTCATGGAGCCTATCTACCTTAAGTGTTTGTGTTTGATCTCAACTTGAATTATAATTATTAGATTGCAGGATGATGTAGATTTGTATTCCATTTTGGTTGTCAAGCACTGTTCGTTGCTCCTCTGACGTCAGACCATATCTCAATTTTCAAGTAAGCCCTAATCTCCATGTAACTATATGCTTTTTAAGGCTCACAAAAAAATAGAGCTACATCTTTATGTCAAAAGAGCAACGTATTTATTACTTCAACAAAATCAAGCTTGGTATTTATGTTTTCTTCGCAGGAAGTTTAATTTGCTCACTTTTCTTCTTTAATCTGTGATTTTTTATCAATAGCTTCCAAAAGAGTCGGTAACGTAGCTTGTCTTTGTCCTGGAAATTTTGAGCTGTTCGTTCTTGCTTCCAAGCAACCTACAGTATTTTTATACTATTTGTAACAACCGTAACTTTATCTGTATGTCAAATCAAAATTTCATCTCTCTTTTTCCCATCTTTTTTGACTTTGATACATTCTAGACCTTTAATTTGGTTTTTTAATTTTTTAAGGAAGCGTTTTTAAAATTTGACTCCAAAAAAACTTAAAAGTTCACCGTCATCTGTAAGTGAAATTCAAGTAGCGTTCCTTTAATTCACTGCATGATGACTCAAATTATTTTTAAGAAAATGTTTACCAAATACATCTTGTAGTTTCTCGTATTTAATGTCAAATATAAACTGAAATAATCTATGCCTCATTTTCAGTGATTTTGCTCGAATTTTTCAACAGGAATGTGTGTGCTCAATAGTACGATTCATTCTGTTTCTGAATAATTTTTAAGTAAAATGGTTTAGAAAGTGGTATATTTTGTCATTATCATGAAAATTTTGAATTTTCTGTTGCCTAATGACCACACTATTTAGTCTAGTTTGTACATGTTTCGACTTGACTTCCGAATCGGAGCTTTTTTTTTTATCTCGAACAATAATATTGGGACTTACTATGTACGGCAGTGATTGTCATGCCAAGTAACAAAGCGGCAACGATTTTTTACTCAATTTTGATTAAATTTTCTCAGTTTCATATTGGTCATTGTGATGCTTGGCTGGTCAAATTTATGTAAAATTGGTGCAAAATTATTTTATTCGCTGTTTAATTGAGGGTCCTATTAACGGCCATGCGCCCTCTTTCAGTGATCAATTCCTTTTGGCAAAGTGTACCAAACAGAGGCCACATTTGTATTTTTTGCCTGTGGTCCTCAGTCACAGAATAAATATTATTTGAATAGTGTTAAGCAAACCAGTCAAATATACATTGGGCTTTTTTGAAAATAGCCCCTCCATTTAGGGGCATATTGTAAGCTAAATTTTGTTGCATGGAGGCTAGGTCTTGGTTAAATATATATTAAAAACCTTGATCAATAAGAATTAAAATTGACTTAGCCTCAATGGTGGCTTTGAGCAGATAAGACGTTCTTCTTCGCGATTTTTTGCTGAACTGCGTGTGCTGTGAGCAAGTAGATAATCTTTACAGGAAGATAAAAACACCTAAGTGGATATTGAGTTCAGCAGAACTCACAGTAACTTTCTGAGTGTGCTCTCTTTTTGGCAATGTCAAATGGCCTGCGCTTTTCTGATTTTGTACGCGTTCTTATTTAACTCATGTTACCTATCCCACATTATTGAATCTTCTTTCTTCGATCAGTCTTTCTTCAAATCTCTCAATGCAAATATGACTGGTTTTGCTTAACACTATCCACTTTTTTCTTTAAAATGAAATAGAATAGAGTATGTATTTAGTAATTTTAATTTTTCAATTTTTCTTAGGGGACTTTTATTGGTTGATTGTTCATAATTTTTTATTGTTGTTATTGTGATAATTAGTAAATAAATTGAATAAGAACATGATGTCAACTGACTTTTTACTTTATTTATTTTTTATATTTAATGATACCTAAGGGACCTTTTGTAACCCTGGATCTCATGTCATAATTGAGAAAGCAAGGAAACCTTGAAAAGCTATCGTTCTTTCTTGAAGGATGAGCATTTTTTTCAAAATTTCAGGCATTTACTACAATATTGATTAAAATTTTCAATTCTCAAGCCGAGGAAACCTAGCAACTTTCTCTTTAAGATGACCCAAAAATTGTGGCCAATTTTCTGCACTGATAGCTCTCAAATCTTTAAAATTATATTAATAAAATACTCCAGGGAAATACTTATGACCCATCAAAATCGAATTACTTTGAAAATATGTTTTGCGACTGGAGTTGCAAGTCATAAATTAGTTGTAATTTTTCACAGTTACTTCACCTATCAAAGAACCAACAACACACTTACAAAAACAATGAGGAAGTGTCAGGAAGGGTACATACATGACTAGATTTGAAAAATGCGTATCTCCAATCTGATGTTCGAAAATCTCTGATTAATTTTTATTTTCTTTTTGTAAAAAATGACCTAAAAATCTCCTTATAGTTGTCTGTGAATATTTTTGAATGAGTAAAAAATTTTCAATACCTATAAAATGTCAAAGTGGTTTAAGAAAAATAGAACATGGGTGGAAACTTGCACTATCAGCAACAGATGTTTTAATCAAAAGATCAAAATTTCTGGTAAGTAGTATAGGACGTCATTTTCCTCGACCGGGGGTGGCCACCGCCACTCTTGAAAAGCTGTTGTATTAAAACTTTGAAGTTTTTATAAAAGAAAATTCAAAAGTTTCAATAAATTAACAGATGAACGCATTTTCCCATTCCCGTAGTGTAAAGGTAGAAAAGAAGAATTGCATGGTGAAAAAGTGATACAGCAAAAGAAAACAACCAATTTCCGGTCAAAGATAGTATTTCCGGTCCAATAGAACTGGCAACCCTGCTTGACCGACGGATATCCGGAATTATTTGAAATTCCCGCGAGTTTTGGTTAAACTCGGAATAAATGAAATGAACCGCTCTAGACCAATCACAACGCCTGGTTCAGAATTTGCCGTTAAAATTCCTTCTGTTTAAACAGAGGAATAATTGGAATAACTTCGCAATTGGACGTATTTCTACCAAACAGACCTATGTGGAGGTGAGAAATATGGGGTGTGCTCGTGGAAGCTGCATAAGAAGCAATGTAAAAGTGTGCGTGATTCCTTTTGAAGAATTGGAAAAGCGGGATGTTGCATTCTATCAAACAAACCTATGTGCAACTGAATGCGGAATTCATGAGCCGCGGGCATGGCAAGAGAGCCTTGTGGACAGGGCTCATGAGTTAATGACACCCCGCGGGGATATCCCTGGTGTGCCCGGTCTCGTTTGTTGCCGCTGACGTCACTGGCGCTTTATTATTCTCATTAGGGATGTCGATACGTCGATACTCAGGGAAGTATCGATACTCGGTATCGATACTGGTATCGACTCTAAGCATCGATACCGGTATCGATCATCGAGCTGAAGTATCGATACTTATGAGGTATCGATACCATCGATACTATTTCTGAATTATGCCGTGATTCTGAGTGTGCATATGTCTGTCGGCCGTTAAATTCCGCCAGATTTACGCCTCTCTCGAAAAAGCCCTGTTCGCGTCCTTAGTCAACTATTTTGAGCCCTTAACTACAGTTATCGAACTGAGCTTTTACCATTTTTATTGAAGTATAATCATCTTGAGAAACTTGATTACTCCGTCGTTTGTCACAGTGCATCATGAAGATGAAATAGCGGGGAGAGAATTTTTTAAAAAAGAAAAAGAGGCCTTCTTCATGGCCAAATCAGATAAAGTATCGATACCGTCGATACTGGGGTCTTGGCATCGATACTGCATGGTATCGATATCGTGGAGTATCGATGCCGAGTATCGTTAAGTATCGATCGAAAGTATCGATACTTTGCAAGTATCGGATAAGTATCGACATCCCTAATTCTCATTCACTCTTACGCAAAGAGAACTAACGAGCACACCCCATATTTCTCACTTGCACATAGGTCTTTTTGGTAGAAATACGTCCAATTTGAACCAATTTTGGCAGTCAGTTGTTGTTTACGTTCCATTGTTTTCGATTTTTAGTGCCTCATTATCTCTTATCACTTTTATCACGCATTACTGAACTTCGGGTGTTTCATCACATCTGTGCATGAGTCATCAAGGAGTAAATTCTTTTCAAACTCCCTGACTTAGACGTTCATCAACTGTTGATCCGGTGAAATTTCCATCGCCGACTCTTTTCTCCAGCTCACTGGTTCCACAAAATCAGGTTAGCAAATCTTCCAAATCAGCCAGTTGGTTTGGCCATCCCTTAGATTAAATTACAAGAATACTGAGCGTTGATTTGATATTGTTTGATATGCTATTATCGCTTCGTCAGTTTTTCCATCCATCCTCTTAGGTACACAGTTCAAAATGAACCTTAACCCTGTCTGGAAATGTGACACAACCTAACCTGAAGAGACCAGCTATTGGAATTTTATGTCAATCCGACAAGATATCATATTGCAGCGGAGAGGGCCAGCCTAAGCACATATGGTGCTCCTAGGCAAGATTCATTCAGCCCAGCAGCCTAAAGTTTAATGGTAACAAGGGAAGGGGATGGAAATTGACGGCAAAATTATAACAATCGGCACCCCCCTGGACGACGCACCTCTAGGCAATCGCCTAGGCTTGCCTCCCTCTCTTGAACCAGGCTTCTGTCTCGATTTGTCGTGGTGACAAAATTTCACTAATCAGTCTGTAGAGCTCCCCTTTCGAAAGGCTGCAAGACAATAGGCCAGTCGCGCTGGTAACAGAACCGCGTTTTGATGCTTGATTCTTGTAGATTAGCTAAAAGTAAGGAGATCTGTCCAACAGAAACTTTCCAAGTCCAATATCAACCAAGATATCGTTCTTTGAAAAGTCCCGTTTTCGACATCATCCCCCGCAGTAGTGCATAACATTGTATGTACTACCGCGGTGGATGACGCAAAATCGAGTTTTTCAAGGCGCGATATCTTTGTTAATATTGATTGTAGAAAGTTGCTGTTTGGATGGATTATACAATTTTTAGTTGATCTGCAAGATTAAAGCATGAAAATACGATTCTGTCACCAGCGCAACTGACCCATTATTTAGAACTGTTTTGCAAATGAATAACTTGGAACAGAATTACTGAAACTGAGGATTCTAGCTCCTTCGGAGGACGAGCAGTAAATGATGTTGGTCCACAAATTTCATTGATGAATTCACTTGCTTAACCCATTCGCCTTGTTTGACAAGTATACTTGTCAGCGCGCGTACGGGACATATCTCAGTTGACAAGTTGATTCGCAGCATCTATCGGCGTTGCTATGGGTTTTTTTTCGCAGAGTTTTTTCACTTTTCCGATAGATGGCATCTCAAGTGTCGAAATGGCGTGAATTAACTCGTCAGCTGAGATAATGTCCTAGGCGCCCGCTGACAAGTAAACTCGTCATGTGAGGTGAATGGGTTAAGCACTGAATTAGGAGGAGTGAAATTTTTCACATGAGAATGTAATCATAACACTTGACAGAGCTTAAGGAATTGCACAGTCTCTGATGTATACTCATTACTGGTGTAATTATGTTTCGGAATAGATATCAGTTAGAATATGGGAGAAACTAGCAACCAACCTGGACCGTCTGGACCTCCTCCCGCTGCTCCTCCTAGTTATTGGCAAGCTGTGGGTGGAGTTCCTCCTCCAGGACTCTACAATGACCGTAAGTATTATTTTTTCAGTTCTTAGTATGGGTGCCTCTTGAACATCCATGATGAAACTGTTCGTTTTCTTTTTGAAAGTAACATCCAAAATTATTGTCAGCTTAGATGAAATTCAGGAGAGCTATATGATAATATGATCAAAGATAAGGCCTGTCACTTGTCACATGCCCAGATCATTAGGGCAAGAGAATTTTACTGGTACCAGTCATAACAACTACTTGTACTAAATTTTGTAATTCGGAACTACAGTTTCTGGCTACGTATAGAAACGACGTTTAAATATAATGATACATTTTGTTTCCCATTGTACGTTTAAATGTTTTCACGGATGAGCTAGAAATTGTAGTTCCTAATGGCCAAATGAAGTCCACCTGGTAGACCAAGTGCGCAGAGTCGTTGGGCATTTTTTGGTATCATTAACATTACATTTTGACGCATAAAGAGCTAATTATTTGGAGTAAGAAACTGGAGAAAATCCGTAAATCTTGGCGAGAGTGGTCTTCCCTTCCTCTCAAAGTTTCATTAAAATGTTTAGACCTCAGAAAGAACTATGTAAAAAAATAGAGTGTCACGGACAGTATAAAAATAGGACATATGTTCGTAATGCTATTTTTTCAACATATCTCTTTCTAAGATTTAATTATTTTAATGAAACTTTGAGGGAAAGAGAGATACCTCTATTGCAAGGATTGAAGAATTTTTTTAAAATTATCCACCCCAAATAATTAGTCCCAAAATGCAATGTCTGGGGAAAAAAATGCCTCCTTATGAAATTGGGTAAATGGGAATGTGATGGATGTGTACATTAGTTAAAAAAATCGTTGATGAAATGTCTTGTAACCGTCCCAAACCCTTCTATTAGACCAACTATGATTTTAGGGGAGAATGATGAATGCATTGAAAGGTAAATATGGGGTAAAATTTCATATTTACTCATTTTTTTCACCTTCGAAGCTAGAGGTAATACTTTATTTTTACCCTATGAGAGCTATCCCTTTGCAATTCGACGGTGAAACTTCCAACTACTTATCTTGATTTGCGATGTTGCAGACTTCCTGCCATACTTTGTTTCTGAAAAGGAAAATTAGTCACCGGCAATTCCTGAAAACTGCCATGATTTTGCTCCCTTGTGCAAAGAAAATTCCGTGGAAATTTCAAGGAATTATGTTCTTTTTTTCTCTTTTAAACACTGCTGGAGGTCTGAAAACACTGCCAATGAGATCCATGGTTTGGAAGTTTCATCATCGAGTTGCCTTAAAATTGGAAAACAATTAAAAGTCTCATCATTTCTTGCACTATTTTTTTTCTTTTTTTTTTCATTCTCTGTTTTAAATTCTTTCCAGCATCTAAAATGTCATCAACGATTGTCACAACTGTGGTTCCTCTTGGGACCAGCTCAACGCACATGATTTGCCCCAACTGTCGAATAGAAATCGATACTGTTACCAGAACGCAACCTGGAATGATTGCATACATCTCCAGTGCCATCATCTCATTATTCGGGTGAGCATTTTTTTCTTTTTTCTAAGAAAGCACTTGTGGTTATTACTAGTCTTGGTACCCATGGGTCTCTTTATTTTCATTCCTCAAGTTTGATGGAGGAATGTTTTTAGTATATAGACAAAATTTAGAGAATTCTTTATGCTGGAAGACACCAAACAGTAAGCTGGTACCTGTCAAAATTGTTCCGTGTTTGAATTGCATGAATTTTGATGCGTTGTTAGTGTAGCATCTTTGCCCCTGTTTAATCACCGCTTTTCGTGGCCACAGACCGCAATCAAGCTGTCCTTCAGCTGGCAGGCCCTTTCATTGGTCCCCCTCAGAGCCATTACCTTTTGAGTTTCTCTGATAGCTTCATTGCAATACTATTGAAACATTTTCAAGACCCTTAAAATATTTTTTACTGCTCATTTTCTTGAAGTTACGATGAAGAAGTTGAATGTAACCATTGCAAGCTTATATTCCGGTATGAATGAAAAGTGCTAGATCCTAACTCTTTGCCTCAAAAAATCAAAAGCCTGTTACTGTTCGATTGATTTATAAATTGTGATTTTACAGGTGTGTGTGGGGCTGCTGCCTTATACCGTGTTGTATTGATGAATGTATGGATGTTCATCACTCCTGTCCAAATTGCCAAACTTATCTTGGTCGATTCAGACGTTAAGGTGAAATCAACCGTACACTCTAATGTACAGATACTTTTGTCTGCAAGAAACTCTCAATTGCTCCTCCGTCATCGGGAATGGTTCATCCTTGCGGCCTAATGTGTTTGTGTGCAACTCTGCCCTTCTCTCATGAAACCAGGAATTTTGGCAGTTTGCAACCCTAGGTTTCACTTCGTGTCCTCTCCTCCTCCTCCTCTCCCATCGAGTGAATAGACTTATGTTTACTAGGTTTAACTGCTCTTTTTTTCCAAAGGCATGACCTACCCTCTTAGTTTAAGAATTTAGATTTTCTATAAAGCTGGTTTTGCCAATCCATTTTTAGGTTGTAAATTAGATGTTTTTACTATGATTACAGTAGTAGTAATGTTTTTTCTAATTGCATTAGTCGTCTTAAAAATTTGAAGATCATTTACTTTCATAAATGGTTACGATTTTCTCTAGGGTTTTTATTTTGGCCTTTCAGTGCCATAGGGATGACTCAGTGCTTCATGCGACATATTTCCTCAAATATTTGCCTGCGCACAAATCTCCAGGTACAAGATTCCAAAGCACACAGCAATTTTAGAGTACATTAGTACATAGGATATTTGACTATTCGTGCATTCAGAATTCATAATAATCCTTCTCTAGGAACAACAGAGCACTTGATGTTAAATGGATCGTTTGGAAAGACATCACACAATTATTATGAGACATTATAATAATACGAGGCACCATAAAATAATACACATCACTTAATTATGGAGGCAATCATGATTTTCCTTCAAAGAGAATAAAAATTTGCCTACTCAGAGAGAGGGAAAAAGCAGTGCATTTAGATGAAAATTACGAGGAAGAATTTAAAAATTCTCCAGAAATGAACGGAAAAAGCTCCATTTATTTATCTTATAGCTGCTTGAGCCATGTTGAAAGTGCAAAAGGGCAGTTTAGAGCCTTGCTACAGGAGCACAAATATCTTCATTAAAGGTATCATAAAAAAATAAAATTTCCCTGTCGCTTCTTTAATTCAGTACTCACCTTATGATAGAAGCTCATCTTAGGCACTTGATTTTAACATCTATTCTGGATCATTCTGTACCAAATGTTGTTGTTGATGCAGCCAAGAATAACACTAGCCATAATATCCATTATAACCAAGTTTTTTTATGAATGCATGTTGGTATTCCGGCAACTAACAATAAGGATTCTTTCCCTCACAACCTCTTCAGCACTGCCAGCAGTAAGTGGCGCAGCAATACTTATTCATGGCTGTGCGCTATGTCATTCCATTCACCTTCACATAAATTGTGACCAAGCTTCTCAAACGCATACCCTCACCGATTTTCCGTTTTCAAGTATCCGCTGGCATCGAGATCCCTTTTCTATGGATCCTAAAAGCTCCTGCAACAGTATTTTTTCTCTTTTGGGGTTTCCAGTTTTGGAAATCAACCATCTCTTGTCACAAGGGTGCAGTTTTTGCTTGAATTAAAGGCCGCAAACAAAAAATATAGTAAAATATCAAGAGTGAGGGTTTCGAATTTTATTTCTTGCATATTTGTTTAATTCCTTCGATATGTGTATCTCTTTGTTCTCCGTATTCATTATTTACTTAGAGTTAATAGCATTTTCTACATTTTTCCACCTGTTGATGTATTTCAATGATTTATAGCACTATTAGTTATTGTTATTATAATTATCAAATTTTTTTAAGAAAAGATCCCGCAAGGGATACCAAGGAATTATTATGGGCTAAATTTTGTTATTAATCGATATGGTGTTCTTAATGACCATCTTGGCACGATGAACTTTACAAATTGAATTTTCTACCTGCCAATTTCAAGAAAAGCGATGCAGGAAGGTGCAGTATTAGTCTCTTTCAACAAAAGTCCTAATTTTTTCCTGCGAAATTATACTCCCATAACTCCGCTTTTGAGCACATAGGTGCTGCCACCAGCAATTATACAATTTTTTCCTGCATAAATAATTTCTCTCATAAGTGATTTTATTTCAGAGGATCTAATCTCGAAGATTGGTTTCAAAGTCTTAAAAATTGTTTTGAATGCAATTGTGCAAATGATCTGCAGGATTGAAAGTTTGATGCACACAATTTTTTTTTGATGAAGTGAATGTTTGGATTTATCATCTTATCCTGAGGCATGAGATATAACTATAATGCGATACTTCAAGTGTCACTGTTTGTGAGACAACATTTAAAGGCATTTCCTGCATCAGGCGTGGTTCTTGTTTAATTGAAATCTACTTACGGTTTCTTCAATCTCGATTGAATTTCAGATTTTTTCATCTCAAACTTTGTACCATCATTTTCATTAAAGATTCTCTATGAAAAAAAGACTAATTAATTGTACTATCCATTCCAAGCCCAGTATGTTTTTATAAGCTTTTTCCAAAATTACAAGGCTTTACTCAGAGAAACGCTGAATTTTTTTATTAGATTTGATTTTAACTGTCTAGATGATGACAGCACATTTCTTGCATACATTTGCCTTTTTGAGAGATAGCACTACTCAAGCATTATTTGAAAAGTTCCATGGTAGAGTAGCAAAAATGCCACTCTCAACGATCTAAGTGGATCTGAGCATATCGACGGTGAAACTACCAAACCACGTATCTCGGTTTGCGATGACTTCCTGTCATACTTTATTTTTTAAACAGAAAACTACTCAACGTCAATTCGTGAAAACTTCCGTGATTTTTCCTCTTGGTGCGGAGAAAAATCTGTGAAAATTATAAGGAATGATATAAATTTGATCTCCTTCAAAAAAATAAAATGTGAGTAGAGATTTTTAAACACCGCAAACGAGATACGTGGTCTGGTAGTTTCACCGTCGATATGGGAAAATTGAATCGGTCATCCTCAAAAAGATTTAAGGCCTAGAAATGACAGTTCGATAAAAATAGTGAAAACTGTTTTAATCGACCCGTTCTAAATCTTGGAGGTCAGAAAAACGAATGTGTGACAAGGTTGCAATTTAACATCGGATTGTGGTCGTTTCAGAAGTTTTCCTACAATTTGAACAGAAAAAGAAGAAAAAAAACGAATTGGCGCTTGAGTCTTCTTGAGAATGAACGGGCAACATATTTTCCACAATTAAAGTGAAATTTTTTGTAGTTAAAGTCTTAATGTGGACGAAAACTTTCATTAATACTTTAAAGTATGATGATGACTTACTTACTGATAATCACTTTCAAGTGCAAAAACTTACTAAAATCTTAAATACAGAGACATGTTTGGACTTAGAGAACAAATATATACCTTTCAGTTCTTGATAATTGCGTGAGGGATACAAAATTAATCAAATCAAGATAATCAAGTACTATACAGCGCTTTAGCCCTTAAGTTTTTTGGAGAATGGTTGGATTTCTTAGTTGTTTTGAAGGCTTTAAAAAACAGTTTTCTGCTTGTCACTTTGCAACAAGGTGTATGTATGCCTAAGCAATAACAAATCGCAAAAAACTAAAATTATTTTGCGCTCAAATTAAGTCTTTTTGAGAAAGACCAACTCAATTGCGAAAGATGCAGATGATTAGGAAAATAAATTTAAGTCATTTCATTGAAATTACTGACAAGACTGTACTTCAAAAACATAAATTTTAACAATATAATACAAATGTGAGAAGAATTATCTTGAGCAACTACAAAACGATGGAGGGTGAAAAAAATGGATGAGTAGAAATGCAACTTAGATCTGGTGGCAGGGAACTTCAGGCGTGCAAGCAAGTGATATCATGTTTGGATGGTATCATCAAGTTCCTCTAATTTCGTTTCTGACTGGCCGGCAACTTTACGCAGAACCTTGGTGATTACATCATTCAGCGATTCTCGAGCACCAACATCCAAAAGATTCAAGCACATCTGAAAATTAATTAGGAGAAACATATTAGCAGAGTATTAGATTAACTCATGTAGGAAAAGCATGTTTAGGATAATGTGTGAAGTGAATGGATAAATGGGCAATGGCAAGGTATTTTTATAGGATTGTAGGTACAGTTTTCCTTTTGTAAAATGTTGTGAAAAAACCAAGAAGTGCATTAAATAGTTTTAAAGAACACTTCTAAGAGGAGAAAAAAAAATTCCTAAAAGCTTAGTCCACTCCGCAATTCCAGAAAATGAATAGAAAGAAGTGGGTGCCAGTGATCAATTTTAAAGAGGATCTATCTGCGTTGGGAATTTTTAAAAAAAGAGACAGAAGCAATAATTCAGAGCCGCTTATGTATTTTAGATTGGGATTTATAAAAGATTGGAAGAGGACAACGGATCAAGCTGACCTGGATCAAAATGACCACAGAAAAATCACGCAAGACTTCATTAAAAGCTAGTGGAAGTTGAGGGCTATTAACTCTGCTGCAGATAGACTTCTCTAGCAAGAAGCGATCATTGACTGGTACAGCATTATTCGATACACGTCTATCTACATGAGAACTTGGAAGAAAACCTTCTAATTGCTCTGCAGACCGAGACTTGATTTATAACTGCTTCGTACTCTGTTTATGAGTCACATCCAGACTACATTTTGCGATTAGGAACTACTAACTTTGGCTCAACCACAAAAACAGCTATCTACATAAGGAAACTAATGACACATGCGTTGTTTGTGAAATGAGACATGAATAGAGAATTTACACGCAAATTTTTTATTGCTTCATCTGAAAGAGTCTAAAGAGCTGATTTTGCAGTATTTTTTATAATTTTTTTCTGCAATGGGAAATAGTATAAAAATAAATTTAAAAGTGAGAAAATGCACCTGGCAGCATTTCCCATTTAACACATGTATTTTAGCAGATTAGATAATTTTGTCATATCTCCTGCAATAATTGTTCAATTTATGAGCCAAGGGTATCTTCGTGTTCAGCTCACTTGGTACCCCGCTTAAAGACGGAATTCATCAAATTTCAGACACCTGCAAATTCTTTACTGTAGTTTTCCACAGCAAAACGTAGTCCATTTATGAGTGATGCATGTTTCATCTGACAAGTTAAAATATTCCTGATGTGTGATAATAAAAAATTAAAGGCTCTGAACTTATAATGAGAAATCAGCTAGATGTTCTCAAATTAGATGTGTGCAAAGCATACCTGTTGTACAGCATCTCCTTGCCGCAGCTTCAAGACGGAAACGAGAGATAGTTCACTATTTGCACGGACATAACTGTTCTTTTCTTTTGTTCCATTTACGAGGACAGGGAGAACAGCTTTGAGGAACTCAGGCGATAGCTCAATATTCGATTTTCCGAGGAAGGAACAGACTTTGCTCAATAATTGTTTAACGTCATTGCTGGAGTGGTTCATCGTCTGAAACATAAGAGACAAACCTTAGAATGCAAAAAGCGCTTACAAACAAGATGATTTTATAATAGACTTGCGAATTTATACATACTTGCATACATACATACATACATACATAAGAGTCGCTTGCATGGCGCTCTGCGACGCCTGACCGCCAAAAAACTCGGAATATATACTTGCAGCCTTTTACTTATGTATCTGTCCTGTGAGACGTTTTCAACAGCTTCTCCATAAAATTTGTCATAGTTTGATGAGAAAGTTGTCTTTTTTTGACTGTTAAAAAAAGGAATACACAGTTGTCTAGATACAGAAAATGGGTATCTCATTTTCAATACTTAAAAATCTCTGATTAATGTTTTTTTCTTCGAGGGAAAACAAATCAAAATGTTTCCTGGCAATTTATAGTTATTTTTTGGAAAAATAACTTAACAACTTAAAAAAAAAAGGGGGAGAGGTGGTAAATGACTCTACTCTAAAGTGGTTGAAAAGAAGAGATGTATAGAATTAAAAAGGATTGTGAGCTTACTGACTCGATACAAAACTTTTTTTACTGATATGATCTATATTGATGAAGGGTATTTGGACTTCTCATCCATCTTTGCGTTGCACAGCCACAAACAAAAGCTTGACAGAAGAAGATACTGGTGATGAATTATAAATTTGCACAAATTTCAATTCTTAATAATACGTGACAATGAGCACAGAACCCAAAATAGTCATAGTATACGAAATAATAAGTGCCTATGGAATCAGTGCAGTAAAATTAGTTACTAAAATTAGTCAAATAGGTGCTGATAAATAATTAACAAGGGCTTTCATGTGCTTACCTTAACAAAAACTGTCAAAACTTTTGGAGGTAGTGGTTGGCTATTTGACATTAAATGCTTAAACAGGTATCCTGAGGCTCTGATTCCATTCATTGCAATAGGTACTTTCTCTGATGTCAAGTAAGAGTTGAGAACATTGTTGACCCCATCTGCAAACTTATCCGTGTAGACTGTTTCAGGGCTCTCCTTCAGCGCAACGAATAGTGCACATCCTCTTCCATGCCTGATGTTTTGGTCCACCGAATTGTCATCAACTAATAAATGGTCTTGCATAACTGTATTCAGCTGTTCTGGTGATAACCAGCGACATAATGCACCTAAACAACCTGATGCCGCAGTCCTTGTAATGTCTTCTGGGTGGCCCAACATCCCAATTAAGGTTAAATAAAGGGTTTTCCTGACAGGTTCCGTCATTTTGTCACCTGCAGGTGTGATCACACCTCGCAAAGCTTGGAGAGACGTTTCACGGATTCCACTATCGTCCGTTGTTCTGATGGTTGTGTGCAACTCAGAAAACAGTGGGTCGACACGATTATGGATCACTATGAGATGGCTGAGTGCGGATGCAGCTTTTAGTCTAACTGTACGATTTGTGTCATTAAGAGCTTTGAGAAATGTTGTTTGTAACTGTGGTAAAAATTGTCGCAGCATAATACCAACTTTGGCTAGAAGCACGGCTAAGGTTTCCAGCACAGCTGCACGGACACTCCAGTTGAAGCGATCTCCGAGGATTCGAATCATCGGTCCGGTGATTTGGACTACTGATGGCTGCAGTGCCTTGGCACTAGTTACTCGAATAACCTCACTCAGTCCTTGTGCAGCTTGTTCCTTCACTTCCGGTGGGCCATTCAAAATGGCCTCTCTGAAAACAGGCAGGACATGAGTGATCCCTTTCGGCAAGCAGAAACCAGGTAGAAGTTCTTGACCTTTCATGTCACTGATAGCAAACCTAACAGCTTGACGGATGTCCGACACATATTCTGTTTGCACAGCAGGGTCGAGAGTTTTGATGACAGAGTTGAGGGCTTCCCAACTCATCATTAAAACATCTTGGTCTGAAGAGGTCATCAAATGGATTAAGCCGCGCAAAAGCTGAGGGACGAATATCGTATAGTCAGCTTTTGTGTGCGTGCAAAAAGCGCATAATAACGTGACAGCAGATCGGCAGGCCTCGATCTTCTCTGATTTTGTAGAGTCGAGAAGCTGATCTATGACTATCCTGATGCCTGCTTCACCGTACACGGATAAAACTACAGCTTGACAGTATTCTAATTCTTCAGCGGAGTTACTGGATTCAGATAAAGCAGTGAGGAGGGACGGCAAAATTTTTCCCAGATGTTTGGTAAGGGCATCGCCGGCAACAGCAGCTAGTATGGAAAGTGCTTTAGTATTTACAGGTGGTGCTGTAAGTTGCGGCACTAAGTACGGTAAGACAACACGAGATTTGATGGCCATGACTTGACGCAGTCCATCTAAAGTGCGCTCGGCAAGTTCCGGGTCCTCGTTGTTGAGACCTTCCAACATGACTGGCAAGATGTCATCCAACGCGCGAACTCCTACATTCGCGTGCAGACTGTCAAACGTTTTGGCTGCGGCTTCCCTGACTTGAGGCAGAGGGTCACACAGTGCTTTCCTCACAGTTGGTACTAGACTATTTACAAAAGCAAGAATCATTTCTCTAGAAGTAGAGGCCATTATTTCAGATAGACCGATGCAAACACCTTGTCTTTGATCCGGCTCATCGGATTCAAGACCTTTTTCAAGGATTGGAATGATTTCAGGCAGCACCCGCTCACCTAGTTTGCGTACCAGGTCGCCCAATGTCCTAGCGGCCACTTGTCGCTTGTCGTAGCTGGTACTAGCCAGACAACCAAGTAGAAGCAAGAAAAGGGTTGGGAGAATTTCACGTAAAGTTCGGGGGGTATTGGTAACCACCACTTTCCACACATGAAGAGCAGCTTGGCGCACCATGAGAGAAACATCTGACCGGCCCATATACAACCCAGCCAGTACTCGATTTCTCCTTTCAGGACCTAGGATTTCTATGATAGCAACATGGGACTGCTCGGTACCGAAATTATCGTCCTCATCTGCTGTTTCTGTGGTCATTTTCCCTGAAACTCCAGATATCCTGTACAATAAATCACCCAACAGCTGTACTGAACTGAAACGAATACGCCAATTATCATCGAATAAACCTTTCTCTAGTTCCGGCAGTAACAAAAGTATGGCGGAGTCCGCATAAAGATTGACTATCCTTTGACCAGCTTTCAATGCCGTATCTCGAACGAATTCATTTTCATCAGCGAGAGCTTTCAAGATAGGCTTGATAATTTGACCGATGTAAGGAGTGAATTCATTGGTGAAAACCACTGGCATGTAAATGAACATCATTATGTAACCATCCTTCACATGAGGTGCGATGTCTGATCTTTCAGCAGTTGCAATGATGTCTGGCATCAACTTGTGGAGTTTTTCCACTCCCAATCCACCGACAACTTCACTCAAACCTTGAGCGGCTCCTGAGCGATCCACAGAACTGGTTTCAGAGGTCAACGTCTGCATTAACCATGGCAATAAGTCTTCGAAACTGGACTCACCCATACCACGTACCATGGCACCCAAGGCACGAGCCGAAACACTCCTAACCTCTGGAACTGGATCTAAGAGTGAAGTTTTCAGACCAGGAATTATAGTAGGTAGGTAAGGTGTCAAATCTTTCTGATCTGTTAAGGAATACATATTCCCGATGATCTGGGCAGCCATTTTCCTAGTTTCTGTCGATCGATCCATAAACGCTCGTTGGACTACAGGCATGATCAATGCAAGGGATGGTGCATCGATGAAGTGGACGAATTTAGTATCTAACAAGGTTTGGAGGCAGGGTGCAGTCTTGCGTGATGGATCCTGAAGAGCTTCTAGTAGGACTGGGACTATCGCTTGAATTTCTGGGTTCCTGATGACTGAACCGATTACTTTCAATGCTTCGTTTCCACTCTGTTGGACTTTAATATGGGAGTCATTCAAGACTTGAATTAGCTTTGGTACAATGCTTGGCAAACAGGATGACAGTTGTTTTGGGGCACAGTAGGCCATGGCTCCAAGCAATTCTACAGATCCAGTTTTGGTGCGCCAAGAGTCTTCATCTAGAGCTGCAAGTAATGCGGGTAAAACTAATTTGACTCCATGTGCAGATAATTTACCCATGATAACTTTCGCACACTCATCTGTTGCTTCTCGCACGTAGTTATTACTGTCGCCGAAACAAGAAAGAAGATGCGGCAACACGTGAATTATATATGGCTCGAACAAACGTCCCAACGCATGGCAAAGTTGCTCAAAAGCAAAGAGAGCACCTTCCCGGTGTTTGTAACTTTTCTTGTTTTGAATAGCACTCGTTAAAGTGCCCATGATTTCAAATTGCTTCAATGCTAGAATACCAAGCCCTTTGACCATTCCTGCCAAACCATAAGCGGCTCCTTTGCGCTCACCGTACGAATTCGAATTGAACAATTGCTGCAGTAGCTTCTTAATAATACCCTGAGCATCATCTTTGATCGAGGGCACCAGAGGCACGAGACAGTTTGCGACAGCTTCTTGGACAGGTTGTGAAGGCGTTGCAAGAGCTTTGATTAGTTTTTGAACGATTGGCTTGATTTTCTTGTCATCTTTGTCTAAATGACGGGCTAGAGAACCCATGAGAACCACGACGGAATGGCGCTGTGAATCGTATTCCGCAGACTTGGGAGCTTTGTCCAGAAATTGCTCAAAAACAGGCAGTAAGCTATTGATATTATCCTGAAACAAATGACAAACAATGGAGGATTAGTGTTGCAGATACTACATTCAGCTGTTAAAACCACAAGTTGCGTTTTTCTTTGGAAGTAGAGTGAGTCTCTGAGGATATTAGGAGCCTTTTGAAAAGTCTAATGTTTCGTTCTTGACATGAAACTAGCAGAAAGTAGAGCAAAACGGGAAAAACGTTTTGTTACACGTGATCTCCGTTTCCTAAGAAGCTAAGGATCAAAAAGTTGAATTCATGCAATAAACAGATGGTATAATTTTTTCCAGATACTTTTTTCTTGCCTAATTTCCAGTTCCTGCGTTTCAAATTTTTCCACTACAGAATGCGAGCGGGTAAGATAGATGCAAAATGTACCACATTTTGCAATTAGGAGCTACAATTTCTCGTTCATTTTAAAAACAACATAAGTACCTTCAATATGCCTTTGCTGATTGGTTTTATATGTATGAACGATAAATTTTATGTACATTTATAAATTTTAGTTCCTTAATGCAAAATGCAGTCCAAATATTGTAAAATAAGACTCCAGCAACACAGATTTCTTTAGTAAAACTGAGTATTTTGGCAATAAATAGACCGTTTTAAAATGTTCAGCTCATTAAATCTCTGGGAATTCTATGAGAAAACAGTATGGACTGAGTTGCTCAGATGTTGGTGGTATTGTCAGAAAATAAAGGGAAAAACTTATTTTTGGACTTATGAATGAAGTTTTTAGCACATACAAAATAAGGCTCCTATCTACATCTACATCAAATAATCAAAGGGATAGATTCATCAAACATTAGAACAAATGAGCTGAGTCTTACTTTTCCATGATGTTCAACAGCAGCCAATGCTGCCTGCAACATATGTTCCCTGACAACACTTTGACGATCAGCTAATCCCGTTGATACATAAAATGCAATTAACTTTAAAATGTTTTCCTGGCTCAACAGCGGCGCTAGCTGTGTCAAGGCCAGGGCAATTCCAACTCGAGGCTCCCAGACATCCACAGGTTCTTCAATCACATGACCAAACATGTCCATTTTTGGCGGCAACATGGTTAATTTGTCTTTATAAGCTTTGAGTAAACTTTTGATTGCCATATTCGTTAGCTCAGGGGGCGATTCTTCAAGATAAGCTGCCAGGGCACACGCTGTTGCTTCTTGTACACTCAAAACAGGATGCGTCACATCCTCTAGGAGGTAATTACAGAGCCCATTGATATTGATACTTAGATTACAAGTGTCCCACAGCTTTTTTGCAAGGTTTTTATTTTCTTCGACTGAATCAAATTGAGCGACCCAGATTCTTTTTGTAAAGTTGGGGAAAAGTTTGGGGTTTCTCTCCTGAGTTGGTAAACTTGGGACAATTTGAAGCATTCCACGCAATGCAGAATCTCTGACATAAGCGTTCCCGTTCTGAAGTCCACAAAGGAATGAATCAATTTCTTCTGTACTAGCTACATCACAGCCTTCTTCTCCTGATGCACAAAATGCAACATCAACAACAGCATTGCAGGCCTGTTGCTGAATGCGTCCTTGCGTCAAACAGATAACCTCGAACAGAAAGTCATAAATCATTTTCCGGGGCATGTGTTTCGGGTCATTTAAATCTAAAGTTTTACTGGGATCTTTGCGCAATGTTGCATGATTTGCAATAAATGATATTCCAAATGCAATCAATTCATTTTCTGGGTTAACGGAGATTAGAGAGAGCAGTGCCGGTTTTAGGAATGCTATGCAAAAACAAAATGTTGGGGAGGGGAACGGTTTCTTGTTGTCTTTGAGATTAGTTGATTCATGCAGCTTCCTCACGACTTTACTTGCGGCCTCTGATAGGTCCTCAGCTTCCCACGCGGGATCTAACGCACATTTGGGTTTGAGGAGACGTAGGGTATTGTGCACGACTCTTTGACCAATTACGAAAAATTCTGATTTTGGTGGAAATACAGCAGTGGAAAATTTGATTATCAATTCTGTCATGTGCGGGGCTGCAATAGGTGACTGCATGTTGCGTGTGATCAACGGAAGAAGATCTTTGAAGCGAAAAGAAAACGAGACTGAATCCGATTCGCACATCACAGATAGGATTTCTTTTGCCCGCTGAACGTTCTCTTGCAACTGAAATGAAAAAGAATAATGATAATGAATACAAATCTCCAAATTCTTCCTTTAAAGAAACAGCCCACGCTCTTAAATATTTTGCCTCTTTGGCTTATCATTGCATTACATACAGAAATCATTCATATGAACATGCTGGAAATTCTTTATACAAAGAAGTTTTACTGTTGAACTCTTATTGAAGGTTGTGAGGAAACAGAAATCCTTCAATTATAATTGTGATTTTGTTCAATTGGAGTTCATTATACATGTGACTGTGCACAAGCTTTCATTCCCTTTAGTTATAAGTGTTGACTCAGATAGAATTACTGATGTAATGCGGATGCAAGATTGTGAGATAAGGGGATTTTGAGATTTTAAAAGTCTCTGATGAGGAAGGATGAGAAAGTTACCTGGGTTAACTTTTTCCGAATAGCGCTTTCTTTCTGTAGTTGAGCTTTGATGGCTTCTTTCTGCTTGGGTGTGTATTCTGGCTCTTTGATCTTCCCTTCTTTTCTCTTCTTCTCTTCAAGCTCTTTCCTTAGCTGCATTTCTTCCTGTTGCTCCTTGAAAGAGTAAGCTTTGCTCTCTCGTTTCACATTGACAGCTATGGAACTGTTCTCTGTTTCCGAGCTGAGGGGAAAAAAGGAAGACAAATATAAACTTAATTTGAAGGGGTCAAATTTTTTCAATTTGCTGGGATACAATAATGAGCTGTGGGATCAGTCAGACTCTTATAGTAGATATATTTTTGTTCTGAATTTGGTGAGGTAGACCTCCAGGATAGGAAACCGTTTCATCAAAACTCATTGGAATTTTGCAATACTGATGACATTTGAATCAACAAGAACAAAAACACACCAACTTGATAACTCAAAAATGCTCAATTTTCATTAAAGACAGTCAATTTTCAAAAAAGTAATTGAAGTTAGCGCATCTTTTCCAACTTGGACCTTTCAAGTGTCCTTAAGTACTTGTCTATTGGTACCAACAATCTTCTTAAACTAGCTTCTTCACCTATAGTGTAGTTCTGTGTGTGTCTTGATTAATTGACTAAAATAAATTTATTGGCTTGGAAAATTTTTTATAGAGCACTGAGGAGGATTCACAACACTTACTTTGTGATGACAGATTTATCGTACAGCTCTCCTTCAGGCGTGAGGTAGGTAAAGTAGTCATCATCCGTTATTTTATTCAGCTCAGCATCATTGAGTATCTTCGACACCTTCTTCACATAATAGTGAACGAGGACTTCTGCATTGTATTTCATCGTCGCAAAGAGGGCATTTTTTTCCATCTACAAAAAGAGGGGGAAATACAGGCAGGGCTTTAGACAAAAGGGAAAAATCAATTTGAAAACTTAGCATGAGGGCAATATTTAGTGGAGGGCTATGGAGTGTAACTAATTGTTTAGTCTAGAAAAATAAAAGGGTTCTAACTTACCGGGGCTATCTTGAATTCATCGATTAAGACTTGTATGAACATTTTTTGAGCACCAATGATTTTACCGGGATCCAATTTGTGAAACTTGAGTATTCTCAACCAAATGCTCTGAATGGGGCAATCTAAGGAAAATAACATTGAGAGAGAGTGAGTAAACTGAGGAATGAATAACATACTTCCAATCAGCCATTAACAGAAATGCACCACGTCACATTTTGGGGGAAAAAAGAATTTTGAGTAGTTTTGACTTTTGCATTCAATGAGTCCAGTGTCTCCTGTCAAAAATTCAAAGTCAAGAAAAAATATTTTTAACGTAAAAAAGTTATAAAACTTTGTCTCTAATATTAAATCTTAGAGGAATAAAACTACAAACCTCATTGTCTAAGTCCAAATTTGCTGGTTCAGGTCAACTCGATAAAATCAAACATTTTATTCTAACAATATAGTTGCAACAGTCGGAATCCAACTCAAGCTATCTTGTACAATAACTGCTTTTTTTCATTCATTCATTTCTGGGATTAAATTCGTCATACTTACAAACATGAGGATGATGCGAGGGTAAGAGTGACTCTTTGGCGATAAGCAAAGCTTCGGGATGATTGTACGGGTGCTCGCTCGTTGTGAGCGCTAACAGACCAGCTCTGAGACTTTTTGTCGTTACCTCATTCCCGGAATCTGCGGAGTTTTCACGCACTTCCCGATCAGACTTATCACAGCTCTGAAAGGCAAAAGAATGTTTTAAAAAGTGATATTTATAAGAGAGAGATTTAATTTGAGCAGAATAGGTTTATTCTCAAAAATTCTTAAAACGTTATTGTTGTTGAGAGAAAGCACACTCAAAAATTGGTGAGAATCCATTAAGTCATAAGCAATTTAAAAAAGATGAAGATGTTCCCTTCCAAAATGCCTTTTGTTAATGAAAATTAATTAGCAAGAAAGAATAAAGGTAAATTTGTCAGAATGGGTACTAAGTTCAATGGTAAATTGGGTGAATAGGGGTTAAAATTGATGAGTCTCAGCGCAAATACGAACCTTAACTTTGACCGAAGACAGGATTTTGGAAAATTCAACGATGAGCGCTATCGAATGCTGATGTGACAAAGATATCAATGGTTTGATCAATTGACTAGACGTTTCATGAACTAGCTTATTACAAGAAATAGCTCCATAGACCAACACTTTGTATAAGGGACTTAAGCTGCCAGTGACAGAGTCAGATTTCTTGTTTATTACAAAATTGCATAGTCGGACTAAACTTATGAGTGCTGAAACAAACAAACAATGACTTTGTTTAGGAAATGAAAAAAAAAAAGAGACTAGAGGTGACACCTTGCAACCCTTAAAAGAACTTGATTACTTTCCTTTTTTCTACTTGGTCTGAATGTTAAAAAATGAAGAGACATGCTTTCACATTTCTCGCACTCTAAGAGTTACGAACATGACATTAGATTTAATTGTTCTGACGTCAAGAGTTGTACTTTTTTGAAGAGACACTTGATTAAATTTTTTTTAAAATTGAGAGCCATGACACTTCTGTAAATAAGCCACAATACTTCTGTAAAACAAAGGCTTGACGACTAGTTTGAAATTTGTAAGTAAAAATCTCCATCAAAGTAGGATCAAGAATATAAATTCCAGGAATAATCATGTACCAGTCATTTGTAATTATGGCTTAAAGATTCCAGTGGCGAGTATTTCTGTCATGGACACTTTCCTTGTTGCGTCATTGAATTCAACGCAAGCCTTCATGATTTCACAAGCAAGAAGAGTATGTTTTCAACATCATTTGAGAAAAAAAGGGATCAAGTGAGAGTTGGTGGAATCCGTTCCCTTTGATTGGGAACAACTCCAAGTCTACATTTGACTTTTTCTGACATTAGATATTAACAGGTTCTGATTCTAGAAGCAGTACAAACAATAAGGTATACAAATACTTAAGATATGTTTAATTTTGATGGCTAAAATAAACATAAACAAACTTACTTTCGTCAGAAATTTGGGTAGTAATTTTATCAGAGACAAAAATTTGCTTGTCCATATCAAGAACAGAGTTCCAGAGAGGGTCGTATTTTGATTTGCTATTGATTTCATCAATTTGTGAGAGTTTAGCTAAGAACCAAGCAGCACTAATACCTTCACTTACTACCATAACCTATAAAAGATGAGAGAGAAAAACTCATTTAAAAGATCTTAACAAAAATTTTGAACTGTGCCTTCATTGTCCTTATCCCAAATCATAATTTCTCTTCAGGCGTTAAAGCAAAACTGTACTTTCACAAGAGTCATGGAGTCATACGGACTACAGAACTCATCTCAAAGTTAAGTTACCCCCTTTTGTCTGACAAGCAATGATTTCTTCTACCATGCTATGCCAAATCATTCCACGAATCCCACACCATATCGATGGCCAAAGTGTGAAACCACGTATACACATAGCGTTGTTTCAAAATGCTCCTAATTTACTTTACCAAAGAAAAACAAGCCAACTACATAGCTTGAAATTTATACAAAATATTTTGCTAACAGAGAAGAAAAATCTAGGAGGTTTTCAAGAAATTGAACTGACTTGTAATTTAAAGAAAATAAAGTATGACAGGAAGTTTGCAACACTGCAAACGAAAATAGGTAGTTTCTCTCTGTGGTCATCGAAATTTCTTTTACAAATCCTACAAGATTTTGTTCCCACATTTCGGCCTCATTCAACAGACATCATTTTCGTGAAAATAAGAAATCTGTTCCTCACAGTTCAGACCATCAAAGCGTGCTGATGGAAATGTACAGTTCAAAACGCTGGCTGTGACCATTTTTGTCTAGCGCAAACAACAAAACAACAGTTTCTGTGATTGACTTGGCAGTGAGCATATTCAGTAGTCAGCAAGCTGGCTTCTTTCTCATAATTTTCATTTTTTACAACTAACTATTTACTTGAGCCTTTTGTGCAAATGAATTTCTCCCTGATATGAGGCATCAATTTTACACCAAAATTTTGCGCAGCTAATAATCAATGATCAATACAGAAAAAGATACATTATCATGACAAAAATATAATAGGAGGTAAGTACCTGCGAAGATTGAGCGGCTGCTTTTTCTACACTTTTCATTAACTGTGGCACAAGAGTCAAACCAAGTCCTAATGTTTCGCCTTGATAGCATACACCCAAGCATTCTATGTAGGCAATTTTTAGAGCTGGCGCTAAAGATTTGTTTTCTAGTCCTTTCTGCAGAAAAAAAAGTTGTACAACAATTAATTGTGTATCAGGAGAAAGAAAATAACATTTTTGTTTTTCTCTCTCACTTTCTGAAAATACAAAGTGAACAAAGTTTCTAGGAACTTTTCAGATTTCTTATAATCCTTAATTGCAAAGAAATCCCAGTCTGATAATACCGAAAATGAGACCCATTTTAAAAGATATTTTTGGCAGGCTCTAATGATGTAGCCAGGCGGGGAAAACGGCATTTGCTGATTGGCTGAACTTAGCTTTAGGCATCAGCTTTTCTCAGCTTTTGATCAGCTTTTTCTCTCCTAGGAATGATTTTTAGACATATTTCAAAAACATTTGAGTTGTTTCATGATAATCAACATAAGGAAAACTATACTACAACCCTGCAAAAATGTCTTGTTACAGCCCCTCATTCTCTCTGATTTTAAAACATAGAGGCAAACAAAAATATATCTAGTATAGGTATTAAGTTGTAGGGCTCATATGGGGCCTGAAAATTTGCCCTAACCTGGGGAAACAAAACATTCCCCCAAAAATCGACAATTGCAATTGAAAACCTCTCTATTGTGACACATCATTCGAAAGAACGTAAAAAAAGTAAATCCAATGGTAACGCGTCAAAGTTATGGAAAATTCAAGTTTATCTGGCTACCATTTTGAATTGGTGACAGATGAGAACCTTCCGTTTGCTCTGATGAGTTTATTTTTTAGGTCCTCTTTAATGATGTATCACTCAATTTAAATTACCTGAAACCTGAATTTTGTTTACAGAAAGGTGGGTACTTGCTTTTGGATCAGACACTTGCAAAGGTGCCTCAACGGTACTATTAGATGCTCTTATAGAGGAAAAAGAGCTTATCATATTCTTCATGAGAAAAAATAAGGCTCATTGTTAATTTATCACAGAGCATTGGTTGATATTCCAGCAAAGAATTTCTAGCAATACTCACCAATAATACGGAGGAGATGTTTTCAGGGATGAAGGTCTTAAAATTTGAACACCAAGGAGACATTCTCTGAAGAGTGGTGATAAGCGTCTTTTCATGAACTTCTGTTTGAAGAACCTTCACAAAGTGCTTTGCGATGACTGCAGATAAAAGTTCAAGTTCCTCAGCAGCAATACTGTTATTGACTAAACGGCCAGCAGTCTGAAAAACCATGAGTGTGACAAGACTTTCAGCAAGGTGGAAAAGTTTAGAACATGCAGAAAACAAATAGTAAATACTGTTTGCAATAAAGGTAAGTAAAACGTAGGTATGCTCTCTGCGACCTTTCGGCCAGAACTCGGCTTCCAGCTCCCACCGCTAGAGCTATGGTACGTTTGAATTTTACCAATTTTGATGTTTTGGCCGAAAACAAATTTAACCGTCTGCTGTTGATAAAAATGAACAAATTCAATGGAAACGAATTCTTTAAAAATGAACATTCATTTGCTTTTAGTATTGTGGCTATTTTTTCATTTTTATCAACAGCAGATGGTCATCTTTGTTTTCAGCCAAGACTGCAAAGTTGTTGGAATTTAAATTTTGCATTACTGTTCTACAGGCGGGAGCCTAAAGCCAAGTTTTGCCCGAATGGGTTGGGAAGAGCATACCTACCTTTCATTTACTTTGGTTTACAATCATATTCTTTTTTTAAAAAAGATGGAATTAGGTCCGTTGATCCCTGAAAAAGAAAAGTCTTGAGTGAAGAAGAAAAACATACCGATAAGTAAATCCAACATGCAGGCTTGGATAGCTCTTATTTTAGAAAATTGAAAACGTTCAATGTCAATTTTGTTTCAAATATGCTAAAAAGTATATGAATCATAAATCATTTAAAAAAAAAAAAAAAATTAAATGGCTCTATAATTTTAAAGGGTGTAAGGGTAAAATAAGGGGAAGAGAATAGTCATTTTCTCTTGAAAGCAAACTGTCAGAACTGAACTTTCGTTTGCTTAACTGACTTTGTGACAGAAAAATCGCAAATGGCAGATATTTAGGATTGAAGTCACTCGCGCTTTACCCTTCAGGCTGCGTTGTGGACATGAAACTCCTGCGATGGATAAGGGAGTAGGAATAGTTACACATTGATGAGTTATGATTCTTTATTAAAAAATTTGGGGTACTTTTCTGAAAGCTTCGTGAGAAACGCCCATTCATGGAGGAAAAGTAAAGTTGTTCATTCTACTCAAATAGAATTTCAATGACTCTACTCCGAGACAAATAGATTGATTTCAAACAGTGAAAAAGGACGGCTGTCTGAAATCTCGTTAGAACGTTAAAGCTCACCAATCTTATCGATTTGACTTGGAATAGGTGCAAGCCCAAACGCTCTGTAGATAGATTTCAAGTAGGATGTCCTTCAGTAATGTGTTTAAAAGAACACTGACCTCTAAAATGCAGATTTTAGGAGCTGGAAGAGTGAGTTTTCCTTCCGAACCATTGAAGACATTGAAAAGATGATCAAAAATAGCTTCAATCCCAGATGGTTGGAGGCATTTCTTCCCGACCTCATGGAGTGCATTGGATGCCAATTCGCTCATTTTTGTGTTCGTAGATACTAGACTCCCTGCATGATGGAAAGAGTGAGAGAAAAAGTAAATTTCACTTTTCTGAGAGAAAGAGAGAGAAAGAAATAAATATTATGCGTCTTCGTCTTCTTCAGACTGGAGTTTTACTCAATTTGTTCCATTACTTTCACATTGAAAACCTTGAATGAATTTTAGAGCTGCTTCTTTTTTCGTGGTAAAGGTGACATTTTTTTGTTTCTTCCATTGATTAAATGCCATGATTTAACTTGGAACTGTTAATCAATGAATCAGTTTTCTCCTTTTATCCTTCCTGTCTTCATCATGCAAATATTGTCATCAGGGTGTCTACTAAAACAGGCTGGCCAAAAATTAGCACTTTTACAGTATTTTTTCAGTATATTCCCAAGAAATTTAGTAAGTCCTCAACAGAAATATTCAGTACTTTTTCAGTACCTCCATTTGACGAAATTCGAAAAACGTAACCACAAAATCATGGGTGGTTTGAAAATTAACTGACTGCACAAGCGCAATATTGCAGACAAATATTCCTCTAAGAATCGATCCGCAGGGGATTGCATACTTTCCGGGCTAAATTGAAAAACACGCAAGGTATGAAGGAAAAAATTCTGGACCTTCTTGCAGAATTTCCGCTCTTTTTCAGTACTTCCAGACTATCTTAAAAAAATCAGTACTATTTCCGGACTTTCCAGAAATTTCGGACTTCTAGACACCCTGTGTCATACAAGGGAAACTATGTTTCGAAATATCCTTATTCAAAATCTCTATCCTTATTTCCTTCCTTATTTCAAGTGGACAGGATGTTATTTACTAACAGTTGGGAAAGAGGTGCAGTTACATTATTTTTTATGCTTCATATTACTCAATTATTCAAAACTTGACAACTTTAGAAAAAAAAAAAGACAACAGTATGTTGTAAGCAATATCATTAACTAATTGAATAGTATAGACTGCAAGCCAGATTTTTTTACTCAGAGAGAAAAACAAGTTTTTTTTTACTTGCCTGTCAAGTCAAATGGAGGCACCGAATACACCAGTTGAGTCAAGCTCTAGTGAGATCTTCGTTAAGAAGCACACGATTTTTCCTCAATGGGCTGTTGCATAATTTACTTAATTATGACAACATGGATTTCAGCCAATTCTTTTCTCGATAGTTTTTAAAACTTGTGTGAAATCACGCATAGAGTGTGTGACTGCTTATAAAAACCTAATTCCTTTTTTTAAATACCTCACTGATGAATAAGCTAGGTTCCACTAACCAGATAAACTTTTTGAAAAATCAGCAGCAACTTGACTTAAATCCAGATCCAAATTCGTGATGACGTAGAAAATAATCGGTAAGATTACTTCAGGATTTCGTAACATAGCCCGAGAAAGCGCTGGTATCAACTGAGTTTTGCATTCCTCCAGGGTGATTTTCGAGAGTAATCCTTTACTTTCAGATACAATATGTGCACCGGGTTCAGTTTTGCAACTGATACACAGCTTGATGAACCAATCTAACAAACAAGTCTGCAAAAAGCATAATAAAGTTAGTATAAGCAAAATGTTGGATATATTATTGGCATAAAATAAGTGAGTACTTAATTACAGTTTTTAGAAATTTGTAGAACTTTTAGATTGCACTTATTTTCACAATTTGCACATGCACATTTCAAAGAGTGCCAAAGCTCTTCCACATAATATTCTTTAAAATTTCAGCTTTAACATGAGCTCCTGAGTTTCTGTCATTCCACAAAGACTTATTTTCGGCTCCATTCAGTAACTATTAAAGACTGATCTTGGCTTATTTTTGGCTGCTACCTACTAAGGTTTGCATGGGTGCAAAAAGTTTCAAAATGCCAAATCTCAAGATCTGGTGTTTTGCTCTTCACACAAAATTCCAGATTTGCCCTGGGGAAAAACGCAGGATTAGACAACAAAATGGACGGAGTTAAACAGAAAGGAACCAAGCCACATCGGGATCGAACCGAGAAAAAGAGGTTTAAAGTTTAGCTCCTGCATAAGACTCAGTGTAAAAGATAAACTTCAAATTCAATTTCTGCAAAATTTGCTCCAACAAGCACTTTGAATTTTTGGCGATCGATAGTAGAGCAGTGGTTGAGTTCAAAACCGCTCATAACTCAATTTTTTCCAAAATGTGGGTTGGTTCCTTTCTGCTTANAACGCAGGATTAGACAACAAAATGGACGGAGTTAAACAGAAAGGAACCAAGCCACATCGGGATCGAACCGAGAAAAAGAGGTTTAAAGTTTAGCTCCTGCATAAGACTCAGTGTAAAAGATAAACTTCAAGTTCAATTTCTGCAAAATTTGCTCCAACAAACACTTTGAATTTTTGGCGATCGATAGTAGAGCAGTGGTTGAGTTCAAAACCGCTCATAACTCAGTTTTTTCCAAAATGTGGGTTGGTTCCTTTCTGCTTAACTCAGTCCAAATGTGTCCCTTGCCTCTTTTTTTTCAAAATGAACAGAAAGAAAGGGGGGGGGAGAAGTAATCACTTAGGAAAATTATCTTCCGACTCCATGTTCACAAAGATCCGTGAACTTGAGTGCAAAAATTTGTTGCGTCTCTCCTCTTCAGGCTTACATTTATTTCATGTAAAAAGCTCCACAATGGAAGGGAGGAAAATTAGGTTGAAATGAAGGCAGGCAGCGCGTGCCCCAGGCGCCATGCACCAAATGAGCCTGAGAATCGGGCTTTGGTGCCTAAAAATTGGAGGGGGTGGGGGGACTGAACTGTTATGGCGCCTAGAAACATTGACACGCCCTGTCAATTTTTTAGTCTCGCAATCGCGAAGAAGTAGCGAGCTCAAAGCATTGTTTGAAGCCCAGTAGCACAACCCAAGAGTGAGAATATTTGAGAATTAGACAGACATATGAAGCAAACGAACGAAAAATGCAAAATGTTGATTTGGCTCCCGTAAATTGGGCCCTGTAGCCAAGGTGGCTCCTCAAATTTTAGAAGGAAGGCAGAACACTGAAGGCAGGCATGGAAATTCCATGATCGTTCCGCAATTTTACCTTTTTGGAGAGAGTAATTTTTCGAGAATGATTCAGTTATTTTCCCCCTTGGTAATGATGATCCTTCCAGGAAGGGAATATGCGTAGACACTTTAAAATCCACCCTTAGGCTAATTTTATTTAAAGTTCTGTCCCGGTTGGTCTCATCAATCACCAACGCCAGTGGACACCGTTGTTACCAGATTCAACCAATCAGATCCGTTGGTTTTCAATACGTCGAAACTCTTATAGAGCCACCTTGCAAGGTGGTATCAAAATCACGCAGCAACATTGCGATTCGTTAGTCACCGATTGGAAGTTCCAAACTCAAATAGAAGAGCAGCTCGGAGGTTCGGGCTTCGTTTCTTGTCAATCTCTGACATTTTACAGATTATTAAACTTGACAAACCTTGAAATTAGGAATGACATCTTTCTGTGCTGCGGACAAATTTTCTAAGAGGCAAGCGCCAAAAATCAGCAAGTGAGGATGAGACTCAGAACCTAATATAATTTGCTGGTACTGTTCCAAGATGTGACGTGACAGAATCCACATTTGTGACAGCAACTTGTAAGCTTTCCGAGTGATCCTGAAAGAGGGAAAATAATCATAATGTCAGCACTTGGGGCAGTCTAGATATGTAACAAGTTTTTCTTGAGGTGATAAACCAAGAGGAGACTACCTGTATGTTACTTCTATTTAAGAAAAAACAAAGACAGTTTAATGAAAATTTAGAAAAAAATAGGAGCAAATTTGATCAGGCTTCCATTTCTGTGCAGGAATGACAGGTGTGTTCCTAAAATGAGAGACGCCAGTACACTATCATGGACACTTTATTTTTGCGTCACTGTTCCATTTTCTGAAGACAGAACAAAATCTGCAGGAGAGAAATGCTAGTACAATGTGGAAGGGCACATGCGTATAAGATGCCATCGCCACCACCCAGTCACATTCTGTCTTCACTGCTTATGGGCATTTTTTTCGTCATAGACATTACATTTTGACACTTTGTAATGTTGTACAGGACTAGTAGAAGGGTAAAAATTTAAATGAATCTTTAAACCCTTAAGAGAAGGGTCCCCTCCTTTCCCTCAAAGTTTCTACCATAATTCAACCTTGACAAGAGTTATACTGAAAAAAAGAGCGTTACCGGCATCACAAAAATAGGTCCAATTTTTTTAAAATCCTGAACATCTATTTTTCAGTATAGCTCTTTCTGGTTTAATGCTTTAAATGCAATTTTGAAGAAAAGGAGGGGACTTCTTTCACACGGATTTAAGGATTTATAAAGTTTTTACTCTAAATAATTAGCTTTTTGTGACATTTTGAGGTGTTAAAATGTAATGTCTGTGAAAAGAAAAGAAAGAGCCTCTATCTGCTCTCACTTTGCACACATCAGCCAGATAAGTCTGACTAGCTTCAAGCAGAAACCATTATTGTCGGCCAGCACTATCTTTTCAGCCAACAGATCCATCAATTGTGTGTAACGTATTATCAGCTGATTTCATTTTGTGATCCAACGCCTACAGTTGTAGAGCACTTTAAGGATGGAGCCGTTCTTTGAGTGTTTTTAACGTTTCTCTCTTGATCACTGTGCTACACAACAGCCAGACATGAGTTTGAAAAAGATGCATGCTTGTAAAGTCCTGTCAACAGTCACATATTATGTTCAACTAAGAAAGTGAAAGATGAAAATAAAATTCTTACTTGGGGTATCTAGCTCCGACAGCAGCGCTAAACAACTTAGATTGAATTTCAACTAGATTACTAAGTTCTGCTTTGGAATCATCCGTTGAGTTTTTTGTAAGCCCATGGTCAACCAATATCACAGACCACTGAAGTGCAAACAAGCCAGATCTACCGGTATTTTTACTGGAAATGGAGAATGTATACTTATCATTAAAGCTGAGCTGAAAGTTTTTTTTTTTTTTTTAAAAAAAAATTACCTAAAACTTACTTGATACAGAGAAAAACACTGAGATTCTGAGGAGTTGAAAAAAAAAAAAAAAATATTAATAGCACAGCAAATGGCTAAATAGCGAAACTACGTACCTCCATAGCTACGTTTTAAAATGTCTGCCTCTACTTTATTCTTTCAAGGAGAAACAAATCAACTTTACAGCTTGAAATTTGAACAGAATATTATCCTGCTAATGGAGAAAATTGCATTGACTTATTCTTCAAGGAAACAATAAAGAAGTCTGCAACGTTGAAAACAGAGATACATGGTTTCACACATTGGCCATCGGTATTGATGTTATGATAGAGGAAAATATTATAAAAATATCCTTGGCTGAAGCCAAAAAATGCCTACCTCTGCTTGTGACATTACAAGGATTTTTTTTTTTTTTTTTTTTTTTTTTTTTTTTTAAATGAGAATTTTCTCCTCTCATTGAAAAATAATTAGGTAACAGAAAACTACAAGATATTTTCATCAGTTTTCTTGTAAAAAAAATTAAACATAGTTGGAGATGTACGAATAATGCACATAATGGTGATAGGCATTTTTCAATTTTACAAATTTAATACTTTCTTTTTTGTTTTTTGGTTCTAATTAAGAACAAGAGAAAAAATTAGTGTACTTCCTTCAGCAAAAACAAAAAACGATAACTATAATTGCAAACATTGTATTTAGATCACAATCTAATTCCATATTTAAATGACTGCTGGATAAAACTAAAACTTCCTAAATTTGGTGCCCATGTTTTTGGAAGGAACAATGATCGATTGAAAAAAGCCTTTACTACACCAGAGATATTCTTCCATAGTATCTTCCAAAACTTTAATTGCTTGTTTAGTTAAATACTTACCTACTCACCTGCAGCCTGATTGTTGAAACTTTAACTGTCCATGTCAGCAAGTTAAGAAAAGACATAGCCCTATCTGCACAGTGTAATAGATCAATTTTCGATTCTTGTCGTGCCGACAAGAGTTTCAACATCAGGCTGCTCTATAATAAATTGAAACGCTTTTTATAATAGACCATTTTTTCGTCTGACTTATCACAATTTACTATTACAAGATTGATAAGTTAAAAATAAACTAGATTTGAAGGAAAAAGAGGCTTTAACTTACGTCGGTACAAGCTGCAGCAGAGACGATGCAACGTCAAGAAGGACACTAGTCAGATACTTTGAAGTCCAGTTAGGATGAAGTTTCACTAATTTAAGGACAAACTCATTGACACAGGCTTGGGAAGCTTTGTCATGGTACCGTGGGAGAACTATCAATAGCCCTCTGCATAATACTTTCACAAGAGGTTCGGTAACTTCTGTTGAAAAGAGGAAACATTCCATCAGTATATCAATTTAAAGATATGGGAGACAAGTTGCCGTTCGGTTCATGTTAAAAATGGGAAGACAAGAAAGTTTTTGGTCTTCCATTAATTAGAATGAACGCACTTTGCATGGACTTGCTCCGTTTTGTGCAGAAAACAGTATAAAGTGCTATATTCCAAGGGAAAGGAACAGAGCCTCCTCTACAATGGCTAGTAATATCAATTCCCTTCAGTACTTTGAAGACCAAGAATACTCTGATCCCCAGAGACATGGTTTTGAGGACTCGAGAAGGTTGTTGTTGTTGTAGCTAAATTAAGTAATTATTGCTGCATAGATTCATCTGTTTGAGACAATTGCGTCCCTAAATGTAGGGAGCCGATTCTTATCATAAGTAGTCCTGCTAGGATAGGAGCTTACCTTGGCTTTCAAGTGTTGCGCTGAGGGTTGAAAAGAGGTCCTTCCTTTCTTTGATACTGGCACTTTGCAGCCGTAGTGGCAGATCTCTGAGCACCTTTCCCACCTGCAAGTTAAAGCAAAAGTGTTTGTAAGTAACCGAGTGATGTTGGCCGAAAGAACGGGTGATGAGAGACCATCACTGAAAGCATGTGAGAATACATACCTCTTCGTCCATTGTGGTGTAGATGAAGATACTTGAGGTGATTAAAGAGTACAGAACATGTTTGCGATATGAAAGTTAAAATGCCAAATCCATGCTTTAAACACAGCGGGATGAACACGAGATAAGGACCAAATAAATAGTGCTTGCTTTCTCACACAGCCAGCATTGCGGTACGTACAGGGTCATTCATTGAAGAGCCCCCATTGTACTGTCTGGACCGGTGAAAAATAACTTTTACCCCCCTCCCCCCTCTGCAAGAGTATGTTTCCAATTACAAGTAAATGTATCTCTAATTTTCATTTCGAGGGTACAACCGGTCAAAAGTCGTAGGGTGCAAAAAAATCGGAAAATAGGAAAAAGTACAGGGCTTTTAGCTTTGAATGACCCTGTATTTACCACCGGCGATATTCCCAGTATTTCATCGACCAACAGTAAACAAAACTGTAACCTCAATCTAATGTCGTTTGAAATTGCAATTTGCAGCGAACCGGGACGTTTGAACTTTTATTTAAGTTGTAGAATAAGCTTTCAAGCTTTTGGCTTGATTAATCAATCAATCTGTGCGTCCAGTGACTTGTAAATTAAATAAACCATTTTCGACGTTCCATTACACCTACATACTTGCTAATGAGCGTACTGTGCTTGGTAAGCAAACAGCATGTCATCGTCGCCCAAACCGGAGAAAAGCGTCAATGATCAAGACAAAGAGAAGAAACCAGTTGTTAAAGATGCTTATGATTTGCAGCGATTGAAGCTTGAGAAGTTGATGAAAAATCCGGTAATGTCTTTTTCTTGTTTTCCACAAGTTTTGGCGTTGCCTACAAGAACAGAAAGGCCGTAACTACGACTCTGTGATGTCACGCTAGTAGATGAAACTCAGGCGCGATTTAACATGTGTTCTTTTGGGAGAACATATGACACATGTTCCTTTGGTGCCAATATCTTTTCAGGGGTTGATCTGATGCAAAAATTCACAAGAACCTTTTTAAAAGAAAATTTCACATCAGAAAACTGCCAAGTTTATAAATGACATTGTCTGATAATTGAGGAAATGAAAGCTAAACACGACTAGATACAGAAAATCGTTTCCCCACTAATATCCATACGCGCCGCTTTCGTAACTTTGGCCGATTGACAGCGACTCTGATTGGTTAACTTAGCGATTACTCTACTGGTTTGACGTCACAAAACCGAGTTGTTACAGCCGCTTCATTCTCGTAGGCAACGGTTTTGGTAACGGCTGGCAATTGCCGGGTTGCATGGTTTTCTCACCTAAAATTTTGTGAAGAAACCACTTACCTAGTTCATTGAAAACTCCCGGAAAGCATTTCTATAGGCAGCAAAAGTCAGTCAAAGGCCAATAGTTGAGTTGACGTAATAAGAGGATGCCTGAAGCTAAGTTCAGCCAATTACCAAATCGACAGTGAAACTCCCAGACCAAGTATCTTATATGCTGTGTTTGAAAATCTCTGCTCCCACTGTATTTCTCGAAGGAGAACAAATCAATATAATTTTTTAAAATTTTCTAAGTTTTCTTTGCATACAGGTGAATAATAACAGATATTTTCCAGTATTGGCGTTGCGTAGTTTTTCATTTAAAAAATAAAATATGACAGAAAGTCTGTAACGCCGCAAAGGTTAATACGTGGTCTGGTAGCTCCTCTGTCAAAATGCAGTCTCCCTCGCTTGGCTACATCATCAGAATCCACCTTAAGTATTGCTTCAGGTGGATTGCATTTTAGACATTTTCAAAACGAGTTTCTTTGCCATTTAGGGTTTAAATTGTCGGAAAAACTTGAATTCATAAATGCTTGCACTGCACATGGAATTACCGTTTGGCGGAGGAAGGGCCAAAATAATTCACAGAGTTTTCAGAGGTTGAGTTTGCACCCTGTAAAAGACAACCTTGAATTTGACGGAATTCAAGAATTTAAATTTCTTTTAAGTTGAGTTTTTACTATCTTTAGGTGTTTGGTGCCTTTCTATGACTTTTGAAAAAATTAAATGATGTAACGTACATGTTTTTATCTCTTTTTGCCATTTGATGTTTTAAAAATTTATTTTTAGGAAACTAGATTTTGATTCTGGACAGGGCAGATCCAATTTTAAAACCAAAATTAATATTTTCCAAACAATGCGCATCCCTGGGCCCACATCTTTATCTGAAACAATTTCCTGCACTCAGCAGCTATTACCAATGTTAGATTTCTCTTCATATTATGTTTGTATTTTCTATTTTCTGGCAGACTAAACCAGTGGTTCTACCTGAAACTAGTAGAGAAAAGAAATCGCCTCATGTTCCTGAATTTGTGCGAAATGTTATGGGCTCTAGTGCTGGTGCCGGCAGTGGAGAATTTCATGTGTACCGTCATCTGAGGAGAAAAGAACATTTCAGGCAGAAGTTCATTCAAGAAAAAGCTGAAAAAGTAACTTCTTTCATTAAGTATCTTCTATAAATTACCGTAAAATTTTATCTTCGTGCTTTGTGGTTGCAGACCTTCTTTCCCTTTGCCTACTTGATTAGATTGCAAAATGGCGGGCCATCAAACTGAAAATCTTGAGAGTATCATTACTTCTCCAAGCACCGTTCAGATGAGCTCAGAGGGAAAAACATGTTTTTTCTGCAAGGAGTCAGAAAGTAAATATGTATGTCCTCGTTGTGGGTTGCCCTATTGTTCAGTCGGATGTTACCGATCAGCTGAACACATCAATTGCTCAGAGCAGTTTTATCGAGAGAGTGTAGAGGCAGAGTTGAAAGATAGGAATATGAATCCAGGGCAAATGAAAGAAATACTAGAACGCCTGAAAGGTGCTGATGAAAGTGAAGATGAAGAATTGGATTCAGATGATGAGGAAGGTATAGATTTAGCAGCAAGGATGGAAAATATCGACTTAGATGACGCAGATGCAGTCTGGGGAATGTTGTCAGAGTCGGAACGAGCTGAGTTCCAGCAACTTGTAAATAGCGGTGATATAAGTAAACTTCTACCCCCTTGGGAACCATGGTGGATGTATAATTCAGATGACAAGCCAGTTCAAGAAGTTACTAACGAAGCATCGCATTTCCAAAACTGTCCCAAAATTCATGAAAACATAGCAGGTTTTGAAAGTATGTGTAAAGTAGCGCCAGACGCAAGGGTTAAATGGAATTTAGTTAACATTGTAACTGCGTATGCTTATTGTGTACGGTATTATAATAACGAACATTTCAGTTTCCCCATGGAGGCTGCAAATTCATTTTACGAAATTTCGAAAAACCTCAACAGCAACCAAATATTCCAGTCATTTGAACTTGCTGTTAACTCAGTCATTTGTGAATTGACAAGTGGTCGGTTCAGTGCTTCCAAGGAAAATTTAACTGTGTTGAAAAGTGATGTCTGGAAAATTTTAGCTGGTCCTTCCGCAACTAGAAGAAGTTTTTATGTGATGGCAGCCCTGTCGGACGGCCATTGTTTATTTGAAGAAGCTTTGAGAGTATTGAAGCAAAAACAACCGAAGCCAAGCGGTCAGTTTAGTAAAAGATTTAGTGATCAAGATAGTCCATCCATAACTTTAGATAAAAGGAAAATTGCAATAGCCATAAAAAAATTTGATTATTATCTCTCATGGTCTCAGGATTTCTATCTTGGTTCGTTTGCCAATGACTTCAACAAACCTTTGGCGGCCTTTTCAGAATCTCTTGATGAAAAGTAACATTTATTTCTCTCATGGATGGATGGGCTCTCTTTAACTGCTTTCCTTGATACGTTAATACTCTATTTTTATTATTTTTTTCTTTAAATGTTAAGTCCCTCTTGATGTTGTATAATTCTGTTTTTAATAGAAAACTGATGAGTAAAGTTAGATTTGAATATAATTTGCTCACCTAGAGCTGTATCTGATCAACTATGATCTAAAATTAAAAAGATGTCCCAGTAGGTACACCTATTCACCTGCTCAGTTACAGAAGTTGTCAAGAGATTATGTCGACCAGTTTTCTTTCTCAAGAGTCAAGTATGATGGGACTTTTTTTACATTGCGCATTGATGTAAGTGTTTTCAAAGCTGAATTATTTCGGTGAGCATCGATATTGTTTGAGACAAATGTTATTTGTAAATGATGTTGTCATCATGTATGTAAGTGAGTAATTTTTCCTTTTCAAAGTTTAAAACCAAGTCTATTTCATTATTTCTTTCTTTTTTTTATTCTTTTACCCAATTTTTCTGTCAGTTGAGCAATAGCCATAATTTTGTATGAGCAGCAAAAGGTTTCCTCTGTTTTAGGATATACTAGATGAGGAATATCACAAAAAGCTTGAGCTTAACAAACAACTTGCGGAAGAAAGGACTGCGAAAAAGAGGGCAAAGAGATTAAAAAAAAAAGCAAAGCGGAAAAAGAACCAAGGAGATACAAAATCAACTGTCAGTAATGAAACAAGTGCGAAAGATTCCACTGACGGGAACGTCTCTAGTTCTGGAAGTGATGACTGATACATAGTGTTATCTCATGATCTAATTTTACTATCAGAAATGTGAATCTAGCAAAAGAGAATTTTGTGTTTACTTTACTTCTCATTTTATAAAAATATAGTTAGAACTCAATTTAAGAGAATTTTCTTTTGGATATCAAGAATGGCACCAATTCTGGTATTGGCTGAGAATTGAAATTTGAATCCATCTCTTTTGATATCTTAAATGACCTATTTATGTCATTTTCCACCAGCCAATCAGCAATGAAAAATTTCTTTGATCATATCCTTGATGGATTTGACTGTCTTTCTTCATGTCATTAGGTAGTTATTTTTTACATCTTATGTTATCCATTGAAGAATAATTTTTCCATGACAGTATTTGGATTTCAATTGATGGACATGTTGTCCTCTCTAGATGCTTTTTCAATCACTCTATCAACTCTTCTGCGATCCTGATTCAATAAGCCCTTCAGTTATTCTTGTTTCCTGTAGAAACATATTTATTCCAAGTTTGTGTTTGATATTGGTAAATGGATCAATGTTTGAATTTGAAACTGTAAATAGTCTAAATTTGTATATAATTTTTACTTTCTTTCAATTTCATTTAAAATATCATTTATAATTTAGCTTGTTCTGCAATAATCAATTACCTGTTTTTTAAGAAGATCAAGATTAAAATATTTTGCAAATGGTAATACAAGAATTTTCCATTACCTTTCTTTGGTCTTTCAATCATTTTTTTTCTTCTTTTTCTTCATAAAATATAAGTCAGAGGATAACGAGTAAAATTTTTGTGAGTATCAAGTAGCAGATGTAAAAATTTTCATTTTTTGTGATTACATCTTTGAAGTTATAAATTTAAAGTTAATGAACACATCAAAATTAATTTACTTTTAACATTAATGAAAATTATCCTCTGCAATAAGGAGTTCTTCATGATTCCGAGGTGTTTAAAAAATTAGGAGTTAATTTGAATTGATAAGAGAAAGTGGCTAAATAAATATCTGATTCATTACTTCATTTTGTTTAGTTTTACATTAATCAAATTACATTTACTTTAGTTGCCTTACATTTATTTCAGTTTTACATTAGTTCACAACGTTTTTTGCTTGAATTCAAACCAAGGCTCATGTTCCCTTTGAATATAAAAAGTACAAAGAAAATTTGAAAAATGAACCACAGATCGCTTTAAAATTGCTGAGTATATCAATGGTCAAAGTGCAAAACCGCATACCTCCATTGTGGTGTTTCAACACGTTTGCTCCCATTTTATTTTTTCAAAGAGAAACAACAAAACTTTATAGCTTAAAATTAATACAGCATGTTCTGCTAGCATAGAAGAAAAATCAAAGGAGCTTTCAAGAAATTACGTTAATTAGTTTTGCAAAAAAAAAAAAAAATTAAGTATGATGGGAAGTCTACAACGTCGCAGATGGAGATACGTGGTTTCGCATTGGAGCCATTGATCGATAGAATGTTCAGGTAGGACTCCCCAAAACTTACTCATTTGTCCTGAGGTATTTTTTGAAAGTTAAAAAAACTTTGGTATTTGCAATTTGTTTCTTTTTTCTATTTTTCAACGTAATTTGGAAAAAGAAAAAAGTTAGATGAGAGGGAAACTTTTCAATAGACGAATTGAGTTGTATTAAGATAAAAATAAATTCTGAAACAATTCCTTCCTCTACTCTGTCATGTTAGGGAAAAATGAAGAAGAAATTCAAAAGTTAAAAACTTTTTCCCGATAAAATATGTACTCTCGAAGAAAGCTATAAACACTTGCTCTTCAAATTTTCCAATACTTTTCATTCAATTGCGAATAAAATTCACTAAAAAAATGGGAAGAAAAAAATCCATAAGTTTCCCCAAATATTAGTAATTTATCAAAGGGATTTGGGCAATTTTTGAACTTAAAAGCCATTCTTCTTTAGCATGGCAGAACTGCCAAGATAGATCTACAAGATTTTAGCTATTTTGTGCTAAACTGCTGCTCTAAAACCTGGAACTTGTGGTTGCCAATTCTGGCCTTTCATTTGACTTCGTACAAGAAAGGTCTAATCTCAAGTTTTTTTTCTCATTATTTTATTTTACAAAAAGGAAGGAAATCATGGAGAAAAAGTTCTTCTCATTATAATTTAATTCAAATATATTCAAATAAGTAATAGAATAAGAAGCTTGACAACTCATATTTTGATATAATACAAATATTAAGCCTTAATTATTGTCAAATTTTGAAAGGGTCCTTCACTCATCACAGAATTTTTCAAATCAAACTATGACAGCGTTTCCGCTTAAAATAACTGAAATATTGGCTGATCTAGTAAACTTGGTTACTATTTACAAGCGCCCATTGTAGAGTTGACAGCAATTTATCTAACTTTTGCATCAAGAGAGACTTCATAACTTTTCAAGCACAAGATAGGGTATTGCAAAGGATTAAGTTACAGAACTTGTTGATTCAGCTATCGGCAGCTACGAGAAAAATCTGTTGGTTAGGTATTTTAAAAGACTTCAAAATAGTGTACAGCAGAAGTTTCTGAAAAATTAATCATTGCTGTACCAGAAAAGATGTGGATGTCCTTACAAGGCGAAAAACTAAAAAACTCACCATAAAACTATTATTTACATACTTTGAGTGCTTGAAATTGAGCAATTCTACCGTACTGATCTTGATCTGGCACTGTAAAAATATAAGGTGTAAAACGAACATTTAATCCTCAGTATCTGTACTGAAAACTGAGGCCTGACTATCTCATCACACATTTATTATTCTGGTCGTCTTCAGCCCTCACTACACTCGTACTTTCAGTTAGCTCGTGGATTTTCTTTAATTTTTCATCACAAGTGGTTTCTGCTTTTCCCAAAATTGATGTTATTTCAGCATTTACGTAACTTGCTTTTTGTCGAATTGTGGTAACATCCGCACGAAGGCTCTCAGCTGTGGCCTCTTTAGCCAAAACTTTTTTCTCCAACTCTTCAATTTGCTTCAATTTTGCCATCACTCTTTGCGTCCGTAGATCATCTTTTGTGTTTCCTGTTGGTCTCCTGCAAAACAAGAATATTGTTTTAAAGTGAGAAAGTGGAACATTGAAAATTTTTGAAAAACATAGGAAGGAGTTGAGACACTCCAAAACGTACCAGCATGGATGTGCAATTGTACAACATACCTCCTGGATCGTAATTATTCCGGAGGAAAAAAAGCAAGCTGGTAGAAATAAGCTTGGATTTCAAAACTGCAGACACAAAAAAAAATTAATTTTTGAAAAAAGATCAAGTTCATTGCTGTTAAAAAATAGCTTGCATTAGTTTATTCAGCTTCTTGTCTAGAAACTGGAGGACTCATATGCTTAGAATTTTTCTAGGAATCTTTGAAATTATTATGAAGAAAAAGGACATCTATGAAATTCAGATGAGAAAGAAAAAATATCAGTTGGCCCATTAGTTATAGCATAGATACGTTGATTGGTGCTGTTCTCTGATGTGACATTTGTCTCTTCTTTTATTTCTTAAATAGTTGGAAAGATTAAGAGAAAACGCAACTTCAGTTACAAGTTTTGAACAATTTGGATTCAACTGCATTATACAGGGTGATCTAAAAGTCCAGCACCAGAGATTACCCTTGTAACTTTTGAAACAATTGAGATGGAGAACTGACAAATAGTGAGTGCTACTGGGTCAAAGGAGATGATGTTTGGGACTCCCAAAAATCTTAGGAAGACCTCTATGGAAAGGAAAACAAACCCTAAAATGTAGAAATGGTGCCAGGACTTTTGGATTACCCTTTATAGAAAAAAAAATTCTGCAAACTTGCCAAGGGCACCAAATCCTACAAAGACTTCCACCATTTTACAAATTTCTTAAATGAAGAAAAATCTACGTAGAGTAATATTACTAAAGGTTGGCTGAATTCTTCAAGTGAGATCAAAAGCATTCTAACCAAAACTGATAGCATTGCTTTACCTTTTTTGAAGGAAGATGGTATTTTAGTACTAACCATGCTTTTTCTCCAACATAGGGAGCATTTTGTTCCACAATTTGCGAGAGTTGTTGAAATTTTTCTGGAAAACCAGCTTCTTCTATCATGTCATCCAGGTCACTCATACACTTTGATTCAATGTTGGTTTTTAACATATTATGCATTTTTACTGCCGATCTGGATTTCTGCTGAAATACCTTGAGGTCAGAGACAATGCTGTTAAACCTTTCAAATCTGCAATGCAAAAAAATTAACGACATTAGTCTTACTACTTACAGGATCATTGACTACAGATGCACATCGTACGTTCAACATATATTCTTATTGATATATTTATTAATTTTATGAAATTGATACTTCTGATATCCTGATGATGCACACGCATGGATGAATTGCACCAATGGATCAGTTGCGCTGGTCACAGAATCGTGTTTTGATGCCAGATTCTTGTAAATTAGCTAATGATAATAAGATCCGTCCAAACGGCAACTTCTACAATCAATGTTAGCCGAGATATTGCCCTTTGAAAAGTCGGGTTTTTGACATCATCCACCGCAGTAGTAACACCCTTGGTTTTTTCCACCTTGCTTTCATCTGTCAGTGTGATGCACATTTGCACCAGTTGCTTAAGGTAAAACTTGGATGAAAGCAAGGTGGAAGAAACCAAGGGTGTCACTACCGCGGAGGATGACAAGAAAATCTCAACTTTTCAAAGGGCGATATCTCAGCTAATAATGAACGTAGAAAATTGCCATTTAGACAGATCTCATTATTTTGAACTAATCTACAAGAATCGGGCATCAAAACACGTTTCTGTGACAAGCGCAACTGACCCATTACTGCAGCTTCTTCATAGTACGTGTCAAAATGGATTGACCTAGGGCACTTTCAAAAACGAATCCATAGCCCATCCATCAACTGATAATTTTTTTATTCAGGGGCCGTACCTGTGAGAGCGATTCTTAAGAAGCTTGAAAAGGGCTTGAATATGAGGGTTAAGGAAGGCAGTGTGAAGCCATGTCTAGAATTGGGCTGATATTTCCGCAGTGCTGAATTCTAGAAAGAAATGAAGGCAGGGGTTCACCCAAATCTGACATGTTTTATACAGGAAGGATCACAGCTGCCTGATTTTCGCTTGACATGGGGAGACAGGTACATCAAAAATTGAAAAAATAACCTGACTCCATACGTAGGTGGTCAAGGTAAATTCTTGAAAACGCAAGTACGAAATAAGATGAAAATCCTGCTGACCCTACTTACTCTGCTGATTTGATATTAGTCAGCAAAACTTACAAGTGATTACTTCACATGATTTGAATTACAAATGATAAATGATGACTAAATAAACACTTACGTTACTCTGCAAGCTACTTCTTTAACAGTCTCCCGGACGCATTCCTTGAACTTCTCGAGACGGTCGATTTCCTTCTCATCTGGATCAAAATTGCTCTTCAAGAACTCAGAGGAAGCGGTGCGGATCAAATTCGAATGATCTGTATTTTCCACCATTTTTCAGCTGGATTCTTGAAATATTGTTGATAAATTTAATGGCAAAAGAGTGTGAAGAAGGCACCGAGAAAATTTAAAATCCTGTTTGATTCTGGACACAGCGGACACCTTCAAGCACTCCTAACTTCAACATTCAGTCACAATTTACCGAGAAATAAAAACCACAGAGTATACAGAACTTTTAAATGCAGAACGGGAAATTATTTTGCATGAGACATAGCATGACAAAAAATTAATTAAATGGATTATTATTAATTTTTGACTTACAAGAACTCAAAATAACGAGAAATTAACCATTCATTCATGAATTAACCTAAAAAACAAAACAAAGTAGTAAATAAACAATTACTTCCCGCCAAATAAGTTTGCCAATGAGACCAACCTCAAAATAAACTCACGATCACAGTCTTGAATGCCTGGCTGTTGTCCACCCATAATCTCGAACGGTTACAAACATTTTTTTGAGAGTTATTTCTTTCAAAATTTAATTTTTTAAATTATTTCTCATTTAGCTTTTAATTCTGAGGTACAGAGGGTTTTAAGGATTCATGCGAGGCTTGGTGGGTTTGGTAACTTCTAGATTATGTTCTCCACTTTGATTATTTTTTCAGCGGTAAAATTTGAATTTCAACTAATTTTGGATTTATCCCATTCATCTGAGAAAGCTCATTGCTGTATTCCTACCCTGCTCTTAGTGAGTTATACAATTTTTTTTTCGAACGAAATCAGCAGTTAAGAGAGAAAAAAGAAGGGAATATTACACGTAAATCTCGTGTGAACTCATGATTAAATGTAAGCTGCGGCAACGGCAAGCTAGGGACTCTAACGGCAAGCAAGCAAAAACTGTCATTAAAGTGACGTAAACCGGCAACGGTGTCTCCAGACACCCCTCGCTTCCTCACCCTACATAAACTGTCTGTCTGCCGACTATGGTAGTTGCCAAATTAAGCTACTAATATTTGTTTTTACAATATCAAGCAATAGTAAAAATAAAATCATGTTAAATTGTGCAACAATTTTATCCGCAACGGTGTAGTTAAATACACGCACGCGAACTTTCTCAGTGAACAGTGTTCATACACACTCACACATTGCATTCATGAACGCACATGAACACTCACTCTCACAAAGAGGTACACAACCTCAACATCATGTACCGTGCTGAATGTCGGGGATAATTAATCTATTTTCTCTCGAAATAATTTTATCATTTTAAGTGGTTTTCTTTTAATCATTGATCGGAGTGGCCGCAGGTCCCAGACTGAGTGATTCCCCTCTCGAAATGTTATCAATATCAATCAAGTATCATCGCTCACGAAAGTAAGGTTGCATGTTCAGTTCTTCTCAGATTCAAATGGAGGGCTTACTTATCTCTGATTTGGTTAGCCGTAGTAGCTGTAGTCGGTCGTTTCATTCAATATTCACCGTCTGGGAGCATCTTCCATTCTGAACTTCCACCTAATTCTGACCATTCGACAATCTAGAATACTGCTCCTCGCAGGCTAGACACTATCTATCAGATCCAGTTCTACGCTCAGCTTCGAAATGTTTCTCCTTGCAGTGCTGACCGTAACCTCAGTGTTGCTTCCCTCAGAAGGTAAGTAAATTTCAGTTTCTCAATTTGATTTTGCCGCAACCATTTTAGCTCTTTCCAGCATACAGTGCGCAGCTCTCCTCTAAGTGAAGATCACAAAGCATGTAAAGAGGTTACTGCCAAGTGTGTGTCCTTTGTTTATTAAGACAAATGCCAAAGCCCTAAAATACTGCTCCTCAGCAATTTTAGAACACACTTTATGGGTTTTCATCATATCAAGGCTCTTTATCCATCTCCATATGTAATGAAAAAGCTGTAATGTTGTTTTCCAGTTCATATGAATATAATTGACTTAGTGGCAAAATTCGCTGCTACATTGTACTCATACTTAATCTGCCAGGATTTTTGAGTTAAAATGATGGTTGTAATCTATGAATCTATGCCGTTAACAGAATCCTACCGAGCAACAGCTTAAACATTGAGTAACATTACATTTTTCTCACTTATTTAAGCAAATGAGGTAATATGCTGTTACTTACCCCCTACGTCCGTGAGCAACATCAGTTTCCCTACTATACTGGGTGATATGAAAAGCTTGCACCACCTCTATAATCCCTACGGTTCTAGCCCCTTTGCAGAGGGATCCCCTTAAAGTTTTGGGAGTCTCAAGAGTCGCTTTCTTTGACCTAGTAGCTTTCTCATAATTTCACGTCTCCATTGTAATTTGTTCAAAAGTTACAGGGATCTGACGCTGGTGGTGCAGGACTTATGAGTTACCCTGTATATGGATAGCTTTAACTAAAATCAGTGTAATCGCTTTTCACTTTACCTGAATCTCTCTCTCGAGTTTTATTCTTCTTGCAGCGAATTTAGTAGTCAAAAGCCTTGAAATTTATCGTACTTGTACAATAAATTTCTCAAGAGAGATGTAAGTTTACATCTCCCTAACTTTCCAAGAATACGGCCAAGAAAAATTGCGTGGTACTTTCTGGCCCAGGAAATCCTTGAAAGTCAGGGAGAAGAGGAAGGAAATTCCATTTGTCTTGTTGGTTGGTTGGTTTTATTTTATTCATTTGATTCCTTCCTTTTTTTTTCAGCTTCAAATTCAATAAAATGCGCTTATATAAATTCTACTATTGATAAGTCTGATTCAATGCAGGATGATCTGTCTGAAATGCAGGTAAGCTTGAGTGTGTCGGTTATCTCATTTGAATGCAAATAAAAAATTTTAGACAGATTTTTGAACGCACTCTCATAAAGTAATTTTTAAGTTAAAGTTCTTGTAAAGTAATCCCTAAGTAAAGTTAATTTCTCAATTACTGAATAAAAAAATTTACTTAAGTTAGCTATTTTTTTTTCAGCTATTCTCACTTTATTTGTGGTCAAAGTCCAATTCATTAGGAAATTTTCAATCTTACAAATGTTTGTTTTTGTCCGTCATGCTTGAACTTATTATTTATTATAGTAGTAATAAATTTCTCACTAAACACTAAAACACTGTGGACTTTAGTATCTTGAAAATAATACTCCATTTCTCAAAAAATTGGATGTTTTCCGTGTGAAACTTGTTACAAACTTGTCTTGAGAGTTTATTTATTTCATTTTATTTTTTTTAGGTAATTAGCCCAGATTATAAAGAAGTCACTTGTCCAGCAAGTAAATATTTCTGTTTCACTGTTTGGTCTGAGCTGAAGGATGATCAAAATAACACAGTCAAAGTATTTTTAAGTCAAGGTGAGGTTTTTTTTTTTTATTTTACCGTCAAAGTTTTTATGGCCACCTATTGTAAGGCTTTTTTATTGACGCACAAATTACACAGGGGAAAAGAGATAGTCAATTTAATCCCTCAGTACCTGAGTTCTTGGTCCATGAAAAAATGATGCTTAAATGATAATTAATGGTGAAAATAACTGAAACATTATTTTCCGCCCTGCAGGGCGATTATTCAAATGATATCGACTCTATGTCGCCGTTTTGTCGTGTTGCACTCAGTCGATTGTGCGGCACGACAAAGCGGCAACATAGAGTCGATGTCATTTCAATAATCGCCCCGCTGGTAACATAAGATGACCCTGTCTGGAAAATTTGAAACTTCTGAGAGATGAAGTGGTATTGATCTCTTTTTCAAAATTACAAGGTCTTATCTCTGGTCTATTTTTATTTGAAATAGAGCTTCTGCAGGCTTCAAGAATGGAAACAGTAAGGCAATGTTTATCCCAAAATGTCAAAAATCAAACTGAAATCACCTTGTGGGGGCCAGCTTGCATAAGCCGGAAAAATCGCATGTTTTTTGCAACATAATGGCAATTTTTACTTTAGAGCCAAAGAAAAGTCATCTTCCAGAAAATTTTGAGAGAAAAGGAACCATGGAAACAAAAGGGGCTAATTTAAAAAATTAGAAGTTTAGAAACTCTGCATCCTTAATATAACAGTTTTATCATTAGGCAGTCATCTAATTCGCTGCAACCATTCAGCTATGAATGATCACTAAATACAATGTATTTCTTATTTATTAGGATGTTGGAGAAGTTCAGAGAAGCATGAATGTGTCTCTACAGCTTGTAATGGCAGTGGAAACCCAAAATTCTGTTGCTGTTCGACAGATCATTGTAACGCCAATGTAACTGACCTTCCATTTACTGTAGAAAACACAACTGATGCTCAACTTCTTCATAACTCTTGTAAGTAAAACTAGGCTAGAGTCTAGCCATAGGTATACCAAGCTTTATGTGTCATATTTATGTAACATAGCATAACTCAACTCCAAGAATGTCCCCTGAAACGAAAACGATTTACACTTGCGAGGGATTTAAATTTATAGGTACTATAAATGGTACAATTTGTTTTACATAATTCTCAGGGATTGCATACAAATATGCCAAGTCTGATAACCTTTAGATTGTGATGAACGTTAGACATAGTAAGCATTTGAGACGATTTTCACAAACTGATCATCTCTTTCTAAACTATCTAGCCACTTTAACGGAAATTTTCAAAACATTCTGGAGAATTCACTAAATTTTGCATTCGTTGACGATGAATCAATTTTGCACCAACCTGAGTTGATTCAAAATTTGTGGCCGCATTAAATAATAGTCCTTCTCTGGGGTGCAAATCTCTTGTTACCAAGCCCTAAATCCAGTCCTAAGGTTGTGCAAGCCTAGTTTTTGGGTTCAAGACAAGTGTGCATATTTTTTCACTGTTTTTGAGCTGAGTTCAAGCTTTTTTGACCTTTGAAAATAACCCTTGAGCCAAGCTGAGCTCGAGTCAAGTTCAAGCAATTTTGAGTATCAACACGTGATTCTACAATAAAAAATGATGGCAAAACTAAAAATAATACTAGAATGATTAAAATATTTAGGAGTTAAACTCTTTTGGCGTTTCCGGCTCAGAAAAGCTTGAAATACTCGAAAAAACTTGTGTGATTGGCACTCAAGCCAAGTTTGTGTACTCGCTCGTATCTAACCCAACTTTGAGCAGAGTCGAGTATTCAACACTCCGCTCAACTCGACTCGAAATTCGAGTACTCGCACAGCCCCACTTGTTATTCAATTTCAATAATTATTTCTCTCAAATGATTGTTTTGTTAATTTCTTCTATTCAGATTATAGTAACAACAAAGTAATAGTACTCTTCCTGATAATTCTTGGGATATCAACTTGCGTCATGTTCCTTCTGATGTATCTCATCTCTCAAGGCACCTGCTTCAACCCTGTGTGCAAGAATAAACACTGCACTTTGGACTCAAATCATCTCGTCCTTAATGATCGCATCGATGCGTATACCTACGAACAATTGAAGCTAGTCTCTGTTATTGGTCAGTAACTTACTCCTAAAGTGTAACATTTGTTAGTTTAGTCTAAAAACTATTGTTATTTCCTTTTTTCAACTTGATTGTAGTCAAAGGCTGCAATTTGTGTGGTTTGTATCACAGAAGCGTAGCTATAATCAGAATGTTCTTGAAAAAATACACTCAGGTAAAATACAAGAAACCAGCGAAAAGACTGTGGATACACAATAACACCTTGAATATCAAAAGTCCCACAAGAGGGAGCGTAACGTTTGTATAAAAATGGAAGCATTTTAGATTGGTCTATGCAGGAATCAGACTCGCAACCTTTATAAAATTAGCCCTGCGCAGTAGCCACTATGTCAAGGGCCATTCAAGTAGGAACGGCCGAGGTTCAACGCATAATCAAGTGTGCAGCAGGTTATACAGTGGTTTTGGTGTTAAGTGCAGGAATTTTGGGGGGTGAAGGGAACTTCCCAGAAGCTCATTGGCCAGAATGCTGGTACACATCAATTTAAATTTACGCAAGGTTTCATTAAAGACTTCATTCATTAGTTTGAAAGGTGGGTCTACTATAACTTTTGAGCTTGATTCCAGGGCAAGTAAAACAGGAGCTGACGAATACTTGATCAGTTAAAACAAAAGTTAGAGGAGTAGCAAGCAATAAGCAGCATGCAGCAATGTCAGTAATTCTACCGCCAACCCTGCTTTAGATCAGTTTTCCTTCGCCAGCTTTTTAACTTTTCTTTCGTAGCTGAAAGATATTTTATAAGAAGTCAGTTTTTTAAACAACGAGTCTGCTAATTTTCTTCGGCAGGTCAAGGACGTTACGGTTGCGTCTGGAAAGCGATGGTTGATACTCAAGAAGTGGCTGTCAAGATTTTTCAATCCCGCAACAAACAATTTTTCTATAATGAAAGAGATATCTACACTCTACCATTCATGGACGAGCCTTTCCTTCTCCGCTATTTTGGTAATTAAAGAAATTTCTTTATCTTTGCGTGTGGTATTGAAAGTCAGTGACGCTTAATTAAAAGTGTGTAACTACTTTTCATGATCCAAAGTGCTTCAAGGAAGCAATAGTTGACGCCATTGTTTTAGGTATAATTTATAATCTACCGGAAGACTGTATATCATGTTGATGGTGGCAAGCATATTAGTCAACTTTTCTAATGTTGCAGAACCTGTTTTGAAAGTGGCAATGGTGCAAATTTTTAAAATTTTCCAAAGATTACAAAATCATTTAATGGCTTATTTCCAGAGTCATTGAGTACTTTTTAGAAATCATAGAATGCACACTCACATCTCATCTTGTCTTGTATTTAAAAACATCAAGCACATTAACTTTCGATGGCTATTCTGCCTAAAAATTAAACATGACTAGTATTTTTAACACTTTTTCATGAAGTTATATATTTGTATAGGATTTTTAACCGATTATTATTTTTGTCTTTTTTCAAACCTCAGGCGCTGATGAAAGAATAGTCGGTGACAACTGTGTAGAGTACATGTTGATATTCGAACACTGCAGTAACGGATGCCTCCAAGATTATCTACACTGCAACACCCTTGACTGGTCCACTTTCTGTCGAATGGTGTCTTCAATGGCAAGAGGATTGGCATACTTACACAATGATATCCATAAAAATGGTATTTATCTCTCACAAGATCTCTGAGAATATTATCAGATATGAACCTGACATCAGGAGTTGCTCAAATTGAAAATCTTCCTGAACTGCTTTTTTTTTATTATTTATTGTTGGATTCGTTGGTTTGGATTTGGACTTGAGGGTTTTTTGTTTTAAGGATCTGCGCCATAATTTACTATTCCGGAGAATTCAATCATTGATTGATTGACTGATTAGTGTTTTGCACCTGTAGGCGCCAGGCCTGCCACATTCCACCTCGGGCCCTGTTAGGGGAGAGGCGGGCAACGTGGAACGGGCGGGCAAAGTGGAATTTGGCCTTTTAAAAAAATCTGTCCATCCTATGGCGACCCTGGTGGTTAAAATTAAAACTAGAGAGGGTATCAGTCCATTAGAAACTGTTTCTATGCAAAAAATAATAACATAACCAATAAAAAATGACATCAATAGAAAACCGGCCCTTCACAAATTTGTTTCGCGCCTGTGAAAACTTATGGGGCCACGGGCAAAGTGGAATGGGCGGGTAAAGTGGAATTCGATCATTTTAAAAATTTTATTCATCCTTTGGTGCTTGAAATCGAAACTGGAGAGGGTACTTATCCCCTAGAAACTGTTTTTATCCAAAATGAACAACGTAAGCAATAATAAATCATGGAAGTAACTAGCCGACCCTTGCCAGATTCGTTTCACACTCGTGAGAGCTTGTTCGTTTTTAGAAGTGTCAAATTAATAAATCCATGAATCCTACTTAATCAGTAATTGCTGTAGTTTCGATTTCAAAAACAAAATTTAACTGAATCGGTTTCTCCTTTTAATTATTAATATAATTTCAAGGAGCGGTGTCTCGAATTCCACTTTGCCCGACTCAAGTCGGACAAAGTGGAATTTTGCCTCTTTTTTTGTATCTAATTTTCTTGGCGCTTTTTGAAAACTTTTTCGGCTTCTTTCACCTTCTTTTGATGAAAAAGCGATGAAACTTCAATTATAAATAAACATAATGTTTTAGGTAGTTAAAATAAATTTTCTGTAGCGCGTTGAAAAAAAGTGTTCCACTTTGCCCGGCTCTCCCCTACTATTTTTAAGGTTTGGGCTCCATTGAAGGTCCCATGTGTGTTCGAAGTAGTGTGTCACGGGCCCCAACCAGGGACCCAGTATCCCCCACCCCCTTGTGGCGGGTCTGGTAAGTGCAAACATTTACATGTTGGGTATAAAAATCACAAAAATTGATTACACAGTTAATGGCTATGTAGATTACATAATGATTCGTAAAGATCTTAAAAATAATGGATGGATTGCAAAAAAATAGATACTGTTGTACCCAATTGGCGCTGTAGACAAGAATGTTTAACGAAGACTATTCAATTAACGAAAGACTCAATAATATTTAGTAACGTAGCGGTAATCATAGAAACAAGAATGTATATGGCAGCAATGTGTGGCCTCCGGTGGTGTAGTGGTTGTAGCGCCAGCTCTATGATCGGGAGGTCCCGGGTTCGATTCCCGGCCAAGCGACCCGAGTTTGATGGTCTCAAACAATGGTTGCCTGGGACTGGTTGTTCAGTAGGGACGGAGGGGGCCCGGGACTTGAAGAGCGCGGAATTAGCCCTTGTGGGCTCCTTAAAACGGTAAAAAAAAAATTAGGTTCAGTAAGATTTTAAGTTATCCCTCGACCATCTGACACTAAACTGTAATATTTTGTTGTTCATTCGCATTGCAGGCAAAGAAAAACCGTGTGTTTGTCACCGAGATTTCAACTCTCGCAATATTCTGGTCAGATCTGATCTCGAGTGTCGAATTTGTGATTTTGGCCTGGCGGTTAAAATCCAAGGTTCGCGCTATTACAACTTAGGTGAGGAGCAGCATGCGGAGACTCAGTGTATCAACGATGTAAGTGGATCTTCTACTCTCCTTAATCATGTAGATTTAGCTGCAGCCATTGTATTCAATTGATTTAACACAAAGAAATATCGAGAAGATGTTTAACTAATAATGACTGAAATCATCTATGAGAAACATCCAAAAAGTTGCTTATTTAGGTTAGGTTCTCTCTGGTCCCTCACTGGGTAAACGTGATTGCTGATGGTGAAGAAAAACTGCTGGCAGACACAGAAAATTTGAAAAAGCACAATCTGGACTTCCCAAATTGTGTACTATGGAGTAGATTCAAGATATTTCTGATGTGCTCACCGTTGTTTTCTTACTGGTAGCAAGTGTTCCTAGGTCGTCGTACCTCTTATATGCTGCAGACTCATTAAATGAATTTATGTAGTAAATTTTAAGCCTGGCTTGGATTTACTAATTGACCAAATCATTTTGTTTGAGCAGGCTGGCACCTTACGGTACATGGCACCTGAAATACTGGAGGGAGCTGTGAATCTACGAGACTGCGAGGCGTCCCTAAAGCAAATTGATATGTATGCATTTGGACTTGTTCTTTGGGAACTAGCAACCAGGTGCCAGGATCTGTACCAAACTGGAGTTGATATTCCTCCTTATAAGCTCCCGTTTGAATCTGAAGTCGGTGAGTCAATTTCTAAAACACAAATTACATTTTTATCCTCCTCTTCATTTATTGGATTTAGAAGTGCAAAAATTTTTTGTCAGGAGAAAAATATTGGAGACCTTTCATTCTGTATGGCTGAAATTTCTATTTCAGCAAAGGTACTGTGTTCAATTACTCCTTGCAGCGTTACAAAGAATATTTTGTCGTTCTAACCAAGTTCCCTCAAACACGATTCCCATCAGTGTATTGAGAGGAAATACTGAAAATTCGCAAAATTTGTTTGATTCATGGAAACAGATATATCTTCCATTGGAATAAGTACAAAGTTATTGCTGCGTCCTTTATCGCAAAAAATTGCCAGATCTTTGTTTGAAAGTCATAGCAGAAAGATATAAGTGCAGGGAAGCTGTCATCTGGGTTTTTACTCCTTTTTTTTTTTTTTTTTAATTAACTCGGGGAAGCTCCGAAATAATTTATTCACACATAATTTTCATTTTTCCTTTGATAAAATTTTAGCTGAGAAAACTACTGTTAAGGTTCCCAAAAATCCAACCCCAAATACGAGTAAAAATGCATTTTAAATACAGGTATTACAATCATGAAGCATGTAACCACGATCAAGCTCATCATTGTTATTAAGTGACAGATCAAATATTCTTGGTGTCGTTAGTGTCAGGTGTCCGCAGGTTTAGAAAACCTGGAAAATCAGGAATAGTCATGAAAAAGCCAGGGAATTGTTTGAAAAAAATTGGAAATCTGAATAATTATGTGACTTGAAATCTGGAAGGGAAAGTATTAGCATGAATATAAGCGCATTATAAATTTTAGTCTGATTGATTTTAACAAAAATTAAATTAAAAATAACTCGCATTGATAAGTTATAAGTTCGAAATGATAATTCGTCTCCTCACAAAAAGTATCTAATCTTGCCTACCTCTTGTTTCTGCAAATTTAAGTTGAATAATAATACAGTAATTGAATGGTTAAAAATTTATTTCTGGGTTGGTTAATACATGATTAATCTAAAACTTATTCTGGTTTTGTTCCAAGTTAAATTCTGAAAAGTTAATGGAGAAATAAGTTTCAATTAGGAATCATAATTTTGAAAGAAGGTTGAACGAAAAAAGTTTCACCTGTTTCTGCCATTTGGTGTGAACTGAAAAGTGACAAAAATATCGTTCATTTTCAGTTTACCACGTGCAAATCGTCCTTGTGAAAAGTCAAGAAATTTTGATCAGTTTGGTCAGGAAAGAGTCAGGAAATTTTTTACTGCCAAACCTGCATACACATATTCTACGTACATATTTTTCGTTTTTTTTATTTGGTCGGACATTCTCCATTTTTCTTTCAGGTCTTGTTCCAACGTTCGAAAAGATGCAGGTCCTAGTAAGCCACAACAAAGCACGACCTTTGTTCCCCGAATCGTGGCGGGACACCAGCTTCACGCGGCTCATCCGGGAAACAATTGATGACTGCTGGGACCAAGACGCTGAGGCTCGGTTGACAGCTCTTTGTGTCGAGGAGCGCATGACGGAAATGTCATCCTGCTGGGATTGGAGTAATAAAGGTTTGTCCTCTCATCTCATCTCTTTTCCAAAAGAAATTTTCCTACGAGTTTATTGAAATTGCCTGTACTCATTGGCTAATGTTCCTCTTTGTATACTACTATTTGGCAGGGATAACCATGAAAAACTTATGAAATTTTGGCATTCTATAGAATTATAAAATAGGATTTCCCTGCAATTAACGGTTTAAAACATTTTAAAAAGAATCCTAGAGGCTCAGTTCACTCCGTACATTTGGGGGGGGGGGGGGAACCCCAAAAAATGGATGCCACTGACCCATCCTAGTCTCTCTGGCTCAATCTACTCTCTGTAAAATTCCCAGGAAACATATGGAAAACATAAAAAATTTGGAATTCAAGATATGCCACGAATACAACTTAAAAATAGATCAAGACATAAATTGCTGTAATTACATGGTAACACAGAAGAGGATAACTTGTCCAGCAGGCTGATTGTTGAAATTGATTGGCAAAGAAGACAAAAAGCATATGGAGGGATCCTATTAGTGGAAGCAGTTGGTTGCAATGGACAAAGGAAGCAGACTAACTAACAGCAACTCGCAAGTGTCCCTTTATTTAGTCCATCATTTACACCCTTAGTCTACAAGAACCACCCAAATTAACCAACAGGATCGCTCCATACTCATTATGTTGTCTTTGTCTATCGCCTTGTCTATAAATTTCAACAATCAGTTCGCTGAGTAGCAGAAACGTTTTTTTTTTGTGCTGAAGCCTGCTTGTATTATCACTTTACTTGTTAAAATTAATTTAGGTCATGCAAGGAAGCAGCGACAATGTGGTGAAATTTCAGAAAAGCATTTCCGTTTCGTAAGTCACTGTTTTGAGTTCTAAACCAAGTGAATAAGTACGCTCTTGTTCGTACACCATTTAAACAATTTCTGAGAAAGTGAGTACTTATTCATATGGTTCTGAACTTGATCTTGTGCGGATCTTGGTATTTATTTTATTGACTGTATTAAGTGCCAGTGGAATTGGCATGTTTTTTATAGCCTTTTTGCCGTTCACTTAATTTCTTACCTTTTCTCCTTCACCAATCAGGGCAAATCTTGTTAACAGTTACTTTCTCAGAGTTTTTCCTGACCTTTTTTAGGCAATTTTTACTCTGTGAATCTAATACTCTCCTCTGCATTTAAATCTATGTATCTTCATTCTTAATCATGTATATTTTTCTCTCCTTTTTATCATGGATATTTAGCAGCTGCAATGGGGTATCCTAATGGTTTAAGTCCAACTGTCAACCTAACGCAACCCTCAGGACCTATTTCAAATTTAACTATATTGGACAAGAATGAATTCATCGTGGATATGGAAGGTAATTTCCATTGCTCCTCTGAACGATTCAGCATGAATTTTCTACTCAATGAATTCAACACAAAGAAAGCAATTGATACTGGATGTTCAGTGAAAATTATGTACTATCCATACAGAGCGTTGCAGGAGTAAGGCTAAAAAATTTAAGAGGTGGTTTCAATGGTCTAAACAAGACTTTTTTTTGTTCCAAGACATTGCATCCGAAAATCAAAACCCTCCAAGCTCTGTGGGTGGAAAAGCCGGAAGAAAATTATACTTGCGTAAATTTTTAGCCTCCTTTAGAGGAGATTGTCGTGCATTCAGCATTCAACTATAATTTTGTCGCTTGTTTTGGGTTTGTATCTATGGCTCATGGCAAATGAAGTCATGAGAAGTGCTCAACTTTCAGTGGCCCCAAGAAAGGTCATTGAAAGGACGGATTGGCCATGATTGATTATGTTTGCTAGGATGTGTGAAAAGTAACTAGCAGGAGCAGAATGGAGTTGAACGTACGTCTTATTTAGCAGCAGCTTGGTGCAGCTTGCCATCATACAACCTCTTAAAGGTAAAGATGGAGCTTAGAACCAGAAGCAAGGTTGATAAAATACTTGAAGCAGGCTAAAAATGATGTTTAAAAACTGAAAATATGTCGGATTCTGTTAAAAAATTTTACTTTATTTCCTCTTTTTAATGTATTTTACTAACTTTGATTCATCATCAGGCTGCCTTGTAAAACTTTTTGCAGGCTATGGCCCCATTTTCGGCTTATTTGCCTCGACTATTGGTCAATTGGTGTTTCTTTCATCCAAATTTGACTTAGTAGAAGGAATCATTTTCTAAATAGTATTAAAACATTTCTAATAAATTAAAAATTCAAATTTCAATTTATCTTTGTATTAAATTTTCCCCCCATCTGTTTAAATAGGTTTGCGAGAACGAAATGAGTTAACTGTAAACAGGGAAATAGGAGAGCCTTTGATCTCATTCTCTCCAACTGAACCCAATGAAACATCTCTTTGTAAGTATTTCTCTTCTAAAATCCCTTTTTTCCCAATCTTTTCAAAAACGTATTGCATTGCTTTTAGCATTCTCTCATTAGGTAGAGGAAGATATTGTTTAAGTTAACTCGACGATTTCTTAGTTTTCGCATTTTTTAACTGAGGATGAACAGCAAAAGATCCCAGTTTACACCAGTCATAAGTAGCCAATGGCAATGAAGGCTCTTTTAGTGTACAAAATACTGGGAATACATTTTTCTGGGAAACTTGGTTAACTACAGGGTGTCTACAAGTCCGGAATTTCCAGAAAGTCCAGAAATAGTACTGATTTTTTAAGGGCGGTCCAGAATTACAGAAAAAGTGTGGAAATTTCGCTAGATGGTCTGGAATTTTTTGTCATTTTTTCCGCAATGAGCGAGATTTTCAGACTCTTGAATTTTTTTGAATCGCGTCCAAGGAAGGTACTGAAAAAGTACTGAATATTTCTGTTAAGGAGGTACCGAATTTCTTGGGATTGTACTGAAAAAGTACTGTAAAAATACTGATTTTTGGCCAGCCTGTTTTAGTAGACACCCTGAACTATGATGGCTCTCTGCTTTCCAGTTCTCACTTTATTCTTTATTAAATTTCAGATGACAAAGACTCCAAGAACCGTTTACAGCAGTCCGTTCAGCCAGTAGCCCTGCAACCTCATCAAGGTCGCAATCCCTGCATGGAACGTAATCTCATGTGGATCCGATCTCCATCCCAGGAGAACCTTAACTCTTTGCCAACATTGATCGATCGCTCCTCAAAACATGTACCTTCACAGGTAACAACAACAGAAGCTGCTCCGCTTATCCAAAACGATTTCCTCGGCTTCCCAAACTATTCGCGCAGTATTAATGTTCCTATTCCGTACGTCCAAAACCCTGTTTTCGACTCCTCGCCCAGCACAAAACAATGCAATGTTCCTAGAGCCACAGATGAGTCCGCCAAGTCCAAGGTCAAATCACTCTTTGCTGGGAATAATTTTAGCTGGTCAACAGTAAAGAACTGTAAAATGAAAAACTCACCATCCTCTGATGATGAAGTGATGAATCCACCGAAGGTTATCAAGTCACGACAGAAAATGGAGAATCTGAAAAAACTTGAGTCGAGTGCTAGTAAGCTTGGCAAGTTGCTGACTGACAATAATTCGTACATGCCCCTCAATTCCGGAAATAAAAAGAAAAAAAATCACTCTTCATCAAGTCTCGATGCCAAAGTAGCCATTCAGTTTGAAGCAACAGGTGGAGAAACAGCGATCGAAGTAAATGCAAATACTGAAGATCGGAAATCTGATAGCTGTGTTCCCTCAGTTTCACGTCCAAATAATTTATCCTTAAAAAAATTTGAAGCACAAGGTGATACGCAAGTTTTTGGTGCCTTCTCAGAGGGTTTGAAAGCTCCAGGTTTGAAAGATTTGAGCAAAAGAATCAAAACACCTGGAGACGTCCCACCATCAGTGCGAAAAAAAGGGTCTACAAGAGCTCGATTCTCACTCTATGATGATCGCATTATGATTGAAAATGAAGAGCAGTTGACCATTGAAACAACTGAGCCCGTTAGCAAGACAAATTCTTATTCCGTTCCAATTGATATCAATCGTGTTAACTCGATAGATTGAGTTTCGTGTGATAATTTTTTTAAGTGATATCTTGAGTTCAGCTCACAATCGCTTTTTAAAACCAGTTCTTCTGAAAATGGTGTAACCATAAATTTGCTCTCTTAAACAAGATGCTGTTTCATTTTTTTTGTTGCTTAATGCAACCTCTAAAACAGTATTCATGCTAATTGGTGAGTCCTCTGTAGGTTTCCTCTAACCAATGGCGCGTTGTCTGCAAAAAACTCATTCGCCTAAATCTTTTAAATCTTAAAGTTTGTTTTAGAGGCTGCATGAACAAGACTGACTCAAAAGAATGGATTTGAAAAGGGTATACCTTACCCTAACTTCTGTTTGGTTGTAGTGAAGTATCAAATGAAATCAAAAGCTGGCAAAGTCTTAAAGTTTCCTGCCTTGTATTAATTGGATTTCTCTTTTTGTTTTGTTTCTTGACTAAGTCAACGCTTGTAACACTTCTCTTATTTCTAGTTACCTTCAGTGAGTCGAAAATAACTCACTATAATCCTTTGTAGTTTCCTTGTTTTCTTTACTTTCCTGTGATTTAACATAGTTGCAATGATTATTTGCAACGATTTTCAAATTTTTTATTGCATGACACTTTTTGTATGTTTTTGAAGTTCTCCGGAAATATTTTTATGAGAATTAACGCTCTCTTTTGTCTAAAATCAGTACCAGCCCAAGGGAGTGTAACATTTCTAGTAATCAATGCTTGCAAGAGCATCCTCAAAAGTCATCAGAATACGCTTGGGCTGGTATTGTGGAAGATCGTCTGATTGTGTACAGCCTTGTTATTTATTAAGTTCATCATGAAATTTGTACTGGGTGCAACCTGCTTAATTCAAACACTCTGATTATTACGCTACATGTATGTGTTGAAATTTCCTTGACTTGCTTTGGCAATTTTTGATGACCTCTGTCGTCCTGTATTGCAACATGGTTTGTGTAGATACTTGAAAACATTCAACTTCTTTCAAAGCTATAAAGTACTTGAATTCCAAAGAATTAACAAAACGTTTATGGAGGGATTCTGGCTGTTTCTATTACCATCGCGCAATTCTTCTACGTATTTATGAATCAAGACATATGAGGGATGAACACTTGAATATACTTGATTCTATGTTATCTATTGTAAGGTTGCATGACCCATGTTAATGACCTATGTCATCTTCATAGTAAGTGCTGCTTATTGAAATTGATTGACAAAGAAGGCAGAGGGAGTATGAAAAGGTCCTATTGGTTGAAATGGGTGAATGTCTTGGACCAAGGGGGAAAATGATGGACTTACTGAAGGGTCCCTCCCATCAGACCGTTAGTTAGTGTATTACTTACCTCTCCTGTCCATTACACCCACCCATTTCTACCAATAGGATCCCTCCATATACCTTTTGTCTTGTTTGTCTACAGTATTGTCTATCAATTTCAACTATCAGCCAGCAGATATTGATATTCTCTGTTTCTGTGTCACTTTGACCCGCTGGAAGAGTAAAGGATTGAAACAAGTCAGCAGGTCTTCAATTTGCTCTCTGGTTTTCATTCTCTTTCTCTGTTTCTTTTTGGAGTTATCCACATTGCCTATTATTGCTCTGTAGCATCTGGCATTGAGCCACCTGAAATGACAGTATTATTTTTGAAGTTCTAGTGCTCAAAAATGTGGTCCACCTCTTGTAACATTCCATTTGGACAGTTTTGTAAATGTCACTAATTTTGTTTTACCTACCGTAAGAGGTCAACTGGAAAATGTATGTTGTCATCTTTTTTTATTGGTTTCAGTCTTTTAGTGCCAAAGTTCTGTGGATCCTCGAGTCCAATTTTTAGAAATTTTTAATAGAAATTTACATTACAACATTATGGGTCAAAAGTCATGAGCTCTACAAAAACTGATGATTTAAGAGCAATTTCCTAAAAGTTTAAACCAAAATAACCGACAAAATTTCAAGGAAAGGTTACATTAAAGGTTTATACTGGTATTGAATGTTTACATCAGCAGACTTCTGTAACTCAAGCAATCTTCGACAGTAGAATGTCTATATTTAACGAAAATAATTATTTTGTAGCTATTCTTTGAATCCTTTCAGCGAGAGTAACCTTAGGTCTCAAAGCTAAAAATGGTAATGTGTCATGATATATTTGAATTTTATACAGTTTTTCAACTTCAACTTCTCAGTTTTCAAATGAAGCGTAAGAGCATATGCAGGTCAGTTTTCTTTTGATTCAGGTTTCCCATACTGTGTTACATTAAGTTCAAAAAAAGTATGACTAATGGGCATTCTTGACTTTCAGACCCATGTTAAGGGCAATATGTCTTGCTGATAGGATTCGATTCTGTGGAATGTAGATCTTTTACCGTCAAGCAACGCTGAAGTTATCAAAATGTAGGAAGGGGCCAATTTTGGCCCTCAACAACACCCATTCTTTTCCCTTACTTTCTCCAGAAAAAACTTTATGCATTTGGTAAAACTGAAATTTCTGGATAACTTACTTTGCTTTGGCTGCGGAAGAACAGAAGTGTAACCTCTGATGCGAAGGATCGAATGTCAATAGTTTCCCTCAGTAATTATTTAAACAGTTCTCTTCATCATCTGATAGATAGTTTGAGAACAGATAATTGTAAGAGCAAACTGTACAGAGGCTCTATTGTAACTAGGAAGATCTACCTCTCAATTAATAGCTTAGGTAACTTAATTTTTTCAGCCAGTCAACTGCCTTATGCCTGAAGTATGACATAACTTGCTTCTCTATTTTTTGGACCTTGATAGTAAAGAATGCTTGTTGGCTCTGAACTCAGCAGAAACTTAGTATTAATAATATCCTTTCAGTATTCATACTTTAATAATCCCAGATAAAATGCATATTTTACGAAAAATTGAATGCAGTTGATATGGGTCTGTTGCGCTCGTCGTACAATTGTGTTTTGATGATTTAAACTTATGCATTAGAAGAAGAGAATAAGATCTATTCAAAGGCCCTTTGCCCTGTATTACCAAAGACATTGCTTATCGAAAAACCAGGCATATGACATCAACCACTACAGTAGTGCATATCATGGTTTCCCCCACCTTAGTTTTATCTCTCACAATCAGTGGTACACACATTTGCACTAGTTGCTGGGCGTAACATACGGATGAAACCATGGTATGCACTACTGCATTAAATGATGTCATACGCTGGGCTTTTTCAATTTGCGATATCTCCGTCAATATTGGACGAAGAAATTCAGTAGTTAAACTGATCTTATCGATTTCTGTCAATCTCAAAGCTTAAAATATCCAAACTCGATTCTATGACCAATGCAACTGAGCTGATTGGGTGCATTTTTGTGGAAAATACACAATTTATCACTCACAAAATCATGCATCCGGCAAAGTATTAGGTGCATCAATTCATTTGTATTGGAGATTTTTTCCCCCCTTAACTCATCTGTATTAGCAATTTTCCCCACAAGCAATTAAAGTTTACCTCTGTATACATTGCAATGCCAAGCATTGCAAATCCTAGCATCGTAATACTTCCTTATGTCTTGCTTAATATGTCATCAAATAATAAATTAGATGAATTAAATAAAAAAACAACCTAAAATTGAGTCTACACGACCAAAATACTGTAACACATTATAATGTCAAATCATAAATGAATGATTGAAAAATTGAGCGTGCTAAGTTATGGAAACCCAGATATGGATGAACCCTAATTTAATGTGAATATTGTAATCTATTTATTTTTTTACCCCCTTCAGATGTATTTTTAAATCTGCTCTCAGATTTGTATTAACTCTTCTGTTGTTCATTGAAGAATGTAGGTTTCATTGAACTTTGAACGGACGCTTCTTAGCTTTTGGTTGATCCATCACAATATTTTTGCAGCTCAAGATTGGAGGAGCTTTTCGGAAAAAGGGGCGAAAAATTGCGTCAAAGAAATGCATTTGAAGTGTACTTAAGCACTTTCTGGAAACTGACATTGGCTCTCATTGGAGCCTGGATTCAAATTTCCTTGAGAGTAAATTTCCTAATTTTTTAGTGAGTCACCGTTAGTGGCCAGAAAGTAATAATGAAAACTTCAAATGTATTATGCCCTAACATGATTTTTCAATTTGGGCCCCTTTCCCTAAAAGCTCCTCTATATTTGTTGTCTGTTTGACTAAACGTCAAGGTACAAAACCTGCAGTGGGCTGATTGTTGAAATTAATAGATAAAGCCATAGATAAAGAAGACAGAGGGAAAATTGAGCGATCCTATTGGTTGAAAAAGTTGGTTTTTAAAGACTAATATAGAAATTGATGGACTATCTAAAGGGTCTCTCGTGGGTTGCTGTTAGTCAGTCTATTATTCACTTCTATCGTCATTGCAACTTTCCGTTTCCACCATTAGGATCCCTCCCATTTCTGTCTGTCCCCTTTGTCTATCAGTTTCAAAAATCAGCCCGCAGTCTAGTCAATTCGGAACTCACTGTCAGTTTTCTCTACAAATAGACCACAACTGAGCCTTATGTTCTCTTAAAATTCGAAAGTACTTATTATCAGAATGAATTCAGAACATAATTTTTGGTTATGAAGCTGAGTACTTATCAGTTATACAAGTTGAAAACATGGATCTTGGTATTTTAAAATTTCCGCCTTTTTTCATTTCAATATAGGGAACTTACTGTTAGAAATGTTGAATGATTTTTCTGAAATTATCAAGGAACATTCTCTCAAAATGTTTTACCAGCTAAGATTCTTTTGTAAGAACGTAGCAAGAACAGAAATTACTGTATGAACTTGTTATTGTTCATTATTTTGGAGTAGCAGAATTTACTGATAGAAGTATAGTATTAGGAAGTGGTTAATAATTGAGGACTTGGACGCTCGGGTGATTCCAGTGTTTAAGATTCGCCAACAATTTCTTTAATTTTGAAGAAACTACTACTTGTATCAGTATTAAACTTGAGAATTGTGCCAAAGGTATTGTTAAATGGGCCTATTTGTGCTAAAATGAACTATGTTTGTAGGGTTTTTGTGCAACATAGATCTTTTAAGCATCAATACGTCCAAATTATAAGGAATATCCAGTTAAAATTTCATCTCTCTTTCGGCATTTTTTTTCCTATCAAGAGTTAAAATTTAAACGAAAATTCTGGAATTAAGGAGTTCCCATTCTGCACCCAAGTCCTCATTTGTGGTCTCCAAAAAACTGGAAGTGACTGAATTTATAAGTAAAACAGCTTTCTGGCAATGAGCACCTGATCTTCAACACATAAAAGTTTGGAAGCTTGTAAATGTAAGAGGTGAAAAAACGAAGAGATGTGAGGTGTGATCTTTTTTGATAGAAGTGTGAGTCAATTTGTATCTTTCAAATGCTTGTTGAAACTTTCTGTCGATTTGTAAGTCCTCTTTATGTTAATATGATGAGAGAGGTAGCTCAGTGGATTTTGAAGATACCTCTTAGCGAGGCAATTTACAGTGGAACCTCAATGAGATAAAATTCTAAAAAACAGCAGTATCTAAGTAACAATAACTGGTCTGTATTTGATGATAAGGAATTAATGTTTCCAGCTTACCCATAAAACTGCTGTGATAAGGAAGAACGCCTGTATGAACATTCGATAGTTGCCAAATTTCCCTTGATAAAAGAGGTATTTTTGACAACATTCATGCGTATTTTTCCTTGAAATTTTCAGATATTTTAGATGAACTGCGCACAAAATTTTGGAAAATATTATTTGTAATTTTCTCAGTAAATTCGGTTTTTATCGGAGGAAACCTAAAGGCTCATACGGCGTTCTTCCTTAGCACGGCAGAAAAGCATCTATCTGCATAGAGAAACTTAAAAGACAGGTTGTTTCAAAAATGAGTCAGAAATAGAAAATAGAAATTTCTCATTGCAAAATGCAGTCCAAATAAATTTGCTCTCCTTTTAATGAGACTGAGACTGTGCAAAACCTCGGACGTAAGCAACATTGATGACTCTTTCGATGTGGCAATATTAGTGTTCAGTTTTATGTTAAGAAGTACGTTTTGGTGGCCAAAGTGCGAATTCATTGCGATATTTTAAAATTTCCGCTCCCCTTTTGTTCTTTTGAAGAGTAATAAATGGACTTGAAATTTACACAGAATTTTCTGCTAAGAGAGAAGAAAAATTAAGGAAGTTTTTAAGGAATATCTTCGACTAGTTTCCAATAAAAAAACTAAGTATGACAGACAGTCTGCCAGGTCGCGTATGTGGTTTCGCACCTTGGCCATCGACATGTATCAAATGTAATGTAAATTTTTCTCGTGACATATCCATTCTAAAACTAGAAATGTATGTTTCTCTTTTTGCTATGATGCAAACTTTCTTTAGTTAAAATTTATATTGATGAACGGAAATGAAACATGTTTTATTTCGCAAGATTTTGTGCAATTTTTTTTTTTTTTGGGGGGGGGGGCGCTGTTTAAGTGTATATTCTTTGAAAATTTTACAGCAGTTTGTGAGTTATTCCTATTTTTAGAGATACAAAAAAGACAGGTGTCAATTTTGATCAGAAGTGTTTCGGAAATCAATTCTTTGATTCCCTCATTGTTCGACGGTGTGGTAATGAAATCACAGATTGCTGGAAGTGTGCATGACTACTTGTGTCACCCATCATTAAGAGATCGAAGGGCAAGCTCAAAAATTTTTCGCTTGTAGCGTCTGCCATGGTTGTTGATTCGACCTACTGTTTGCTCATCAGATGACCACTTAGCCTTGAAGAGGAAAAAGATATGTCTAATGGTATTAAGTTCAGTGCCTAGGACTTTTGAAGGCGTCTCTCTGGTCAACCCGGCCTCTTTCTACTTCTACTATTACTACTTTTACTACTTTTTATAAACAAGTCTGTTTGGTATTGATTTTACAGGTTCAGTTGCTTTGTAAATTTCATGACATATTGTCAGGCATAGAATGAATTTTCTGCCTGTAATAATTTTTTTAAAAATTTTCACATGATTTTGTGGAATTTTATAAGAATTTATACAAATTTGTTGAAATACGATTTTAATGGCAATTTTTCTTGTCGCTGAACATCTTATGTGATCCTCTTTTGATTGTATTAATCTGTGTACATGATGCTATGTTCCTGATCGAGAAAAACTGACCAAAAATATATCAAACATTGTAAAACAAACTTATGAAAGCTGATATGACCATTAGTCATGACAGGCATGGGAAAAAAGGGGTGAAGGGAAGGGGGCTCATATTTAATAATAGATTAACTTTTTCTTTCATTCCTTGGAGATAAGGATGAAGGTATAATGAGTATTGCCTGCCATTGCTAGAATGGTCCTTTCGAGACTGGAATTGATTTTTGCAGATACCGATTAATTGTTTATCCTGGCTAAGCTGTTTTTATAATTTTTTTTGTGGAAACTTTTCTTTTTTAAACCCTAGTTTCTCTTCCTTTTGATAAATGTATCGGATGGAGGTGCACATTCTGTCACCTAGAGCCACACTGTCATTTCGTTAGTTTTTGACCGACGACCCGACCATTTGACTTTCAGTCTTTTTACTTTAATATTCTTGTAAATAATAAAAGTAAAAAACTCAATGTAAAGTGATCTCACCTAAGTCGCTATGTTATGTTAAGGTATGTGTTAGCTGCAAAACTGGATTTGTATTTAAAGAAAGAAGACATTTTTAGAATTTCAATGAAATCTACTTAGCCTGGACTGAGTTTAAAGATTTCATTTAGAACAGGGTTTATCCTAGTGTAACTCTCTAGTTTGAATAGATTCTCTCCGGTAATATCGTACGGATAAACCAGAATTAATGGGTAATTCCGGTTTACTCCCGGTGCATTTGGGCCAATTATTAGCCCAAAGTCCATTTCTCGATGCCTAATTTTCTCTCATGTTTCATTTTTTTAAAGAGAAAACTGAACTACCCAACACTCTCAAACTTTCTGTGAATTTACTGCAGATTATGAAAAATATATTTACAAAATCTCAAGTTTCACTCAAACCTAGTTTTCTAAAAGAATTTGGTTTAACAATACCATAATGGCCGTATTTCAAGCAATTTTTACTCATGATTCTGATATGGTATTGATAAGTAAAGAATTTCATTTCAGTTTTCATTAACCTACCACAACACCTTGGTAAAAATTACACAAAATACACTTAGTTTTCTATTTAAAAACCAAAACGTCAAGAAAATTAGGCAGCGTATGATGTAGTACCTCTAATACTAGCTAAATTAGACTGCATTTTGCAATTTGGACCTATAAATTCTGGCCCATTTGAAAAAACACTTATGTGCATAGGGAAACTAATGGCACATACGTTGTTTTTAAACCGGGCCGGAATTTATCGGTCCAAATTGCAAAATGCAGTCCAATTGTCCAATTAATCCAACCAAAAAAAAGGTTTCTACGTATGCACTGCAAACATACACAAATGATTACTTGATAATATCAAAGAGGAGCATTTCAACAGTGAAATTACGAGACCACTTATCTCATTTGCGGTGTTTAAAAATCTCTGCTCCTATTTTATCTTTTTGAAGGATAAAAAATCAATATCATTCCTTGAGGTTTTCTTCGCACATAGAGGGAAAATCACGGAACGTTTCAAGAATTGATGATGAGTAGTTTTCAGTTTAAGAAATGAAGCACAACAGGAATTCTGCATCTTCGCAAATGAGATATGTGGCCTAGTAGTTTCACAGTTGATTTCTATTTGTGCAGATCGATCTATTTTGCCCCTGTATAGTTTTTATATCATGGTCTGATATTTTTTTAAGTTCGTAATGTAAATAGTTCTTAGAAAACCCTGGAAGTTTTCCTCGTATGTAAGATTTTGAATTTTGTGCACTATTTTTTATTCGCCATGATCAAAGCAATTTTCTGAACAGCTTCCCATGTACTATTTCAATTTCCGGTCCACCGTTCTTGACTTGGACTCTGAATCAAAACTAGTCTTGTTTTTACCTATGTAATTTGTATCTTGACCATTGATTTTTAAGAATTTATTCAGCCTGGCAGTGGAAAGGCTGAGATAATTCTTGTCTCGTTTTAGGTGCTTCTCTCTATATTTTACAGGAAGATGGTCAAGTAAATTTTTAAGCTTAAACTTAGTTGAAGGATTATTTTGTAAAATGCTCTTCATCACTTACTATTTTTGAATGAATGCTGAATGAATTTTTAAAACTCTTTAAGAATTAGCTCATTTAGCGGTTACATCATCCAATATATTGCCTGTTATAGTGCTGGCTTTAAAAAGCGCAATAAAGCAATTGATTTCAAAACAATAGTCCATGTGTGTCAAATACCGAATGAAGTAGTCACTAAATGGGTCTTTAGCTGCTAATTGGCATGCACTGGGTGTTAAATTTTATGACTGTAGGTCGTAATCAAAGAGAAAATGTATATGACTCAATTAAAGTGTCTGTTAGTACTGAGTAAAGTTCTGTTCAAGCTTATGATTTGAAAGTGGTGCAAAATTCTCCTTTAAAATTATTAACAAAAAAACCATGTAATAATTTTTTTTCTTGAATATAAAATGCTTTTTTTACACCGGCTAATTCCTTTTCTGAAGTTCCCTCCCACTTTTAACATTCACAACTCAGCTTTTCTCAGTGATTTAAAAGGCAGGAAAAAAAGCTCTACTGCTCTAAATTATTTGCAATAACAAAAGAGAATACCTACCTGTCCACTTGATATTGCATTCAAATTAACCATTTGCTTAGTCTGACTATTTTTTGTAAATTAAGTATGGCATATCGCCTTTGCACTTGATGAAGAGAATTTTTGGTTGATGTACTATTTTTCCTGCATTTTCATGCTAACGGTTGTAAATGAATGCAAAGAATTTCATGGTAAATTCTTAAAAATATAAATTAGAACTTCAGAGCTACAAGGCCAAGTGCACACTCTTTCCCGTAAAAAACTGGTTTGTACAAAGAGAAACTGGAGCACCGATTAGCTCTATTTAAATACAGAAGAAGAGAAATTACCAATTATTTCAGTTACAACAATATTATATTTTCATTCTTGACACACTTCACTATCTGCAATATCATTCATAACACAAAAAAAGAACTTAAAAAATTTACAAAATTAACTTAAAAAGTAAGAGATTAAATTCAAACAAGTGGGCATAGAAAAGTCATACTCGGAAGAGAAAATCAAGTAACCCGAATTCCAGGGTGATATAAATACCGGTTACCACAGAATTTGGAAAATAATTTTTCTAAGCATTTCCCTGATCTCCCTGACACAATTTATAAAAATTCCTTGACGACCTGTTGAAATTTGTTGTTTGAAATACCAAACCCATTCTAAAAAGTAAATACAGGCGACGTGACAATTTTTCCCTGAAACTTCCCTCTTTTTTCCTGACATTTCCAAGTTATCCCTGACTGTGGCAACCCTGTGTGAATACTGGTTGGACTTCACCCCATCCCATAATACCGATCGATGATGAATGCAAAAAAAGGCTAAAATAACATGCTTAAAATTAGATATCACTTTGATAAAGTTAAAATCTAAAAGAAAAAAATGCGGAGAAATTGAAGGGAGGTTCCGTTTTGAAATTCGTCCATTGAATTTTCTTATTGACTTTTCTTCGAACAACTTGCCAGTTTTTCACTGATCAACAGTAAAATTTGTGAGATAAGACACGAAATCTTTACAAGCAGTTATGGTGACATATCAGTTCGCACATCCAGTCGGGGTTTTTTCCGTACTGAAGCTTCATCACTGCTGTCCACGTTCAAATGGTCACGTTTCTTTATACTCGCTTGCTGTAATGAGAGGATCAAATAGTTAGCTACTGTTCAGAATTTTAAGTCACCGAATGGTGTTAAATTAATAATGTCAAGACTTCAAGAACTTAAATTGGACTACATTTTGCAATTCGGAACTATAAATTCTAGCCCGGTTAAAAAACAACGTATGTGCCATTAGTTTCCCTATGCACATAAGTGTTTTTCCAGGAGAGCCAGAATTTATAGTTCCAAATTGCAAAATGCAGTCCAATTAATCATAGGAACTCACAAGGGCAAACCTTTCTTACCACAAAATGGCTAGCAGCCCAGTTCATCCTGTAATTGTTGAAACCAAATCTCCGTTACCACTTGAATTTTTTTGTTCCTTTTGAGCTGCACAGAGCCATGTTCATACAAAATACTACGAAGTATTGTTCAACAAGATTCTCTGCAGAATGTATAAATATATAACAATGAAACTTATATTTAAATTAAAATTAAGGATGCCAACATTCATGGCTAAGGAATAATGATCAAATCTAGAAGAAAAGCGTGCAGAAAGTGAAGGGCGATTCTGTTTTGCAATTCGCCTACTAAATTTTCTTGTGGTCTCATCTGCAAACTAATGATTTAATGAGACGAAGAAAGAACTTGGTCATTTATGTAATTTTGAGGCTGAGTCAGCAAATTTCATTAAAATGCTTAACAGCTTCATTACAGTCCCCCATGCGCCCATACTGGACCCATTATTCAGACTTCCAGAAACCCTGATAAATTTTAATATCGGTGAAAATAATAAAAAAATAGACTTTAGGAAGGGCTCGAAGACAGAAAGGCTCAATTACATTGCAACAATGCAAAGATTCACTTGGCAATTTTTTTTTCTACCCAAAAAGGGTTGATGTTTTATGATCATTTCCATGTGATCTGACCGGAATTTTCAGAAATTCTCCATGTAAACCAAGCATGCATAATGTATGAAGAAATTATATCAGGTGAAACTTGGCAATATTGCAATGCAATTCAGCTCTCTGACTCTAACACCTTCATATGTGCGGATAAAAAAACTGACTGTTAACTTACTTTCTTTTCCCAGTGTTGGTGAAGGTAACGAATGAGGATATTCGTCTTCTCTGGTACAATAACTAGAAAGAAAACAAACCATAACAGACGATGTTAATAAATACTGGTTATCACAAGAAAAAATTAAGTATGACAGGAATTCTGCAACATCGCAAACAGACATACATTGTTTCGCATTTTGACCATCAATATTCAAAGTAGTAACAGAGGAGGAATTGTCTGAAAACCCAGGATCTTCATAACTTCATGCAAGATGATCTGGGAGTCTTCTACGACCAGATGATGTTTATTTGATTCTTTCCTCTTAAAAATAAGGGAGGGCTTTTCTGCTTATAAGACCAAGCAAATGTTTTTCTTCTCTGACAAATCAAGAATGACAGTTTACGGTCAAGTTGGAGTACTGGAGGACCAGTTTGGCTATGAGTAATGGGTCAGCAGCACTCACTTCTTTTAAAGCTCATTTTCTGAAAGTATGGAGTGAACTTAGCTTCTATGAATTTTTTAGGGATTTTTTTTAACCATAGGTAAATGGCAAAGAAACTTCCTTTTAAAACTGCCAACAATGGGAGTAATTTGAAACAATATTTTGGGCGAGCTCTGATGACGTAGGCAAGGGAAACGGTTTATGCAAATTGGCTAAACTCAACTTCGAGCATGGCCTTGCAAGGTCAACTTGACTGCTGGCATATGATTAGTCAGATTTTGATTAGCTTTGTCTCCCCTTATAGTCTGTGCAAACCAATTAGACCGAGTAAAAATTCAGGCATTTTCGGCCGAACCGAGAATTGCAACCATGGATCCCGGCAAGCTCACCGAGGTATTGTTACCATTGTGTCCATGCCTACCTTTACCTGGCAGCCGGACCCTTTTCATCATGGTCTACTGGTAGACGGAAAATTGCCGACCAAATTTTTTATCATTTGAGAATTTTTCCTCTGTTTCGACGGATTCGGATTCAGCTTGCAATCCTGATTAAAAATATATATAATTGTAGGTAAGCAAGATCATTAGTTATTGTGTCACAAAACCCGCTGAAGGAATCCGCAAATTTTATAATACAATAACTTATGATCGTACTTACCTACTATTTTATATATTTTTCACCAGGATTGCAAGCTGAATCTGAATCCGTCGAAATAGAGGAAAAATCCTCAAATGATAAAAAATTTGGTCGGCAATTTTCCGTCTACCAGTAGACCCTGATGACAAGCCGCCAGGTAAAGGCTAGGCGTGGACACTATAGTAACAATACCTCGGTGAGCTCAGCGCGGACCTGGTGGCTCCGCGCCAGGATCCATGGTTGCAGTTCTTGGTTTGCCCGAATTTTTACTCAGTCTAATTGGTTTGCGCAAACTATAGGAATGACTTTTTTAACTTCTAGATGAGGTTTTTTGTGAGGAAAAGGAGATTATCTATTCTTTAATCCTGCAAAAATTCCTTGCCATTTCCCCATTCCGTTCCCAACCGGTCCCGAACAGTTTGGTCTCTTCGGACATATAACTGATAGATAGGTGGGTTCTAATGATTTAAATTTTTCTTGAGCTCCTTAGAGTACAATAAATTCCTTTGATACTCTGAGGATATGTTAATGGAGGAAAAATACTTCAATTTGAATAATTATACTAACTTTGTTCGGATGGGTAGTCATTGGTCGGGAGGTAGATTGATGGCCTTTTGTTAGACGCTCGACCAGCTGAGTCTGCATGGTATCGTGAAAAGTTTGTTTCATTGTAGCTGGGCAAGCCTTTGAGGAATTCTGCCACGGACTGAAAAGAAAAGAGAGGTCTATGGATAAGAGAATATATTTTATTATTTCATACAATATGATAATAATGTAATCATAATTACATGTTACAATTTGACTGCCTGAACTAAACTTTAAAAATTAGAAATCAAGAATGCCATTGCGTTCTACAAAGCTAGAGGTTCCCATTTAGACAAAATCCGATTGGACCTCCGATCCAAAATCTTTGTTGAATTTTTACTGGAACTGCTGTCAGGTATGTTAGCTGTTATGTACTTATGATTGTCTTACACAGAAGGCCAATTAATATATCTCCGCACGATAGCGGTGGCACCTGCGATCTACCTGTAAATACTATTGTGCGAGAGCAACACAGCTGCTTGCAAATAGAAAGCAAACAACTGCCAACTTATCAGACACCAGTTCCAAGAGTGTACGAGGCTCACTTGACGCAAGAATTTCAATACCTACAGACACTTGGATTCTTTCAACCACCCAGATTTAAGCATGAAAAGAGCAAGTTTCTATTTACATAAGAGCCATCCAGCAGTGATAATTTATGTATCAAATGATGTAGCTATTTATTCAAGCTATATTTCAAGTGGCTCAAAAGCTGGAAAAAATTTAGTTGCACACTTGGATGATCTCTACCACCGTATGTATTGCAAGAGCAATGAGGTTATGCTTCTATTTACATGGAAACCAGCAAACAACTTTTGTATTCGTCGAATCAAAGTACAGATGGCTACAGATTAAATGTACAGCTGAGCAACTTGTCAAGTCTAAACGCAAGTGGCAAGAATCCATTAAATCTCTACAAAAATCAAGTTTCCCTATGAGTTACCGTATCCTCCCTACATTTCAAAAGTAAATGTCATGGAATGACTAGCAGGTATACTTATGAACATATACATGAAACTTCTGTGAATGAAAGATAAGTTGGTCCATGAGAAATTGCAATGGATTTCATGAGAGAAAACATCCTGAGTTTGGAGCCCACTAGATTGGAGCTCGAAAGGAGAAACATAAATCTGATCTTACCATGATGACTGATAGTGGGGAACTGCTTATCACGCTGAAATTCAGATGCTTGCACCCACTGCCTTCAAATTTGGGTAGAGTTGACGAAAGTTCAAGGTTGGAGAGATGCGGGATAGGACGTCAGGGCGCATGTACCCCCGAACTTAGCAAGGGTGGAAAAACGTGTGAACGAAGAACGAAGCACCGTGGATTCCAAGACAAGGGGTTGTCGTTGATTGACACGAAACCACGAGAAGATACACTTAGAGGTGCTCGGACATTACGAATTTTCTCGAGTTCTCACAATGATTTAAGCTCAGACTGAGTGATACGATGAATAAGTCGGGGACTCACAAACTTACTAGATTAATTGGCTTAAAATTATATCTGCGTGATGAGCAACGAGCAGACATTGCAGACATTAGTGTCCGAGAAAAACCAATACCCCCTAGACTGACCATACCTACACATTTGTTTTGAGGTTAAAATACATCTGGTTGTAACGTTTTACACGGCTCTTATGGGGAAAACCTGAAAAAAGCTGTTTTTCACTCCTTAAAGTAAAATTTGACGGGGGAAGGATTTTTTCCCTTAAACTTCAAGTATGAAGGCCTTGAATGCATTTAACTTCGGCGGCTGAATCTGTTTCTGGGTGGGAAAAAAAAAAATTAATAGTGGAAGTACATACTACATAGGGACTGCATCCGTCAAGGGAATGGAGAGGAGGGGAGGGGGATGTGGTTATCCACTTGAATGTTTTAAATTCTCTGCCAGGAAAGTGATTCAGTGGCAAATTTTTGGTATTTATGTTCCACGAATGTTATACTTCCAAGAAAAGATTAGAAAAGATCACTTAAGGTCACCAGTCATCTCATGTTACTCTTAATTTCACTTATTCACCTCGTCCCATAAGGTCCTGTGTAAAAACTCACAACCTGATGCACTCACACACTCACAGTAGAGTCCCTTTATACCCAGAGTTAAGACAACTCACTTTTGGTTGGGCTAAAAGTGGCCTAAAAAAAAATCCAATTCTGATTGGTTCTCGCTCATGGAGGCCGAAACTAGAGTACCTGTATAGGGAGAGTAGCGACAGATCGGTTCATGGAGGGCTTAGGGCCCAAAAGTGCAGCCACCCTTCTGAGCAACTTCTAACACATAAAATTTCACTGCCAGCCTACAGATTTCAATTCTAACCAAGATGGCTAAGAATGTACATAAATGAGCGTTCTTTCGCAAAAATAAGTAAATTTATGCAAAAAGTAAACCAAATACATGCTTTCTAAACGACGGTTCGTAACAATTGTATTTGTAAATCGCTCTGGACATTCGAAATTCATAGGTTGGCTGCCCTTTTGGGCCCTAACTTTATTCGCGGAGGCATCGGTGAAGGCCTGATGGACTTTCGGAGTTTCAGATCTGTCGCTACTCTCCCTATACAGGTACTCTAGCCGAAACGAGTGCACCAAGATGGCGGTACCTCGAATGTGAACAAGAATAATGAAAATATTACCTAATTGTGGTTTATCAAGAGTAAATTGTTATTTCCATTGGTCCAAAATGAAAATAGATTAAGAAATTATTCACAAACCAATCTCATTTTCTTTTTAATTGATCAATTTGTTGATGTTGTTGTTTTGGTGTGACAGACATCGCAGGATTCCTGATCCTTTTCCCTCAATATCGTTCGTTCGGGTGCACTCGTTTCGGCCTCCATGGCCAGCCAAGGCCGGCTGCCAGTCAGCTGATAATCGAGTTGTCTTAACTCTGGGTATAAAGGGACTCTAACTCACAGATGAGTTCCCAATGTTTAGGTATGGTCAGTCCATAGAGAAAAAAAAGGAGGTGTTTGCATTTCGGGCATCTTGGAATTTTTTGATGACTTGATGACGTAGGTGGGTACAGTGTGAAGGGGACGTCCCTGTACCCAGCTGTACCCACCTACGTCATCAAGTCATCAAAATACTCCAAGATGCCCGAAATGCAAACACCTCCTTTTGTTCTCCCAGTGATCAACTGGAGAGAACTTTCCTTTCACCCTGGGCCGTTTAATCAATGTAAAATCTCGTAAAATCTCGATCGCTAGTGAGATTTTCCTCTGTTCTCTTGTAAAAAATCGCTTGAAAGAGCGATTTTTTGTATGTGTGAGTGCGCTCCCATAAGATCTGATGTAACCGCTTATCGTATTAGTGTGTATTTTACAGGGGTTTTTCGAGACTACCGATAGTCGCTGTTCGATACGTCGATACGTCGATTCAATTCTAAACCTACCAACCCTTTCCTACAAAATACCCTGTTCCTTCTGAGTTTCCTTAACTTTGCCTTCTTTAACTCCGTTTCTAAATAAACTGTATTAATTATCTGAAGTTCTTTATATCTTAAAGCTTCAATTTCCAATATGAATTTCCTAACTTTTTCACCATTTTCCTTATAAAACAAAATCAATTTACGTATGTACTTTTTACCCTTGTGTTTAGCGCTTGTTTCATTTGTGCGTCAGCTTTGATACAATGGCGGATTGTTTACGTTCATTTTATAGTTGAGCATTTTCCAATTTTTTCCTTTAAATCTCTTCAAAAAAGTCCCAAAATGACTTAGCACTCTTTAAATAAGTAATTCACCCCTTCAACTTAACATTGATGGTACTTTGGATGGTTCCACCTTTTGCAGTGAGAGAAACTGAATTGCCGAGTTTCTGAGCTGGCTATGGCTGGCTCCTTGGTTTGTCCGTGTCCTTCGGTTTGATTTGTGATTTGTGCAACTTCCTTAATGGATAATCTTACTTATCAAAATACTCTTTGACTGTGCGTGGAGTGTAATTTTGTCTTGAGTCTTGACAGCATTAGCACCATGTGAATCAAAATTTCAATCAACTCCATTTTTGCCGCAGGGTAGGGATCCTTTAGCTATCCTACCGCTGTCAGAGTGCTGTCGAGAAACTAATCACAACTGTCGGTATGTTCTGTTGAGCAGTTATGTAAATATAAAACGGTTGTATTTGTTAGTCAATTTCTTTTGTATGTGAACAATAACTGAATGTCCAGAATTCCAAACATCTGACTGTATCTCAAGTATATGTCGGAAATATTTATCAAGGTCAGAGTTTGTGAATCCTTGGCAGCAGTTAATTTTGAATTTCCCCTAAGTAACAACTTCGCTCAACAAAGTTTGGTAAGTAAGTACAGCTCAGATCCACCATCGTACACATATAATTACATATTAGTTTAAAATCAGTGCGAGTAATGTTTTGAGGGTAAAGTGTTCTCTATTCTCCAACATTTATTAGCAGGGGTGCGAATTGCGCGGAGGCTGAGAGGTACTTGTTATTTTTCTAGATTTTTCAGATTTGCAATTTTTGTGGAATACTTACTGTGACTTTGGCACACATTCTAAAATTAACAAGAAATTCCACAAAAGTTTGATCAGCGCGTTGTGCTGACCTTCTTGCGAGAACTTAGCCCGAAGCTGAAAATTGCAGAGGCATGAAACAATGTTCACTTTGGTTTGTGAGATTTTCTTATAAACTTGGCATCCTCATATTTGTCCGACTTTTACCAAAATAATCTTGAAATTATCTCTCCCATCACCACATAGCAACAAAATTAGCATAAACATTCTTGATAAGAGGTGGCATAGTATCCAGAGACCCCTGAGAGTTTTGTATTAAATACTAATGATGCTCCTCTGGCAGAATTAAAAATTGACCATTCTAAACTACATACTCATATCAACAGCTCTTGCTGACAACAACCTGCTACCTTCATCAACTTAATCTAAAGTTTAGAATAATAGATAAGCTGCCAACTAATGTACTATCATTTCCATGCAAACAGCCAACCTTGTATTTATTGAGGAATGATAAATACAGTTTTTACTATGCCTTAGAGTTCTTACCATAATTCTTACCATTTGGAGTCAGGAAATAAAAATAATTGCTTCATTGTTTGCATTTTTATTGGCCAACTTCGTCTACTTGGTGTTAATGAAGGTAAATATTTATTCTTCTCTTGTTTGGATGAGAATTACCTAGGTACATCAAATAGGTATGACATACTGTGACACTGGGTGCCGCTACTAGGTACTCTACTTATATTTCAACGATACTGGAAAAATTCATAACTCAGGTAAGGGCGTTATCTTGCAAGCTACAGAGCTAGTAATTAGTCATATTTCGATCCTTTGAGATTCTTTCATCATTCAGAAATAAAAAACTAAATTCAGCTGGAACAGGCACATTTCTAGGAAGGAATGTGACGGATCATTTATATCTAATTTATATCTCATCGTCATCTCACTTATCAAACAATGCTTCTCGTCCTCATCTTGTTCTAATCTTGTTGAGAGCAGGCGAAGATTTGAAATGCGCGCTACAGATTCGGTAGTCGCCTGGCAAAAGTGGTACCCGCCTGACGTCACAAAACTTCAAGATGGCAACAAAAATCAAAAACTGGGACAATAATCAAAGAAAAGGACTGTGGTGGTTTCAAAGGAATACCTAAATGATCATTCATTTTTTCGAACCCTTATAATTTAAAAAAATTAATTTGAAGTGAAGTACGTATTTGGAGACTTTACACTTTACTGGGAGAACATCCAATGCCCAGCATGAGCATTGGAAACGTCATTCGTGAACTCAAAATGACCGACTTGTTTTTTCTCTATGTGGTCAGTCTAGGGGGTATTGGAAAAACGCAACATGGGATAATTGGGGTAAGAGTAAGGGTAAGGGTAAGACGAGCAAACAGACTCTGATAATCAGAGGGTGGTCGTGATAAGGCAATGAAAACTTAGCCCCATTGGTTGGCCTCCCTCAGATCTTGTTGTGACGTAGCTATGTACATCAGCCATCAGCCAATAAGAATACGGCTACCGGGTTTGTTTACGTTCGCCGACGTTTCGACGTCACGCTGGCCATAGAGTAAATTGTACGAACCGTCCGCGCGCTAAGGCCAGAATTGAAGTAGGTTAAGTTCATTAAGTTCCATTTTTATTTTCCTAAAATAGTTTAAAAAAATGATATCTTCCTCTCTTGACCTCTTGTTTTGTTGTGCCTTTGTGCCCTGACAGTTGAACGTTCATTTATATACTCAAGATTTTGGGAAAATCTTCGCAAACCAGGTGAAAAACATGCCAACAGCAGATATGGAACTTCGACACTTGCCCCCTCAGAATAGGACTGAGTTAATTAGTATCCTAGAAGTAAGAGACTCTTGGAGATCTCTCATTGAAATTATACCCCAAGAAGGTGCTGAGACTCCTAAATTCACAGCCGAACATGTCAGGTAAGCTTAGCCGTAAATGGAGGCGTAAATTAAAGAATTCTAAATGAAGTTGACGCAAACTAAATTGCTCTAACATTGTCAGCTGTCCTGTTGTTGTGATTTTATATTTTTTGATAGGATAAGACTAAGTTGGAACAGAGTTCTGATTTTTCGCTTGTATCACTTCACGCAGTCAATGTTTCTCTTGGTCGAATTAATTGGATCAACTGCACCTCCTTGCTTAGATCAGAGGTACTGAAAGCTTATACCGCAAAAGTTGATTTTTCATCCACTATTTTGAACCAAATTCATGCTCCAAAAAGAGCCGATTACTTTTTTCCTTAAAATTCAACTTTTCCATCACTGGAACGTCGAATAAGGTGATTTTTCCTGGGCTCCAAGAATGGCGTAGGGTACCTACGTACGTTGCATTGGTTAAGTAAAAAATCTTGGCAGGTTTTGACTTTTTAGCAAAAATAGATAGTAGCCCCTATGCAAGAGCCTATAAAATCATTCGAAATTAAAAAAAGGTGCACAATTCAGAGAAATGAGGGCAGAATTCTTCTTCAAAAGAAGCGTTGGATTTGATACTATATTATTGAACTCAGTATTAAATGTGACGTTTTCTTCCAAGAAGAATTCTGTCCTCATTTCTTTGCATTGTGCAATAATTTTGGTCGAGAATGACTCTTTATGTTCATCTTAAGGGGGGGGGGGGCTATTGCCCTTTTTTGGTCAAAAAGTCAAAATCTGCTAAGATTTTTTACTCAATCGAGGAGATATGTCATTTACAAATTCAACCAAGTCAAGAACCAAGGATGAATCACCTTAACTGTGGAAGGTGCCAACCTGAATGCAAAATCATGCAACTTATGGGAACTGTAAGTACCATTTCCTAAAAAGTCATGAAGATGAAGAATGTGTCTTTTTTTTTTTTTTTTTTACCAATTTTAAATAGCCTATCGGCTAATCCCACCCTTATTACCCTAGCCTCAGGTGACCATTGCCTGAGACCATCAAACTCAGATCACCTGGCCGGGAATTGAACCCGGGACCTCTTGGACATAGGGCCAGCGCTACAATCACTACACCACAGGAGGCCGACTGTATGATCCAATCGGATTCTGAGAGGGTCTTTTTTTTCATTGGTTCATTTTGATAACTTGGAATACAGTCAAATCAATACCTGCTCAGTTTTCACTTTTTTTTAAAGGTTGATAGAAAACGCAAGCCTAGTGCAGAAACGATCCTGCAGTGAAATTCTCCTCGAAGAGTGGGGTACAATGGGAAGGAAAAGACCTGACCTGGAGTTACTGTTGAAATTATTGACGAAAGCTGAATTGCTGCGTGCTGCTGACTACATTGCCTCAGTGATTGGTTGTAAGTTGTTATATATAGACAGTGAAACTACTAAACCGCGTATCTTGGTTTGCTACAGACTTCCTGTCATACTTTAGTTTTTAAATGGACGTATTTCTATCAAACAGAACTATGTGCAGGTGAGAAATATAGGGTGTGCTCCAGAAAGCTGCATAAGAAACAATGTAAAAGTGGGTGTGACCTTTTGAAGAAGTGGAAAAGAGGGATTTTTAAATTAGCAAACAGAACTATGTGCCAACTGAATGCGGGATATATGAGCCGCGGGTATGGCACGAGAGCTGTGGACAGGGCTCATAAGTCAGGTAAAGTGCTCCACAAGGAGCTGCATCCATTTCCGTTGACGTCACTGGCGCTTTATTATTCTCATTCACTTTTACGGCTTGAGAACTGATGAGAACACCCCATTTTTCTCACCTGCACATAAATCTGTTTGAAAGAAATGCGTACAGATGGAAGACTGCTCAACATCAATTCTTGAAAAATTCCATGACTTTTCTTCTTCGTGCAAAGAAAACCTCAAGAAATGATATTGATCCTTCAGAAAGATAAAATAGGGGCATAGATTTTTAAACACTGTAAATGAGATAGGTGGTCTGATAGTTTCACCGTCGATATGTAAGTTTATAGCTTTGTCTATTAGCTTTGGAGGAAGTGGCTTAAAAGTTTCTCTTTTCCTCATACTGAAGTCGGCCTGAGTTTGAGTCTGCAACTAAGGGCTGAACATTTTTAGGGCCCTAGGCTAAAATTTGGTCGGAGCTCTAGAAAGTAGGTCTTTACGAGGAGGTGGGAGGGGGTGCCTAAATCTCCCACTCCTCTCCTGTTCAGACTTGCAGGAATATGCTAGTTGTTCGGGAAATGTTTTAAATTCATCTTGTAAAAAATACAATTCCGTACAGTTTTAAGTTTCTCATTTACAAATATTTTTACTCTAGAAAAAAGCTGGCTCTGAAAAACGAAAAGTTACTACAGACCTGAAAAATGAAAATTCTCTCCTCTTACCTACTATTTTACAGTGGTTTCTCTAATCTGCATCCTAGTTAACAAAATCACTGATTGAATTGAGAAATGCGGTATGGCACAAAGGAACTTCTCCAGGATTTTCCTAAGCAGCCCTGCACCATTCCAGCAATCAATTCTTTACTTTGCGCTTTTGCCGGGTTTTTTTCTCTTGAATGAGGGTTTCTAATTCATATCATTCCTTAGCAAGGGAAGGTATGTATCAAAGTCACTTCTCTGCTGAGGTCTATTTGATACCTATTGATACTTATATTTAAAAAAAAAAAAAAAAACCAACAATCATATTATTCATATTTCATGAAACTTACTAAATTACTTAAAGTAGTGTCAGCCAAGGAAAAGAAAGGAAATAATTTTTTTCTCCTCCTCATGTAGTACCTGTCACTTCAGTGTAAGTCAATTGTTTCAGTGAACCCAGCAGCAAGACCCACCGATGGACCAGCTGCACCAGTCTGCGTTTCCTCAGAAATGAGAGTTATTGCCCATGATAGTTCCTCCGTTGGGACCCGACCAGAAACTTCTACAGAATCGGACTCTAGCCACTCAGAGCAGACGGTCATAGAACGCAAACCAGAGTTCAATGATTGTAATACGAACCCAACGGCTCATCTTCAAGAAACTGAAGCAGTTGGGTAAGTCTGTGGGCCGACAGGAATAGCTCATTCAATGCTCTTTCTCAACCTACTTCCTAACGAACTTCAAATTGATGATGAAACTAGAAAACCACCTTTCTAGAAAGCGGTGTCTTACTATTTCTTCAGGAGAAAACTACGTCTTACTATTGTAAAAATAATTTTATTCATATTTTTAGGCTTAAAAAAATTCTGTGGGTAGTCCTGGTGAACCCATTGCAGATCTATAGCTTTAGATTTTCTATACTCCAAAATGGCCCACGTTAAACAGAAAGGAACCAAGCCACATCAGCTATTGCTAGATTCAATTCGGCATTTTAATTTTTTACATAAAAACGGCTGTGCGGATTTTCTTGCAAATTTCAGTGGATTTTCTCCATAGTACGAAGCAAATTCCCTCAAATGTTCAAAAGAATCCACACAATCGTCATCACGTAAAAAATTAAATTGGCCAGTTAAATTTGACAATAGCTGATGTGGCTTGGTTCCTTTCTGTTGAACTCTGTCCAAATAAGTGTAAAAAATTAATTAACTCGATATATAGATAAATTATGTGCTGTGTAGCAACACTGAGTGTTGAAGTTGACAGCTTGTTCTAATTTCGCATTTTTTTTACCATTGAGCCATCTGTTAGTCATTGCTTTTGAATCAAATATTCACATTTTTGTTGGCCAGTTTTATTGCTGGGTTGTCACAGTCATGGAAATGCAAGGGAAAATAAATTGGATGTTGAAAAGTGGAAAATGGTTAAATCATCTTTATTTGCTTTTTAAAATGTGTTAGACATCTTGAGCAAACGTTGCCTGAAAACAATTTCAAATTAAGTCTTTAACCGTCATACCTATCCTGAAACGTCATAGAATTTAACCAAAAGTAAGGGTATCAACAAGAGCTGTTTTTTGGCCCACTTCAGCTGAAGTTTCCCAACTCAACGATGTCTTGCTCCTTGGAGGTCTTTATTCTTCGAAATGCATCATAATTCGGTCATTTCTAGTCACTTTTTGGGTCCAATACTGGCTTAAACATGGGTCTGAAGGCCAATTTGGGCAAAATATGCGGACATTTTGGCATTCCCTAACCCGCATACCCCGCAAATTTCATCAAAATTGGCCTTCGAGCCAATATTTAGGCCAGTAGTAGACCACGAAAGAGATCGAAAATGATCAAGTTACTATATTTTCTGTGAAACGCAGACCCTCACTGTGTAAAAAATTGTAAAGTGGAGGATACTCGGGATCGTTCAAAAAACGGCCCATACTGATCACCTTCCTTTGTTAGGAAATTTTGTTTTCCAAATTCTGTAACCACCCTGTCATCAAAAAGTCTCAAAATATTTTAATCATATTCGCTCACTTGCGCTGTTACCCTGGCTGTGAAGTATGCCCATTCTATGCAACTAATACCAACAATTTTTTGTTATCTCATAGATGCAGCTTATCCCCAGCTGAATCCGACTTGCTGGTCCTGAAATTCCGAGAACTGGAGAAAGCTACAGATAACTTCTCCGAGGCAAACAAACTTGGAGAAGGAGCCTTTGGTGCTGTTTACGCTTGTGCCTTAGGAGAGAAAAAAGCTGCTGTGAAGAAGTTCAATGAACAGGAAGATGTCGATCTGCAAGCTTTGTTTCTTAATGAAATACAGTCGCTGAAACGCTACAGGCATAAAAATCTGCTACCGCTACTTGGTTACAGTTGTGATGTCCAGCTATGTTTGGTGTATGAATTTATGCCGAACGGTTGCTTACAGGAAAAGATTGCTCTAAAGGTATCTTCAATGAAACTTAAAATCCAAGTTTTTGTAATGACTATTTGGTTAAAGCGCATGTGTAGGCAATAGCATTAGGTTACAGGGTTGCTACAGCCAGGGAAAACCTGGCACTGTCAGGGAGAATGAGAAACGATCATTTTTAATTTAGCCATTGATGTATTTCTTGTGCTAAGCCATGAATATAGCAACCCTCATGTAGATTCTGAAGTCCCAAAGACTGACTTATGCACATTTATGCTGCAAAAGTCTTATCTGTCAAAGAAATCATTTAAATGTAGGTAACGAACAAGGCAGACTTTTTTTGCTTTAATTTGTCCATTTCACATACTTAGGCCAATCCATCGAATTTCAAAGGCATTTAGACTTGAGCAAGCTCAAGTCTAAACGATAAACTTTTCTTGAAGTATTACTTAATAATTATATAACTGAGATTCGTAGGTATGTCTTAATTACCAGTTTTGTTTTTCTTGCAGGATGAAGGTAAAATTTTAGGTACGGATGAAAGATTGCAAATAGCTGTCGGTACTGCGGAAGGCATCAACTATTTGCACACTGCCTTTGACAAACCTTTAATTCACAGAGATGTCAAATCTGCTAACATTCTTCTAGATGCTCAGCTAATACCGAAGGTAGATTTTTTTACTCTTAGTAGAATTCTTTTTGAAGGCAAAGAACTAGCCTGTAGAGGACTATCTATAATTTAAATGTCCCTCAATAACCAAATATTCATCTCATGGAATTTCAACACATGTCTGTGCTCGAGAGCTGGACCTTTGCTGTTTTCTTTGTGGTGACAATCAGGCGACCAGTAAAAAATCCAACCCTGAAAAAACATAACCTTACCAAATAGTCCAGTCATGATCAAGTCATGATTTTTCGAAATTTTTAGATCTCTGATGCATGCTGTAGGCCCTCTAAAACACAGACCTAGCGCTTTACACCTCGTCGTTTACTGAGCTTGGCTTGTGCAGGATGTATAAAGATCTATGGCAAATTTACTACAGAGTATCCACTGTCAGTAAAGGTTGAAAAAACTAGAGAGAATTAAGAACTGCGATTTCTTTAAGGGGGAGGGGATATTAGAGAAATTTTGAGTGCGTCTAGCATTTTTCAACTGCGTGCGGTTTAGGACATGCAATAGTGAAACATTTGATTCAATTCATTAAATATGTTGGTTTGTAAAATTAAACAAACAAAAATTTAAATGCACAAAAAATCAAGAAATTACATTTGAATTATTAGGAAAATCCAAAATGAAATTTTGGTAGACACCCCGCACAACTTCCAACTAAATGGTCGAAGATATGGTCAGTTGAATAAGACTTTTGCCACAATTTATTAAAACCAGGTTCTGGTTTGTAACTAAAATTTGCTTTATGTAGTCTAGGCATTCTATCAGTCATCAGCATTTTCATTGGGATAGTTAATGTGTGATCTACTTTTAAATCTCAGGACCAGGATTTTGGAATTTTTATGGCGGGGAAAATTCATTCTCAAGCTTACTGTATGACCATGCCAGTCTTAGAATTACCCTCTATTTTTCAGTTGGGAGATTTTGGGCTTGTCAGATCTATCAGTTCAGGCACTTCAAATCAAACAACTACCGCCATTGGGACTTCAGCTTACATGGCACCAGAAGCTTTTCGAGGTGACATCTCAATCAAAATGGACACCTACAGTTTTGGTGTTGTAAGTTTTTTATCATTTCAACGTTTGTTATTAGAAAGAAATATGGATGGATACCATTTATGTGTTTCATAATTGTTTTTCTTTTTTCAGTAATTTTGGAAGAATAATTAGAATTGCATGTACCTAATGTACATTTTTCTTTCAAACATTTGTTTCTTATACATTTTGCCAAAAACTTGAATCGAAATCAGTTTTTTGTGAAAACTGAGCGTGTGAATGACTTTTCCAGTTACGTTCATGATAGTAGTCTTGCTCACTGAAGTGAACTCATGAGCCCCTACTTACCCTGCTTGCTCATCATGGAGCTCTGTCTAACCTACCACACTCCACTAGCATGGCCCAGATACTCATCGCATGGCGTAATCTTTTCAATATCTTTGATCATAGTCCTAGGAATGCCATCCATGTGTGGAGATACAAGAAAAGCCCCTAGCATGGAGCATTTTTAAAAATAGTATGTCTACACCTCGAACAGGGTGTCTAGCATCAGGATTTTCCCAATTCTATCAGGATTTGAGGTCAATCAGGATGTAATCCTGTCATCAGGATTTGAGGAAAAATCAGTCATAAAATCAGGATTTGAGAAAAGCTTTTGTTTTTAATTCTTAGAACTTAATTCTAGAGTTCTGCTTTTGCATCCGCTTATGCAGAAATTTTAATTTTTCTCCGCAAAAAATCAGGATTTAGCAGTCAAAAATCAGGACAAATGAGGATTTCATCAGGATTTTCCAAGAAGGAAAAAACTAGACACCCTGTTGAAGCGCCTTTGGCAATTTTTATTATTCAATATTGTCCAATAACAAGCTAGCTGCTGCCAAAATGATGCAAGTTCAAAACCTTGTCAAAAAAAGAAATAATACTGTACCTTTACAATTAATTTCAGCTGTTTCCCTATACTTAGGTCGATATTAGTTGTTGCACCAGCTTCAATTGTCTGCTGTCCTGTCTGTGTATGGAGTCAGGACATTATAATACAGGGTGTTTCAGACCACCTGTACCAGGCCTTTTTCTCGGTTGGTTTAGGTCGTACGAAGTCGGAGACTGCGGGGTTGAGTAGGGAATTGACCCCAAGGAATCCGAATTTTGTGGTCCCGAAACCCCCCCACCTCCCCTTGGGGGGTAAAGGGGGGGTCACGATGCTAAAAGTCACGGTTCCCGACCGAATTGCGGATCGATCGCATTAGAATTGAAAAGCACGGAAAATTTCACGTGGAATTGACCCCTAAAAATCCAAAATCGGACCATCCAAGGCCCATAAATGATCCCCTAAAGAGGGGGACAGTACCCCCCTCCATAATTTCTCTTTGGTCTCAAAATTGACGTAAATTCTCCAGAAAAAGACGGTTTCCCAGGTAATCGACCTTGAGAAATCCAAATTTCATGGTCCCGAAGCTCCTCCAGCCTCCCTTGGGGGGTAAACGGGGGGGCCCAATTTTAAAAATCGGGGCTCCTTTCCGAATCGCAAATTGATTGCATCCAAATTGAGGAGCAGAACACATTTACATCTTAAGTGACTCCTAAGAATTCTAATTGACCCCCCTGAACGGCAGAGAGTAACCCCCTGAGGAAGGGGGCCTCCCCCCCGCCAAAAATTTCTCAGGATTCCTCTTTGGTCGCAAAATTGACTTCGATTCTCCAGAAAAAGACAGTTTCCCATGTAATCGACCCCGAGGACTCTAAATTTCATGTTCCCTGAGCTTCTTGGGGTCGATTACATAGGAGACCGTCTTTTTCTGGAGAATCGACGTCAATTTTGCGACCATTCAGGAATCTTGAGAAATTTTAGGCGGGGACGAAGCCGCCTCCTCAAGGAGTTGCTTTCTGCCGTTCAGGGGGTCTATTAGAACTCTTAGGAGTCACTTAAGATGTAAATTTGTTCTGCTCCTCAATTTGGATGCAATCAATTTGCGATTCGGAAAGGAACCCCGATTTTTAAAATTGGGCCCCCCCGTTTACCCCCCAAGGGGGGCTAGAGGAGCTTCGGGACCATGAAATTTGGATTTCTCGAGGTCAGTAACCTGGGAAACCGTCTTTTTCTGGAGAATTTACGTCAATTTTGAGACCAAAGAGAAATTATGGAGGGGGTACTGTCCCCCTCTTTAGGGGATCATTTATTGGCCTTGGATGGTCCGATTTTGGATTTTTAGGGGTCAACTCCACGTACAATTTTCCGTGCTTTTCAATTCTGATGCGATCGATCCGCAATTCGGTCGGGAACCGTGACTTTTAGCATCGTGACCCCCCCTTTACCCCCCAAGGGGAGGTGGGGGGGTTTCGGGACCACAAAATTCGGATTCCTTGGGGTCGATTCCCTATTCAACCCCGCAGTCTCCGACTTCGTACGACCTAAACCAACCGAGAAAAAGGCCTGGTACGGGTGGTCTGAAACACCCTGTATGCTGCCTTGTTGAGGATAAACGCCGTACACGACGTGTTGGTCGTTCCATTATTCTCTTGGATAAAACATACATTTTCAGGAAAGCCTGTAAATTTTTCCCCGTATTTTTCAGATACTCACGGAAACATCTAAGTTACCGGAGAATTTCAAGGCAAAATATTCATAACTTTTCAAGAGAAAAAATATATATTTTATTGTAAAAAAATTTGGCTACATCTGGGTGCTTGTGTGACATTCTTCTTTGGCGCGGCATTAAGGATTGGACGCATCGTAATCAAAATGAAATATGTACTCATTCTGATATGAGTCCTATGATCCATAAAAGTACATGCATGACAGAACTTGTGTTACGATGGGTATAGTTCTTTTTGATTTCAGTGCGTCTAATGCTGCCTTGATGGAGAAGAACGCTGTGAGAACGATCGAAAGTTCCGATCGAAATGATCCAAATTTTTCCAGATAAAATAAATTATGACAGATAAAATTATTAAAATAAAATTGTCCATTAAATTATATTGGTGTTTTTTTTTATTAAATATGCAATAAGCATGCGATATTTTTAGTTAGGGAAGTCTTCAGGTTGAAGTTTTACACCAAAAAGAATATGAACGATTACATATGATTTTTCGGCACCTTTTTTACGGATATCAGGGTTAATCTGACGGTAAATGATCCACCCCGTAAATGAGTCTCCGTCACGAGATCTCTCTGGTATGAAGAAGTCATTCTTGAATAGCTGAATAATTTTACAAGGAATGCAAAAGTTATAAAGTCTGAGGTTTGAAGTTTAAAAACAAAAACGAAAAAAGTAAAATATCTAGTTGAGTCAAGCATTTTTTTTACAGTCAACACGGAAATTCCAAAGTACTCTGCGCCTAAAAAATTATCACTCCTGTCAATCGAATTGATGAGGACAGGTGGTGTGTTTTTTCCCCCTTTTTTGGTCTTGATTAGAACGGAAATTGGCATTCTTATTATGTCAATTAAACGGAGTGAATGGAGACTCCGGGGTCCATTTTTTGCCGACGAGTGATGCCGGGACGTTCGACGTTATAAACTGGTCCAAAATTCAGGATTCAGACCGGAACGTTTTATTTCTTATCGAAAAGACAGAAAGCGTGTTTTGCCCCAGATTCGACTCATCTGTTACTCTACCTCACTGCCAGACATCAGTTCCTATCAAGTAATATATTTTTTTTTTTCTTTAGCCAATGATAAAGCTATCATCTACTCTAGACCATCCAAAAAATAGGCTCGCGAGAAATAAATGAACGAATGTGTCAACAAAGCGATCGATCGCAATGAATGTATCACTCTCATCAAGTTGATGCTTTTGAGGAAAGTCTACAAAACTTAGCTCTCGTTCAAAATTTGACAATTCATTAAGGAATCTAACGAATTATTACTTATTTCTTTTATATTTTATTTTACCACTTGCCTGTACCAGCTCCATAAATATACTTGCACTTGACCATTTTCCGATAAATGATCCACCCTAGAAAGGTACAAATTTGACTGAACCTCTCAGTTCAGAAAAATTGAAATTAAGCTACCAGTCCGTCGAATGGAGTTTTAAGCCCGCAGGAAGACGAATTCAATTCATAAAACTACCGCTAGTCCACTGAGTATCTTATCCTCCTTTACGATATTTTTCCTTCATTTCTCAAGATACGGGTTGGAATATACATTCAATACACCATTGCCAAATTTCAGATGAAATAAGCCATTTATTTACAGCACTAAACAGTTGTAATTGATATAGTTGCCGGTTATAAACTGATGAAAATATTCAGAAAAAATGTACCGACAATAATGAAAAAAATCAGTTAAAGTATATTTTTAACCATCCCAATTGTGAACACGACAGCCTTTTAAAGCAAACGCCAAGTTTTTACAAGAAGCGCAACATGGTTCCACGAGACATATTAGCACATTTTGAAAAATATGGTACTTTCCATGTATTATTTCTTCAGACCAATGTTTCGACCCCTCCAGTAAAATGACAACTGGATGAATTTTTCGGGAAATTTGGCAATCTTTGAACTTAAATAAAGTGCTTGACCGTGCTCAGATCTAACTTTAATGGCGCGAGTCTAAATTGTCCGAGGAGGTGAGGACCCGTCGCACAATGGATCGAGTCAATAGTAGAAGTCGGACAAAATTTGAAAACTTTAAACGCTTACGACACCGTTAATACATAACTTAGAGGTTCTAAAAGTGGTTCCATTGGTTTCCTAGTGATATTTCCTTCTAGAGACACCCCTTATAATTTAAAATGCGATGAAATAAACATTAAAATTTGCAGCTTTAGTCAAAAATGTTGCGTCCGACCTCTCCAATTGACTCGATCCACTGTGCGTTGTGAAGGAAAAATGTATAAAATTATCATAACATTGACAAGATAATGCAGCGCACGCGAGGATGCGGGGAGGGGGCAAATTGCTATCCTGGTATTTTTATGACCGGTCCCTCTGCCGGAGACCATCTAATAATTCGAGGAGGCAATGTGTTGAATTTTTTCTATTCCACCTCTGATTGTGAGTGATTTAGACTTATCTGTAAGCGCAGCGCGCCTGGTGTTAGCTTTATCAATGAAATAAGGAAACTAGGGTTCGAAAATGTGTGTCCACGTAAATTTATACCCTTTCGGTTATTTGTATAAAGTGGTCATATC